TTGAAATTCAAGTGGCAAATGCAAAGAAGAATGAATAAAATTCACGATTTTTGTTTTGCACAAACACCGCGTCGATTTTCATAATATATGTTATGTAAACATGTATATATTATTTGTGGTTTTTGCACTTTTTCTAATATTTGTGTCCCACTTTTTGATTTCGATGACAGCGCACTGCATTTGCCACTTGAATTGGCGGTCCATTGAATGAGGTAAATAAATTTCCAGCACACGAGCCGCACCGATTATTCAAGTGCAACATCAACAAAGTCGAACGGCAATGCACTGCACCACCCCCATACATTCGCGTAAATACGCGCCCATGTGTAGGAAAACTGCATATAAAACATTCTCGGCTGGGTGCGCGCTGCACGAGTGCCAAGTGCAAATGCTTCAAGGCGCACTCTTCTCACTCCATTACTCACGCAGCAAACTTACACTATTTACAAACGGCTTGCCACACGTCCAACGCAACAACAACAACAACTATAGCGCCAGCAATCAACTGACGCCTGTCAAATAAAAGCGCGAGAAAAAGAAAGAATTGGATGCAGTGCAGCCAGTTGGGGCATGATCAAGCATTCAAACTCGTTTAGCTGCCTTTTTCGTGGCTTGCGCGCAGCTTCTGCGTCTATTTCAGATATGCATGTATGTATGTCAAGCGCGGAGCTGAGTGTGGGCAGATGCAGTGTTCTATGGATGGTGGGTGGAGTCAACACAATAGATGCTGCTGTAGAAAAAATTCCCAGAGCAACGAGCTTATCCTGCGGCAGCACACGCAAATGCTGCTATAAATTGATTGTGTAGGTGTTTGTGCTCGACATACTGGCAGCCACAAGTGGCAAGTGACACTTCACTTTTTCACTTTGCGACAGCGCAAACACACGCCATAAGACGGTGGCGCAGAGTACTACCAACTGCGAGCGGATTAATGCGCAGGATGTGACCTGCAGTTGAGATACAAGTATGTGCGCAGCTCATTCCGCAAGCACAATATGTTAATTGATTTAGAAGTAGATGACGAATTACTGTCAAGTGTGAGGTGAATCCATATGGCATATGTACATATATATGCACCAGTACAGCTAACAGTGCATTACAATCGAGCAGTATAAGTACCCGACTAATTCTTAAACTACTTTTAGATAGCAGCACGAGTATAGTTGAACACGGTCGCAAGCAACACTTTCGTAATCCACCAGTTAAACCTGTGGATTATTTGAAGAAGAAGAGAAGAAATAGCTCAGGAATGTTGAATTGACTTTCAAGTGCAGATCAAAAATTATTTCCGTCTTGAAGATTTGCTACTATGCCTTCAAACGCTCTTGTTCTTATTCTCCACTTAAGCGCTGCCTTTCGTAAAATAAAACATGACATTCTATTCAAATGTAGACGTAGTATGTTTTATCAATACAACTGACACGTATGACGTCAAATTTCATGCTTCTTCGACAGTGACAGCGATAGCCAAGCTAATAATGTAACGGCGAGCGAGAGTAGTAGTAACACAGCACGCCTTTAAATGCTATGCAAATCATGTTAGTGACATTGAGCCAGCGAGCGGAGCGGCATGGAAAACACTGACGAGCAGCTCGGCTGATCTGCTGTGAGCGTATGTGTGGAAGTTTAGACGAGATGTTGAAATAAGTGATCTCAAGACTTCTGCTATAGGCATGCAGCAATGTATACGAGTATAAATGAAGGTCCCCAGAACTGCCCCTAGCAGACGTAACAGTAACCTTATTTGTAAATATATGGTACACGTAGCAACAACAGCGACAGCGATCGAGCTTAATCGCTTGCTGGCATTATTTCTGACAACAGACAGCGCGCAACAACAGCGAATTCTGATTTTCGTTCGACTTTCAATTAAGTATTCAGTGTCACATCCGTATCGTACATACATATATATGTGTATGTATTCAATGTATATTTACTGGGTGCATCTTTCGCCAGTCTGATTCCACGCTTAGCTAATCTCGTAAACTATATAAAAGGTTATCAAGCGTATTTTAGCGGGTGGTACATCACACTACCGCCACTACTAACGGTAAAATATAATAGTTGCCGTTTAAATACTTGTTTCTGCTTAGTAATTGGAAAATTTACTATTTTGCTTGCTGATGCCACTATGTACATACACCTATCCACAATCAGTTAGGTGTCAGATAAATCGGACACCAAAACCGCAGAGAAAGTAATGAAGCATTGACCACAGCAAAGCGCTGCTAAACAACTCAAATGCGTGTGATACAAATGTACCTACCATATTACATAATTTGGTTATATTCTAGCCAGTAAAAATAGTACTAATAAAATTGGAACTATTTTATTTACTAGAATTTCCGGGCCGAGGAGGAATTGGTGCAAAAAAGACCAGACTTATAACTTATAATAAATTGTGAGTGTATACATTCAAGTATTTATGTATGTCAGCATAATTATAGAGTATCAATTGCATTTATTGGGTTCATGATTTACACGAATGCACGCATGATTTTTAATACACAATCATTTGCCGAAAGTACAAATTTATGTATTATCAATTTGCTCTTGTTTTTTTTTCCTCAAGCACTGCCAAAATAATAATAATAACGCAAAGTGTTCTAACTATGGAAATCTATTGCCTACCGGAATTCAGTCTACATCTACTCGCTCATTCTTTATTGAAATCAAATCAGCGTTCATATTTTGACCCACAACTTTTTACTTGAAACATCAAGAAGAAAACATGTACATATATAAATGATCAGCGTCCGCATATACGCATATACGCGAACTAGTCCCTCAGTTTTTAATATATCGAACCGAAATTTTGCACACGTCCTTTTTTCGCCAAAGAGCTGCTCATTTGGAATCGCCGATATCGCAACACTATAGCATATTTGTAGTTGCCATACAAACTGAGCAATCAAAATCAAATTCTTGTTTAGAAACTTTTTTAATTGTTAAGAGTATTATACTTGTAGCATCGGCACAACCGAAGTTAATGTTTTTTATTGTTTTAATACATCTTGATTTATTTACGGCAGTTCATTGCAGTCAAACGCAGCACACACAGAATCCTTATAAGAACGCTTTGTATCACGATTTGTAAGTTTAACATTGCGGCAACATTAGCAAATTTGCAAAAATGCTAACAAGTGTTTGTTGTTGCGACATTCACAGTATCAATGTGGCTTAAGCTACAAATAGTATTGTCCACATCTACACAAGGGATGTGCTTATGTTATAGCTCTGGCGTAACCGCAAATTAATGACATGTAATTGCCGAAAATCACTTAGCCTGCACCCTACGCCCCTACCAAATTCGAAATGTTGCCTTCTACAGATGAGCCGTTAGCAAGGTCCGCATTACCTAGTTTCTGATAGCTTCAGCGGTCGGGGATATCCGATTAAAGATGTGTGCTTACATATGTATGTATGCATGTGCATATATATGTATATTTTAACTCTCATACTCATTGCATTATATGTTAGCAATGTCGTTAAATAGTAGTAGTTGGTTTTTCCTTTTGCTCCTGTGACTGCTCCTATTAACGGAGCTGTTATTTCTCTCCACTCGTTTGTGTCCTCTGTATCCACAGTTACGCCGTTCATTACTATTAAAATTTGCCGTATAACAGAATAAAGCATTCAGCTTCACAAACGACCACAACGGCAATGAACATTAGTATACTACATCCTAGTATGAATATGTTTAAATATATATATGTTTAAATATATACATAAATAAACATGTGTGAATTTTCTGGAGTATTGTTACAATGCTTTCCTCTTCCTGGCCGTTTCTCTCGTATAATAATACATGCAGATGTGTGGTACTGTTATTTCTCACGGCATTGTCGCACATGTTTGCTTCCAGAAACTGTTTGCAGTGCTACCAACTTTCCGCACTTTTTGGTTATTATATTCTAATAATACCAAGCTCACGATCACATATACTTCACATTCGGCGCGCTTGCAAGCAAGTTCTCTTAACGCATATGCTTTTTACTCGCGATAGTTTGCATTTTTTGTTAAACAATAATTGTAATGAAAAGTAAAAACTTATTTAAACTGGCAATTCAGTTATGTTATTGCAGGACTTGAACCGGTGATTTTTTTTTAATAAAGTAAAGAATAATAAGTATATGGTGATAACACCGATTTATTATTTCATCCTCTACCCGACTTTAATAAGTTTCACCTGGCTGCTGACTGTTGCCAGATTATGCGCCAATATTTGGTGCTGCCGACAATGCGTTCAATACAAGCGAAAGTATTAACTACTTTTTAGCAAAATCGTTATGAATGGATGATAGATATATGTATAAGCGTACACTCAACCACACAAGTTTACTTAAATTTGTGTATATATTTGTTTAAGCCCTTCCACCACCACTTCGACAAAAGTGGGCCTATCATCATCTTTTAATAATTCCCGCTATTCAGTTATACCTACATACATACGTATATAAAGACATCGTGCTCTATTTAAATCGAACACATGTGCGCCAACAATTCTATATGTGCTCTAAAAACTGACAATGTAATCAAATATGAATACTTCCTATATAACGCCATTTTGAACGGCATTTACGTATTTGTCTCTACAACAGATAAATCAAGCAAGGGAAATGAAATTGCCCACAAGTAAAATCTCTAACATGTGAAGATTCTCATATAAAATTATCTAACTCACTCACATACTTTTGTAGGCCACATATACCCAATATATTGAATTGATTACCTTTTTGTTGTCTCTATACATATGTACACACTCTTGTATAAATAAAAATAACAATAAACACAGACCAACTCACATATTAAAAAAACAAATTGAATGGTTTAAGCGTTAACAAAACGCCACCCAAAATTATCAAAAATTCAAACTCATAATCCTTTAGTTAAGGATTACTCACAATTTTTTATGTCTTTTATTTTATTTATTTATTAATATTTTTTAGGAATGCTACTTTGATATTTAGTAATGTGAAAGATGAAGTTCAATAACTTACGTGTTTCATTAAGAGTTCTAGTGAACATTTCTGGTCCAGATGTTGTCGCTGTTTTACTTCCATAAGCAGCCCCACTACTCGCTGCTAAATCCCTAGCGTCCACAGCAAGCACACTTAGACAAATCAAGCCAAACAAAATCATTTTGGTTGGGATGTTTTTGACTTTTTGGATTAAATTTCTTTTTAAATGTTTTTATACAACTTCTTGCGCAAATTGCGCTTTCTTCTTTACCAAATACACTGACATTAATTTATTGCTGTTGCGGTTATCACTAATTTATTTTATTTATTTCAACACTCATATACTTATATACAAATTTATATGTATATCTATATATTACACATTAGGATAGTCTTATATTTATGTAAATGTCTTCACGGTTTAACAATTGGCACATTGATATGTAGATGATGTTTTCGAACTGAAGACGTTACGGTAGAGGAAGGATTGTTAAGATTTAAATTCATGTATACATACATACATACATTTGTACAAATAATCGCATAAGCACTAACAGTTTGCATTTAACATGAATATGTTAGTGATAGTTATGCTTTTTATGTATTATAAGTATGTGTTCTGTTTATATGCGAACCATGCATGCGCGGTATTATAAAATAATAGTATACCTGCTTTTATGTCCAATCAGAAATATATATATTCTTTTCAATTCATTTCAACGATTTTAAAAAATATGTATTAAAATAATTTCTCTCCCTTCTTATATTAAACTAGTTTTAATTTTTAGAATAATTGTGACGCCCGTAGCACCAATGGTAACGAGTTGTTTATTGAAACCGGTCGCCACTTGCACGTAGCGGAAAATCTTCTTTCAGCATTCTCGAGCAATTGGTATATTTACCTTACCAGGTTCTTAAAATAAAACGTGTATGGAATTCTCTTTAATACTGAAATATTTTGTATGTGCCATTTTGCTATTATTCACTTTTTCAAAGACTTTATCCTTTTTCACACCACACACAAGCCTGCTACCTTCTTGCTTTGCTTTAACCACTTTGCGTTTTTACTTATTGCTTACATACATTAGTATACATATACAATTCCTTGTAGAATTGTAACTCTCTGTATTAAAACACTAATTTTAAGCACTAAGATTTTCAATTGATTTCCCGATACAATGATATTTGAATTATTCACGCCGCCAATTCAACATTAATTAAGAATCTTTCATTTTGTAGTCGCTAAACTCTACATATTACAAATACATTGAATCCTTTACAATTTATTGCAACGCGACAACACTTTATAAACATCCGTATCCACGCACGTTTCCATATATTTATTACATATCCGCACAATTTCAAAGAGAGACTAACCAAAGCCAACCAAACGAGTAACGAATATAGCAGAAAAACAAAGCCAATCGAAACAAAACCATAAAACATAAAGAACACTGACAGCTAGCGAAAAATTGTCAAACATAAGCAGAGAATGTAAATTATAGAGAAAGTCCAACAACGGACAAGCGTGTGATGAGTCAAAACCAAACACAATCCGATGAGCGTGTTTCACCATGGCTAGCACGGAAGGAGAAATTTTAACAGTGACGCGTGAACAGAGCTGAGCACTGTATGAAAATGATGCTCAAGAGTTTGCAATGATATAACAGCCGCATGTTAGCCTATTGGCTTATATTATATTATTATAAATTTATATGCATTCACATTTATTGATATGAATATATGTAAGTAATTTTGCGAATTTGTATGAATGCATACAAAACTGATAAACTTCTAAATATTCAAATAATACCAGAGAACGTATATCATATTATATATATATATAATACCTACATTTTAACTAGCTGTGGTGAAACCGCTAATCGCATTTTGTTAAGTTCTGACAATTCACACGCTTTTCCGTAGTTGGATCTTCTCCATAATTTACATTCTCTGTAAGTATGATCTCTGGCCAAAAGTGGTGAAGTCCACTATTAAAATCTTGTTAGGTTTTGGCAATTCACACGCTGGTCCGCAATTGAACCTTCTCTATGATATACGTTCTCTGGTATGATTGAAACGATTGAGAAATCCCGTAATGGAAATCGGTGGGTTTTTAACGTACTTCAAAATTATTTCTAACAAGTCCCACATTAAATTACAAAAATTATCCTATTCTGTTTCACTTCTAACGTTTTCCAGAATATAGGCTTGTACCCCACACTATGATATTACAACTAATTTTATTCGTTCTTATATCATACAAGTTTTCCGAATATTTAAATATTACAATTATACCTAGTATTAAAATATTTGTATGTACATATATATAAAATACTGGGAATTAGGAAACACTTATTTTAGTTATTTACAATTATTTCTAGCTGGTTGTTTCTTGAGAGAATAGCAGTAGGAGAAATATATCATAGGACTAATGGAGCCTGGGGTTATCAAAAAATTGGATAAAGTTGTCGTTAACCGAATCGCTGCAGGAGAAATCATACAAAAGCCAGCAAATGCCCTTAAAGAACTCATCGAAAATAGGTTGGGAAGATTCATTCGGACACCATAATACCTTATATTTATTTATAAAATGTTGTTTCCTATTAAAATTATCAGCTTGGACGCAAAAGCGACACATATTCAAGTGACTGTGAAATCTGGCGGTCTGAAACTATTACAGATACAAGACAATGGTACCGGTATACGACGTGAGGATCTTCCGATAGTTTGTGAACGCTTTACAACATCAAAATTAACAAAATTTGAAGATCTGAGCAATATAGAAACTTTCGGTTTTCGTGGTGAGGCTCTGGCTAGTATAAGCCATGTAGCTCATTTAAGTGTACAAACTAAAACAGCAAATGAATCGTGCGGCTACAAGTACAAACCAATTTACTTTCTCATTCAATTGAATAAATATGTTTGTATAAAAATTTAATGATAAACTATTACAGGGCTTCTTATGAAGATGGCATGATGAAAGGTCCCCCAAAAGCTAGTGCCGGAAATCAAGGAACTATTATAACGGTAGAGGATCTCTTTTATAATATGCCACAAAGGCGGCAGTGTTTGAAATCGCCAGCTGAGGAAATGCAAAAAATTTGTGATGTTATCTCCAAATATGCTGTACACAATTCAAGCGTTGCTTTCACGCTCAAAAAGTATGGTGAACCGCCAATATTGCGCACAACGGGCCGACGTACACGCGAATGCAATATCACTGATATATATGGAACACAAATTGGTCGTTCTTTATTACATGTTGAATTGCAAGACGATGTCCATAAGTTCAAATTCACAGCGTTGGTTACAAAAGTTGACTATTCAGAAAAACGTGGAATAATGTTACTATTCATCAATCATCGACTGGTAGACTCAAGTGGTGAGTGAGAGAAACTGTCATATATTGACATATTTTAAATTTAATATTCGTATTTATACAACTTAGCTTTAAAAGCGGCTATAGATATCGTATACAGTACTTACCTCCCGAAAGGCATGCATCCTTTTTCTTATATAAGTCTCGAAATAACACCAACACATTTAGATGTTAATGTTCATCCAACAAAACATGAAGTTCATTTTCTATACGAGGATGAAATTATTGATAAAATTAAGCGTCGAATAGAACTGAAGCTTTTAGGTAGCAACACATCGCGTACTTTTTACAAACAATTGCGATTACCGGGTATAATCAATCCAGATATGGAGGATAATGAAAATGAAGCGCTTCTGAAAATTTTTGATAAAGAACGTATGGATAAAGATCGTGTTCGAACCGATTCTAAAGAACAAAAATTGGACAAGTTTCTTTTACAAAAACCGAATCCTCATCAAGAAGTCAAAAATTTAAATTCAACTTCTTTCGCTCATATTAAAAATGGGAGCTTTAAAACCAACGCAGCGCGCAAATCCGAAGTGCTGCTTACAAGTATAAAACAAATGCAGGAAAATGTAGAACGCCGACTCAATGTCATGCTACGAAAAATATTGAAGGACCTTGTGTTTGTTGGAATAGTGAACCAAACATATGCTTTATTTCAATATGACACTAAACTGTATTTGTGCAACACGTCCAAATTTTGGTATGTATCAATGCATGTCGCTACTTTCATTTATTTATGTAACATATACTGACTATAATCCTATAATTGTTACTATATTATTCCAGTGAGGAACTTTTTTATCAACGCTTGATATTTGAGTTTCAAAATCTTCCTCATATTCAATTGGAAACACCTCTAAATATTAAAGAGCTTGTACGAATAGCATTGGAGTGCGAAGAAGCTGGATGGTCGCCTGAAGATGGCGATAAAAACGAGCTCGCTGAAAGTGCATGCAAAATTCTTATTGAAAAAGCCCCCATAATGCGTGAATATTTCTCTTTAAGAATTAATGAGGAAGGTCAATTAGAGGCATTACCCGCTATTTTAAGTCAACACCATCCTAGCAGCACACATTTACCGATGTATATATTACGTCTGGCTACAGAAGTTGATTGGGAATCAGAAGTAGAATGTTTTGAAAGTTTTTGTCGAGAAACAGCTCAATTTTATGCATTAACAAGCGTATTAGAAATGGAATCACTGCCACAACGTCACAAATGGCTTGTAGAATATGTCTTATATCCATCATTCAAACAGTACTTGCTCCCACCGAATAATTTGAAGGAACAATTGTACGAACTGACTAATCTGTCACAATTATATAAAGTATTTGAACGATGTTAGGGTAGCTTGATCAAGTAAAGGATTTATTTTATTTTTTAATATTTATCAACAGCTATTAGTGCATAAGCAACAGAGAATAAAACTAATTTCAAAACAATAACATATATAATATTACAAATCCGGCTGGCACAGGCGTTGTTCGCGTTTCGAATTCGCAACATGTTCTTTAAGTAATCGCATAACATCATTATCATGTTCTGGGGGTGTTGGTTTAACATTTGTGGCCCAATAATATATGTCCCAATCATTTGTTACGCCATTGATTAATTGGTCATACTGTGCTGTTAGTTTAGCGTCCATATCTTTTAAGTAACGTGCAACAAATGTACTAAGTATCAAATCATTTTCAAGCATACCACGCTTTCGAGATTGATAAATAAGGCTATGGGGTTATATATATGAGCTTTGGTTTCGAAATAAGATTATAAAAATACAGACATAAGACTTACCGTTGTTTCCGCACTTCCAACGGCTCATCTGGTCTCAAAGGATACTCGGGAAGTGGTAAATAATCGGGATCTTCATAATCGATTATTGGAACATCAGCGTTATTTAACACCTTTATCTTATCTTTGTCACCCCCAGTTGTAGCTTTTGAAGAAAATGTCTGAATTCGTAACATCGTCCGACGAGAACCCTGGTTCTAATAAAATTTGTACATTCACACACATCGGTAAAGCAAATTATGCAATATCTGTTTATTTAAGCTTACCAATAATTGCCGCAACATTTTAAATGCTATTCCTTATTCAAATACTACTTTGTTATTATTTATTAAAAATAAGGATATTTCGATATTGTCAGTGTATTGAAAATCAGATACTTATTTAGGTGTTTTGACGTACAATTCTACCTTGATGCTAATGCGGCTCCTAACAGTGGAACGTGCTGATATTGGTACACTTTAAAACAGGGCGGTATATTAACTTGTTTACACTTTTTCCTGTTTTGAATTCACACCGCCCTGTAAAATATAAATATATATAAATTCTCTGCTACAAGTCTGCTTACTTTCAAGACATTTTAAATTCATGCTTGAAAAATATAATAAATTTATTTAAAAGAAAAACGAAGGAATAAGTTATTGTTTTATATATTAATACAAACTCATATAAATTTCATTAAATGCAATTATATAAACTTTTAAATCAAATAAAATAAATCAATTAAACCGACAAATGACTTCGCATGTAGAACGAAATTATTTTAATTTTTTTTTATGAGCGAAAGAAAATCTTTCGTATTTTGAGACAAATAAATACGGATACTCCAATAAAAATTGTAGTATATTTGAAAAAACTTTTCAGTTTCAAACGTTTGGTTTCAGCGAGATACTCATCATAGTCTATATATAAAGGATTTTTTGAGGGACTAAAAGAAGATAACTGAAATTAAATGATATCGATAAATACACATAATTACTGTTATAGAAATTTCTTACATATTCCGTAGTTCTGTGTAGTTCCTTAATTGTTACCCGATATGCATTAACATTTTGTTGCAATGACTGTAATTGTACCTGTGTCACATTTCCTAATTCTTTGGTTTTGACATTTTCTTTTATAAAGCGAAGAGTTGCAGTTATTATTACCAAATGTTGTAAATGATTGGCCGTAATCATTAATATTTCGTAGAAGCTAAAAAGATATTAAAAATATTTATGTATATACACATATTCTATGAATTACTCACTTTTCTTTTGATGATCTACTAACGCGAGCGATAGATTTTTTTGACCAATGATGTAGATGAAAACTATAAAAAGCAAAAATTAAGACGTATACAATATAATATCACAACAAGCTTACTCAAGGAGACCTTTCATTATTTTCATTCGAAAAATGGGATATTTAATTCCTATATCTTTCAATAGGTTGTCATTCATTGATAGAAAATCCAGTAGAGTAATTTGTTCCTTGGCAAAATGTTCTAAAAATCTACCCATATTTAAAGATAATAGTATTGCATTGATTTCTTGGAAGTATTCGGGACAATCAGATTTCAGAAAAATTCTTGGTATATAATCACGCAATGTGTTGTAGCCAAGAAATTGAGGTGGGACAACATAAGTCACTACGTCCTTCGGTAAAAATTCAAGCAAATCGTAAAATCCATGAAATTGTGCTACTTGTACTGGTGTATAACCCTTTCTATTAGCAATAGTTGCATTTACACCAACTTCCATCAAGAGTTTTACAACATCTGCACGATTATTCTCTATTGCATGAAATATCGGTGTACATCCCTGATTATCAACAGCATCGAAGGACACATCTTTCAACATTCGCCTCACAACAGGGATATTCCCGTTTTTGCAGACATGCATGAAAGGAGTAGTTCCATATTTATCGGAAACATTTATCACAGCTCCATGTTTAATTAAGAGTTGTACTATCTGATCAATTGTATGCGAATCTTTACTTGTACATTCGCACGCTAGCATAAGTGGTGTAAATGAATCCACCTGTTTATTGACGTCCGCATTGAGATCTTCGAGTAGAAGCCGCACGATAGACAATTGCCCTTCTCGACAAGCAGTCATGAGAAGGGTAAAATCTCCTAAAAATTATGATTTATAAATAAAATATACCATTTTATATTTAAAAACAGTAGCTGTTACCATTGATTGGTTCATTGATGGAAATCTTGTGGTCACGTATTTCCTGTCTACATTTTTCAGAATCTCCGTTTATGATTGAGGATATTACTTCCGCACGACTGTTTTGTTCCTGTTGCCATATAGTCGGCGAACGAGCTTTTTTTGATGGCTATAAATAGGAGGAAGTATTGCTATTAGAACTATCTTGAAAGTTATCTAATGTCCTTGAAAAAATCAGTGCATTAATTTTCAGTTTCCTCATTTTTACACTTTTACTTGCCATATCACCGAAATAATAACCATCGTAGTCATCTGAATCTTCAGAATCAGTCATTGGAGGCCGGTAGTTAATCTGTGATTGCGGCATGTTTTCCAAAAAAAAAAATACACAAATAATATAATTTAAGCCTTACTTCGAGAATACCTAAAATTTACATGGCGCGTTAACAGGGAAAGAAACAAAATATTTTGGCTACATTCAGCAGAAAATTTAAATATAATTAACATTCTCTGCATTCAATTTATAATATAATTGCAATTACAAAATCTATTACCAATGTAAAACAGCTGATTGACGAAATTCGGGAGGACAAAAAATTCGGTGCATAACCAAAGAAAGTCAAATCAACCCTGAATACTTCAAATACGAAGTTGTAGTAAAAGCGTAGACTCTGTTGTGAAAATTCAATAATGTAGGAGGAAAGATTAAAAATACTATTTGTTTTAAGTGTTTAGAAAAATTTATAAAAGCAAAGTAAACTTTAAGTGGTGTGCATTTACATGTCAAAAATAATGTCGAAGGAAAAGGTCGAAAATCTTGAAAACAAACATGCCGAACACTGGGCAGGTGACAGTGGTAAAGGCAGATTAGATATGTGTCCTGAATCTGATTGTAAGGCCAGCTCTGATGCTTCGAAAAGCAATGTTGATCGTGGAGGGGGATATATTGAAACGACACAAAGTGCTGGTAATGAATCTTCCCCGTCTGTGTCACCCGTATTGTCGTTAACACCAACTCCTATTGCATCTCCTACTATAGAGAGAGAAGTAATGGGTGCTTGCTCATCAAATGTATTATGCGAGAATGAAGAATACCCATTACACAAAAGAGTTTTTCAAGGTGATTTTAAAAGCTTGGCAAGATTTCTTCAACGGCCTCCAAATAGCTGGCGAACGCAAGACGAAATCGGTTGTAAAGATAAACATGGAAACACGCCCTTACATCTTGCAGTCATGTTGGGAAGAAAAGAGTGTATTAATTTGCTGTTATCTCATGATGCCCCCGTAAAAGTAAAAAACAATGAAGGATGGTCGCCACTTGCTGAAGCAATTAGCTACGGAGACCGACAAACTATTTCCGCTGTGCTGTGTAAACTTAAACAACAGTCCCGTCAGCATATGGAAACTCGTCGCGCTAAATTAGTTCGTGCTCTTGAGCAAATGAAAGACTTTTACATGGAACTCAAATGGGATTTTGCTTCATGGGTTCCACTTGTATCCCGTATGTTGCCGTCCGATATCTGTCGTATTCACAAGTCAGGAGCCACCTTACGCCTTGACACAACATTGGTAGATTTCAATGATATGCGTTGGGAGAGGGGTGACATTTCTTTTATTTTTCGTGGTGATCGACCGCCTCATGAATCATTAACAGTTTTAGATAACGAATATGAATGTTATCAGCACGTTCGATACGAAGATACAGATATCGAAGACGAAGTCGATGTACTAATGTCAACGGATATTTTAGCTGCTCAAATGTCAACGAAAAGCATACAGTTTGCTCGAGCTCAAAGCGGTTGGATTTTCCGCGAAGATCGAAAAGAATTAGTCAGCGGACAATACCAATGCGATTTATATTCGATACAGGGTCTTATTTTAAAACAACGTAAGAGACGAGAGCATCTTTCACATGAAGATCTCCAAAAAAATAAGGCTATTGTTGATACAATAACACGTGGTGGTCGTCGTGCTAGCTTAACAAGTGCAAACGGTGAGGGTGGATTAAATGGGGATTCAATAAATGGCTCTACAACAGAAATGCCTCGAAGAAGTTCATTACAACCTCCGCCTCCGCCAACCATTACATGGGAAGAGTATATTAACACGCCAATTGGTAAATGCCCACATTTGGGACGACCACCAGTACATAAGCAGTCAAACAAGTCTATACGGGCCACAGTAGCAATGAGTAAAGATTTTCCCCTTAGCGTCGAAATGTTATTAAATGTGTTGGAAGTAATCGCTCCCTTTAAACACATTAATAAATTGCGCGAGTTTATTACACTTAAATTACCAAGTGGGTTCCCCGTCAAAGTAGAGATACCAGTTTTACATACTGTGACAGCGAAAATAACTTTCCAAAAATTTGAATTTCGCGATAACATACCGGCAACACTATTTGATGTACCGTCACATTATGTGGAAGATGCTCGTCGTTTCCCAGATTTATGACCGGCAACAGCTCAGCACCATCAAACGACGGAAAGTGTCGATTTAAACCGCAATGCTACCAGCGACATCAGAACTAAGAAACATGCCACTTTTAATGAAATAGACTAGTGTACATTGGAGACAAATAAAAAGCTGTGATCATCGCAATGATGCATCATTAATAACATCACTAAAATATTCTGATGTTAATTAGTCTCCTATTATTTCAATATAATAGTTCCAAAAAAATTGTATTAAATACAATTATCATTCAATGCATTTACATTATTTGATTGTAGTGCATTATTACGCACTTCTGCGATAAGAAGTATAGTATGCACGATATAACTATGTATTCAAAAATGTACATATGTGTTATATGTATATGCATGTATGTATGTACATACATGTTATTTTAAAACATAATTTATACCTTTATCTTATTTTTTGACTACCAACCTTTACTTACTGAATAATTGTGTATGTCATAGGCTCAAACAATGTAACTGACATTGTAATTATTGCGTGAATTTTATTTATTTGAGAAGTGTGATTTGAAATTGAGAAAAAGTCAGAATATTTTCACACGAATAACTTGCAACTAAGTTTCATTACAAACATTTCAAAGTAAGCTGACATGTATGTATACGATTTTATAATGTTGGTATATTATTAGCTAATACTAACGCTTTAAACAATTTGAATCCCATTGTGCAAATCCTTTTGTATAGTACGTAAGTTATAGTAAATGCTTGTGTTTAAAACAGTATGTTGAAATATTGATGAAATTTTTGTAAGTTTCATATCGTTTTTATGTGTAAACAAATCCAATTATGTACATATATGCTTGTTTTTTTTTATTTAAAATTAAAACATATATATTATTGTTATCAAACGTTAATGATAAAATCAAAAATACCTGCATTCAGTTAGTTCCTTGGAGGCATGTATATACGTATGATTTTATATACGTGTAAACTGTTTGGAAAATATCAATACACTGCTTGATCGTTGACATACCTTCCCACCTATTAAAGAAGTATTCATATTTGCTGTAATTTATATTTCTTATTTATTACATCAAAGTAAAATTAGCAAGACCTCATGATATATTAAGTAGATTTTTCTATTGTGTAAATGTTCAAATTTTCTGTGTGTTAGTATTTTCTGTTATAGAATTTTAATAAATTGATGTTAATAGTAACTATGTACATTTTCATATGAAATTAAATCCGAACATAAAATAAATGACAAACTTTAAAAATTTGTATATGCTATGTAATTAAACAAAATTAATTAAATCTATTTTTACACATAGCACGTGCATCCAAAGATATGACTATATTGCATTTCTTAACTTGCATCACTTTTTTTTTTTAAATAAGTCAAAAAATGTTGCTAATTAATTATAAATACAAAATAATCAAAACTATAAAGTTTTTGTTCAAAAGTTCCAACAAAAACCCAGAAGGAATTTCAAATCAGAGGTAAACTATGCTAACGTATTTTTATTTATTAAAATATATAACTGGGCACATTTATAGTATTAACACAAAGCCTCAAATATTATTTGTTAGATCTTAAATAGTCAAAGCAAAACAAAAAAAAATTGGAAAAACCGGAATGGCTGCCATATATATGTATATACATATATAACTATTAACATACGCTACAGCAATTATTTGTATTATGTCCAATTCACTATTTGATAACTAAGATTAACAGCAAAAAGAATCAGATAAAAAAAATCTATATCGAGTATTATGAACAGTTTAGTAACTTTATATCAAAAAATATTGAACGTTTTATACTTAAAAATAAAGTTGAGTGCACCATCATCACTCCTGTATATACTTTCTATACAAGCACAATCATGATGAAATTTACATTTTAAATCATTGCCATGAATACATACTATAAAATAATAAAGTGTTGTAAAGGCAGCAAAATAAATGCTGAAAGAACTTCAACCACTGCTTCGTATTTTAATGTTTACGATTTATCCACAATAACATTATTTTTAAGACATCAGTCCAGACTTATTTAAAAATTATTTAGCACTTTAATTGTTTGTGCACCTACATATATTCATACAGTATGTCTCAAACATTCGTTTAATTTACTTTTAAGGACAATGTAAAATATTTGATTATACACATGTATAAGATATGTAACAAATACAGAACCTTCTAAGAAAAATCTGTTTTGTGAAATTATTTTGAAACTGCTTTGCATAAGATGTTACTACACCCTGGTTCTTATATCACAGCAGCGGACAAATCAATCTTCTAAAAATGATAATTTGGATGCGAAACAACCAAACAAACATTATTTTTGCTTCCTTATTCGCCGAACCTTGCTTATATTTTCCCAAAATTACATTTATTTATACACAAATATTGTAACGACATGTTACAAAACAACTCTTTACATGTTCCGCCTAACCCTTTCACTTATTGCCCCTTTCCCTTTAGCCCGCTAAGTTATTTCAATGACAGTTAATTTTGCACTTTCTACCAAACAGGGCTTAGGTACACGCTACAACAACAATAATGGTAAGGCCGTCTTCTAACCAAGAGCACATTCTTGCGATATAATATGGCGAAGATATGATATAATGTATTGGTGTTGACGTGACATAAAATTTTCGATTTTGGCTGCCGGGCATATATAAGAAAGTGCGTGGCCACGGTGCAGAGGGCCACTATTGGTAGTGATGTGTGATCATATGATGATTAAGACATCATCTGATTTGTTGACGTGATATGAATTTTTTGCTTTTCCTGCTGGGCGTATATAAGAAAGCGCCTGCCCACTGTGCAGAGGGCCACTAGTTGGTAGTGATGTGTGATCATATGATGTTACTAAGACATCATCTGATTTGTTGACGTGACATGAAATTTTCGATTTTGGCTGCCGGGCATATATAAGAAAGTGCCTGCCCACGGTGCAGAGGGCCACTATTGGTAGTGATGTGTGATCATATGATGTTACTATAACATCATCTGATTTGTTGACGTGACATGAAAGTTTTGTTCTTGGCTGCCGGGCATATATAAGAAAGCGCCTGGCCACGGGGCAAAGGGCCACTAATTGGTAGGGATCTGTGATCACATGACACTATATAAATAAAACGGTTCAACAATATTGTAACAAACTACGAATAAAAGCTATTTATGGTTATGGCACCAATAATGGGTTATAGTAAGTGTCTCTAATTGAACCTTAAGTTCAAAATAAAAATTCTGTTACTGTGAACAGTAAAATCAACCTTGCTCGCAAAATCAGCTGATTCGATTGAAAAGTCAAATAACAACAATAACATTCACAAATATTTGTGGGCCGAAAAGTAAGTAATATTGACGAATTTTGCTGAAAGTATAAAATCGGCAAAATGTTAAGTACCAGTTTTTATTTTAATAATTTATGTAATATGTGAAAAGTACAAACAGTGCATTGTGTTCGTCTTTACGCTAACATACAAGTATATACGCTTTTAATTATTTTTTCTAGAAAATTATCTGAACTGACTACTGGAAACGCACAAAAAGTTATAATGGTTTTTTCTCGCCTTATACGGCCATTATTGCTAACGCGTGGAGCATTTGGTCGATCTATTGAAGAACGAACTAAATTAGCATATATGACACAAGGTACTCATTTTCGCAGTGGTGCATTGAAGCCTAAACCTCAACAAACACCTTTTGGTATTGTGTTTGTTTTCTGCGCCGTGCTGCCTGGTCTCTTTCTTGGTGCTGCTATAAGCAAGAGTGTGGCCAACTTCTTGGAAGAAAATGATCTTTTCGTACCATCTGAGGATGACGACGATGATGACGATGACTAAAACCAGTTAAACGTCCCGTCAGGCAAGAAAGCCACAAAGTGAAAATATAATCATTATTTAATAGACTTTAATTTTTCTTCAATATTTTTATTTAACAATTTCATTTAGTTTCTTATTTATTAAATCATATTTAAACTAAAAAGTAAAATGTCTTTGATTTAAAGAGTTTGTGATAAAAAGCCTACAACAACGACTAACATTTATACATTTATGGCAAAAGCTTCTCCCCCTCCCAAGGTAAGATAAAGAAATTTCGAGTAGGTTAAAACCATGAAGTATTATAATTTTTTTTACTAAATTAGGTTTGAAATGCAAACCCTCTCTTATTTTTAAATTATATGGTTTATAAATCAAAGTAGTTGAAAGAATTTTCCACAATTAAACATTTAACTAGGCAATTATTTAAATTTAATCTTGAAAGAAATACCTAATTATCATAAATTGGCAAAGACACAAATCTTATTTTTATTACATCGGAAATGTCACAATTTAACTTAACGAGATTATAAAAATATTGAATCTGCGTAAAGTTGCAGATCACAATATATACAATGCAATAAATGCAAGATAAAAAAAAAACTGAGTGATATACTAAAAGGAAGCGCATTGAGTAATTTTCATGACTAGATGCACGCACACATAACCATTAACTAACTTCAAGGATATACAATTTAAACACTAAAATGAGTTGAAATGATAGAATTACAACACTAATGCAACATCATAAAAACCACTAACAATAGGAATACATTTATCTTTTCAAACACTTTTTATACCTGTATATACATTTGCCTATGTAATGTTACGGCCACGCAAAAAGTTTGCTATAAGCAAAAGCACAAACGAACTAGTTATATATATGCTGCCAGGTAGCGAACGGCGTATTGGAAGATTGGGATCACTGTCGCGTTGCGCAAAAAGTTCCAAGTCCTCCTCATAAGTAGCGAAGTTATTCCAATTTAAGCATTTCCGCACCGCATAATTCCATCGTTTATACAGTTGTTCTCGCCCTAAATCAAAATAATTGAATTGTTGAAGTTTTTAATTTATTACAAGTGAGATATTTACTTACGGTTCACAGTTGTTGTTGGACTAAATGCATCCACGGGTGGCGGATACATCACTTCTGCCTGTAGCAAAGATACTACATTCATTGTTATACCAGCACATATCATTGCCCCTAAACATGCAGGTGATGTCGTTTGAGGCCTTTCCAGCAAACAACCAACAATGTCTGCAATGAATTGCACGAAAGCGTTGTTCTCGGCATAGTCGCCACAAAATATAATTCGTTTTTTGTGGCTTTTACGATTCCATGTGGGTGTATCACGTTTAAATGCATCTAATACTTCGTGAATTTGGAAACCAGTTGCTTCATAAGCAGCTTGCGTGACATTTTCTGCTGTGGTTTGACTAGTTAAACCTAGTAGAACGCTATGAAATAAACAAATACGGATAATAGTGCATAAACTGAAAGCTTAAAAAGCTTACCCTCGCGCATCATAACGCCAATATGGCGCGTATAATCCATGAAAAGCAGGCACAAATGTTATCTCTGAACGCTTTGCTGCCAATCCACAATCGGCATTTAGCATACCTGATTATTTGGAGAAATTATTCGGAGAATGTTTTCTGTGTCTACTGCAATAACATACCTGATGAACAAGAAGATGAAATCATAGAACTCTCTCCAAGAAATGTGTTGAGGACTTCTACAGCATTATCATTAGAATTGATTTCAGTGCATATACGTAATCCTTGCTTTAGCCAACTGACCGTTGCCCCAGCATTAGAAATAGCACCTTCTAATGAATAGTAAGCAGGAACTTTTGGGCCTAATTTATATGCTACTACTGACAGTAATCCATTAAAAGAATCTATTAATTCTTCACCAGTGTTAAGCAGCACGAAGCAACTTTCATCAATTATACAAACATTTTGACCAACTTTTGTTTGTAACTGACCTAATAGGGCAGCAGACTGTTCGCCAATGCACTATGATTAGAATTTAACTTTGTCACAAAATTTAAAACATAAAAAAATTGTATAATTCAACGTACCGCTGCGATCGGTAGTCCGTTTAGTGAACCTCCTACTACGTAACCATATAATTCAGAATTTGAACGAATTCGCGGCAGTATTTCCATGGGAATACGAAAAAATTGGCATATCTTAGCATCCCATTGGAGAGTATGAACGTTCATCAGACTTGTATAACCTGCATTGGTAACATCAGTCATATGTACTCCACTTGTATTTGATCCAGTAAGATTCTATACAAAATATATAAAGCGTAATATTTTAAGCATTTTTATTGCTATAATACATATATACCCATAGTATCCAAGAATCAATTGTGCCAAAGAGGCACGTACCGACCTCTAAAGCTTCGGATACAGCTGTTATATTTTCCTGAAGCCATCTGATTTTGAGGGCGCTGAAACATGTACTTAATGGTAGCCCTGTTTTGTGTCGCAAGTAATCTACATCGTAATTTACATTACTAAGAACCGTCTTCAAAAGAGAAGATGTCCGGCAATCGCTCCAACCTTATTATAAAGAATAGCTTTAAGTCTTTTCTATCTGAGTATTGTGTATGCAAAGTGAGTTTTACCAACAGCATTACACAAAGGATTTCCCGTATCTTTGTCCCATAAAAGTGTTGTTCCACGCTGACTGCAAATACTTATTGCTACTAAATCATACGGATTGATTTCCAAAATAATTAGATTTTTGTAGGCAGTCTACACAAGAAGAAATACCAAAGATTATTGAAAGAATCTATAAAAGAAATGTGTGTTAGCTATTATACTTCGATGCATTCTTGCGTACTCTTCCATATTTCCATAGGATCGTATTCTAACCAACCAGCATTGTGCACAATTTGCCGTAATTTCAATTGATGAAATGTTAAAACTTCCGCATTTTTGGTTGAATAAATCTGAAATTATTTTTACTAGTAAGTTAACACTTTCGTTGACAGCTATGTTTCTGTTTAAATTTTTAATCGTACAAGGAATCGGCAATGTGTACTGCTCACGTAGACCACACCAATTAATGGACCAAAGTTCCCAAAACTGGGACTGCCCATGACATTAAGCAAGTGATCAGGGATACGAATGCAGCCGTTCTTAAATTGAAAGGGTATCTACTTTAACGCAATAATAAATCGCTAATTGATTTGTTTTAGCAACAGACATTCACACCGTACTTTGTTTTTGCAAAAACGATTGCATAAAAATAAACGTGCTTGAATACAAATGTCGTTCTATCAAACTTCTCAAACGTGCTTGACAAAGCCCCGGTGCCATTCAGGCGTTGTACAATCAAATTTCAAATTCAAATACCTAATTAGGAGTACCGTCGCTTAGTTTCGATTCAACCGTTTCACTTAATATGGACACTTTTCTAAATAAATATTTAAAATATTTTTAAAAGTAATTTAATAAATACATTTTCTATTATATTTTTTTTTTATATGGCTATGAGAAAAGTTGCCTAAGCGACACCTACCGGAAGTTGGTAAGTTAATATTTTTATTAGTTGCCATAACATCGACGAAGGACATGCGCAGATATTAAACAATAACAAATTGAGATAAGTAAAAGGACGCAGGAGCTATACTAAGCAAGTGTTGAAAAATTTTAGTTTTCCCTGTGAAAATCATTAAAAATATAAAATAACTTTTTATATTCAAATAAAAAACTTAATAAGATATATAAAAAGTGTTGTATTTTCTATAAAATGCGCGAAACCTATGGACCGGACTTTGGTAAGCTTTCACTAGTTGGGACGATCATCCCTTACATTTAGCTATAAGATTTAAAACAAAAATGTTTAGGGTGGAAAATGTCATATTTATCTTCTAATTCAAATTCGAATAAATTTTAGACGATCGTCTAATACGTTTAGTTCGCGATAATCCGGCCATATATGATGTTAACCATGAACATTACAGACGCTATCAAGTTCGGATCGCAATCTGGGAAAGAATTGCTGCGGAGATGCGAACACCGTGTATGGCACATTAATTACTAATATTACATTGAAAATATTTAATATCGTATAAAAACTAATTCCAGCCAAATTTCTTCAAACTAAATGGAAAAACATACGATATAATTATTTACAAGAACTTAAAAGCTTGGAAACGGGTCTGGCAAATGCGAACATTAGAAAACGTCGGTTTACAGAAGATCTATCCTTTTTGCAAAATACTGCACAATCTTACAAAAAAGTGCAGCATATGAACTCGTCATACAACAGCTCGTAAGTATAATTTAACATCCCACTCATAGTAATAAATATCAACAGAATATTAAATTATCTCCAGCGATAATGATAGCAACAGCTTCATGTATATGGACCCTCAAAACACCAGCACATTTGAAATTATTGAAATAGAACATAGTGACGATGGCAGCGCAGCAAGGGATCACGGTATTGGAAATTATAACGTTGATGTCGCTATGCCTTCCCAGCAAATCCACGAGAATGAAAATACCTCTCTACCTACGGACAATAATGATTGCTACGATGACGACCAGATACTCACTGAATTAAATATTCCCAGCAAAATTGTAAAATCAAACAAACCACGGCAAGATCATACAAATCAACATAAAAATATATCAACTCCCCTTCAAAAGGCTGATATTGATAGCTCAAACATGGTAGCGCCAATGGCGCCTTCTTCACCCTCACATTCAAATGCCTCAAGTCTTTCGTCGCAATTACTAACACCAATCGTAATTTTGGGCAAGGAACGGAATTGTGAAAATAATATATTGGATCCAATACCAAAGCAACCAGAAACGGCAGCATTCCAACGGCAGCCAAGTGATATTATGACTAGTGCGTCAAAAAGAAAGTCCATGCCGGCTCCATTTCCAGTTCTGACGCCTATTAATGATCCAATTGAACTATATTGTCTCTCATTAGTAGATAGTTTGCGTAACATGCCACGTCCTGAAAGGGAGCGCGTTAAATTTGAGTTTGCCAAGATACTTAAAGACGCCAAGTATAAGGATCAAAGTTAGTTAGCAATTCAAATTACGTTATTTAAAATCACTAAGTAATAGTACCCAAACTCTGCTTGGTAATCTTAGAATATTGGTCATAATATAAAATTTCAATTCTATAGCTCTAAAGTAAACATTCATGTCATGAAGAGAAACATATTTATAAGTCCGAAATACAATTCATATGTTTGCCTAAAATAACAAGGTTTTGCATTGCCTCTATTAGTTTAGTTTAGTTTTATTTCCACTGCTCCAAAATTCACTTACATTTCTAAATACATCAGCGTATAAACTATAGTAAGTGTAAAAGGCGAAACGAAATGTCGTTTTCATTTCCTTATTTAATATGCACATTATATGTTGTTTTGTTTTCTTTAACTGTGTTTGTTTCTTATGTTATTATAGATGTACATTACAAACGGTTGTTGAATCCAGCAGGTTTCTAATTATGTAGACGTCCAAGTGAGTCGACACTGTATAAAAATTTGTGTGATCTCCTTGCGACATAATTATAGCTTGCGACATAATAAATAGCGTAGTTTTAACTTTTAATTAACATGAATTTAGTTTAAAAAAAAAATTAGATTAACTCCGAAATAATAAAAGCATCATTTTTTATTGGCATAAAAATTAAAATTAAGAATGCATAGTCTGTCGACGTCGTCAATTCTGTGAAAAGTCAAAGAAAAATTTGCTTTGCAAATATGGTCTGAGACTCGTTTATCAGGTGAATAACGAAGTAGTGAAATGACTATCAAAGTTTTACTGTTGGTTCAGGTTTTGAAAAAAAAAACATCACCTTTACATTTCAGATTACTTTCAAACATAATGTTAACACAATTTGGTTTATCAGTTTAAGTTTTTTTAGGATGAAGAGGTTAACAATTTTACTAAACTATATAAAATTTAAAATTTTACAAAAGTTTAACAATAATGAAATTCAATTATGTATACAAAAGTCCAATTAATTTTATAACAGCGTTTAGCACTAAAAAATGCTTCGATGTTATATGAAAAGTTAGAATTTAATGAATATAGTATTCAAAAGTGTTGACCTTTTTCAAACCCATTTCAAAGCCAAGGGGTTTTACTGTGATGCCATATTATTAGTATATTATATATTTTAACAATATTTGAATAACGATAATTTTCAATTCTGGTTTTCTTTTAATATACAAAAATGTTGACAGTGCGCAGACTGTCTTAGTTTGGGTGTTTAGTTTTACTATCAGAAAGAGCTGCAGATTCTATTTTACGCGGTGTGCTAGTTGGTTCAAGTGCATTAGCAAAATAATCATTGTATGGAGTGTTCAGACCACTTGGCGGCTCTCTTTGCTGTTGCTCCAGCTGAGGCAATTGCCTTGAACTACTTGGCCTAGTCGTGTGATCAACAGCTGAAAAAAAATGTATGTTTATCTATTATTAATAAAAGTAATAAAAACAAAACATACATTCCAGTTCATTTTTCTCATTGATATCTATGATGTCTGAAAGATCATACATTGGTTGGTAAGACATAAGCTCCGAACCTGTTGATTATAAGTGGGATTAATAAATGTATTAAGATATTAAACAACATATTTGATTCACACCTTTTTTCTCATTGTTGGGTTCATTAACCAAATTCAAACCGAATGGTCCTAAAATATCGGAATCATTGAATAGCTACAATAAATAAAATAGAAAATCAGTAAAATTTAAAAATTAATGTGTTTAAAAGAGATTTTAAGATATCTGGACAATATGAATAGGGGTTATGCAATAAAGTGTGGATTGTCCAAAGCTATACAATATTAAATGAAGTATTTTCACATATTATTCACTTTTTTACTTAATTTTAAAGTTTCATTCGGAATTTTATACGTATTGCACGGTTTTAACAGTTTCATTAATCACACTTTTCAGCCATAATTTAGCTCAGACTGTTTTAAATGAAAATTGGCTGACCTTGGTGAGAAACTCCCCATCCAGTTGCGATGACAGGGAAAATCGATTGGTTGTATTTGTGTTTGTAGCATCTCCGTTCTAGATTTTGGCACATTTGTAGAATTCATCAGAAAAATCGTATTAAGTATCATGCATTTTTTTTTTGAAGACATAATGCAGTTTCAATCAAAAATGTTTTGTTTGTGTACATTTTTTTAGTACATTCATATCAAAAAGAGAGAAAAATAATAATTGTAAGTCGTAAAATATTATTTATACTTAATTCATAACTATTAAGCAACGAGTAATTTTGAAAGTTGCAAAGATTATCTAAAATTACTAGACAAAGTTGCGTGCGAAGCAAACTTGAAAAATATATCTGTAAATATGTGCGCAATATTCATACAAGTGTGTTTTTGTTTATATTTCCTCATTCAGTGTATTTAGACACTGGTGTGGAAGAAAACTAGAACATTTTTTATATTAATTTTATGTCCATTTGGAATGAAAACAAGTTAGCGTCGAGTTGCTATTTGTATTAAGACTATTATTATACACTATAGTTGCCACAAAACTCTGAAATTAACTGCTTTACACTTAAATTATTATTTATTACTTACGCCCAATAGAGTGTTTGCGTCTAACGAATAGCCATCACTGCGTAGTAAATCCTTAAGCGACTCCAATTCATCCTGCACATTATCCAAATGGTCACTCACTTCATCACTAAATGTAAATAAATACAAAAGATATTAGTTTCCGGAATTCCTTACTGTAACTAAGATCTCTCTCAGTTACTAACCGCATAATTTCCTCATTGCCAGTACCGCCGCTTTTATATTTAGCTAAAGACAAATTATTTCCATTGTTGTTGGTCTTTCCCTGGTGTGAGGTTACAAGAGTGTTGCTGTTGCTCTGCCTGTCGTCGTTGCTAAATTGGTCAGCAGCAGCTGCGGCAGCGGCAGATGTTGAGGCCCTATTGGAAGCTGCTGCTCCTATGCCGCTGTTATTACTACGCGCGACAAATGAAGAAAACTTGCCACTGTTAGCCATTGTTCGACCATATTGTAGTTGTTGTTGTTGTTGTTTTTGTCGTTGTCGATTATAACTATTTGGCTCAGCGGATATTAAGGGGGATTCCTAAGATTTTAGAATAACTATCGTGTGAAAAAAATTTTATATACGCACATATTTAATAAAAACTCACCTCAAATATATCAGCAGGCATTTCGGATGTAATAAACTCATTTGAATTGAAAAAATTTGTCGATTGGCCTAGCAGGGGACTATTGTTTGCTGTGCTGACTGGTGATATAGCAGCAGTTGCTATATTGCCAGCATTTAGTAAACTAGAGCTACTCCGATTAGCTGCAAGAGCATCTTGTTTAAGTTTTGTGGAAACGTCTGCATGTCCGTTTTGGTCATCTGGGAAATCATTTAAGAATGACATTGGATCGATTTGTTGTTCTTTCTCGCTTTTGATTAATAGTGGTGACTGCCGTTTTCCGTCAGCGTTTCTCATCTTCGACATTGAAACGGTGATATCTGTTGAATCATCACCATCAATTTGTTTACGTCGTCGCTTATTTCTTTGTTTCAGCTGTTGTGAGCGTGCCATTTGTTCACGCACCATCGGTGTAGTCAACACGTTCTCCTCGCTATAATTTGGCGATGCACCTGGCATGACGTCGTTATTATGCGCATCTATTGCATCAGGTACCTCGGTAACGTGATAGAAAATCTGCGATCCATCTGGATTTACTGACTGTATAATAGATAAGTCCGATTCCATACCGATTTTTTGAGGATTCAAGCTGTTTATTACATTTACACTACTACTACCACCACTACTACAACTCGGACCAGTCATTGCAGTGTTTATAGCATCGTCCGTACTCTGATTCGAAAAGTCGTAGTGCTGGGATCCTTGGCTGACCCTAGAATGAGGGCGCTCAATGTTTAGCGGTGATCCATTGCCTTCTGTGTCATTATTTGGAATCATTTTACCATATGGACTTGATGGATCCCTGGCGTTGTGTTAAAATAATCAATCAAAAATGTCTCGTATTAGTGCACTTATAATTTTGAATAATGTCTTAAACAGTTTTCTTACATTAGATCAATGTCAGGATCGGTGACTTCGTCAAGCAGCTCTTCACCGAGCTCATGAATAACTGGTCCACATTCAGATTCGGATTCGCTCTTTTTGCGAAGTTTTGCATTGCCCGGTGTATCATGTATCATCAACTGCATATGTCGTTTTACACTAGTCATGTTGCGCGATGGTTGAACAATTGTGATTAAAAATTGTATGAGCTTGAAAGCAAAATAAAACCCATAAACTAAAAACATAATCAAAACTAGTGAAATATAACTTACTTTATTGACAATTTGCTGTTGCTTGGCATGTTTTTGCCGCAGGGAGGCTATTTCTCTCCATAAAGCCTCATTTTCCTGCTTCATAACTGAAAAACGTGAGTCAAGCGAATCCTGTCTACCACGCATTGCCTTAACATCTTGTAGCACTTTCGTGACAGCTTCGGGCTTCAAACCTGATTTGTCATCTAAACTCTTTGTATTGGCGATTTTTCGCTTAATATGCTCAAGCAAATATGGACAATTTCGCTTGAAGCATGGATGCGAGAATTCCATTTCATCTCGATCAAATTTCAGGCCACCATTGTCAATTGATGTTATCTTATGAAAGCCATCTGAAATGTTAATAATGATAACATAACATTACATTCATTTATCTCTAATGTATGTTTGCGTACATTACATATATTTAATACTACTACTTACACATATTTAATTGCCGAATAAAACTGGCCATGTTGTTGTGCTTGTAATTCAGAGGCAACAATTCACGTGCAAACTGAGCTTGGTTTTGAATTATAAAACTTCGGCCATCCTGAAAAAATAGCAATTGTTAATATTATATGTACTATATAGCTATCCTATCAATATACAACTTATATTTCTCAATTTCAATTTGCTTAAAGAATATACATATATAATATATGCGGTGAAACTGAGCACAATTTAGGAATACAAGGAATAACAACGCATACATATTTTTTGTGCCTATGGACTTAAAGCTACTATTCTAAATGAAATATTTATCATTGATACTTTTGCCTTGTAATAAATACACGAAATTATTATATATACAATCGTGTACAATATATATCTATAAATTTGATTTTGTTTACTGAAAATGCTTACAAATTGATATAATACACTTTTAATACATTGGTACTAACAGATAAATTATAAATTTTGGAGATTGTTAATAAAAATAAGTGCTAGAGTATATAAATGTGTATATATGTTTGCGTGGTTAATATTGAATAACAATCACGGCTAGGCAATGGAATTACAATACATATGAAATAAATTAAAAATCAATGGCATTGTTGCCAAATTTCTTTATACAAGAAAATACTAATTGTAAATGAGTGCACATGTTTCATATAAGTACATACATGTTACATATATTTTTAATAACATGTATTTATTTTAATTTACCTTATTCCAGCAGATGAGATGATTGGTATCCGGATCATCCACTAGACGCCATAACTTGGCTAAGAACGCCGGAACACCGGCGCCTGTTTCACTAAAAGTGTGCATTTGTTCTCTTCCTACGTCTTCTTGTTTAAGTTGATCAGCTTCTAAGTGTCCAATGCCTGCTTTAGTTTTAGTAGCACTTAATTTGTTTTCAGATGATCTCGTTGTAGTTGTTCTCTGTTCCTAAAAATGTTAATTACGTGTTACGATTACAAAGAAAGGTATACTTCTAATCGGATAAGTCATTTTTCTATTGCTTAATTATGCATAATAAACAAAGCGTAAGCTATTATAGATATTTAATTAAAACAAAATTGTTTTCTGCAAAGTGAATGAATTTCACCACACCTGTGTCTCGTCATAAAATATTTTTTCTATTCCCCGTAGTTTTGTTTTTCCGTCAATTTTACTACGTGTGTTTGCCATATAGATGGTTTCTTCACTTTCGTTTTGCTTTGTACTTATCGATTAAAAACTGGAGATCATTTCCAAATGTTATAAATTTTTATTGCACTTTCAAACTTTCATTGAATTTGTCTGTGACTTTTTAACTCTATTTTCTTGTTTTTTTCTTTCAATTATCCTTTTTATCCACTGGTAGTTGATAACTTTAAATTATAACTTTGTTAATTAACTTCTTAAAGCTCTTTTTCCTCAAAAACAAAAACACAAAAGCACAAAAGTCCAAAAGTGGAGACGAAACTAATCGTACAAAAAAAGATGAATGGGCAAACTAATGCACGGAAATAAAAGCAAAGGCGAGTGTAAAAACGTAAATGGTAACGAAATTTAAGAAGTAGCATAATATTCGAAACAGAACGACCATCACGAATATCGTATTCGAAGCAAAACAGGCAAGGGAAAATTTCCAACTTTTACCAATATTTTAAAAGCAAATCCAGTAAATATATGCCTCAAATACAAATATTGCGTATGTAAATTTAATCGTACAACACTTTTTTATGACTTTTGCACTATTATTGAAAGATAATTTATATTTTTGCAAAATTTATACAGCGTATTAAAAAATGTCTGACTTCACTTCGTTCACTTGTTCATTTGATTGAAATTCACAACAACAATAAATGTAAAAGAGTGTGACAGAAAGGTACACGTTGACTATTTAGAGAATGTACTCTTCTATATAAGAGTTGTCGCTATTATTATATTAAACAAACTTATTTATTATATATGAAATGATTGAATTATCTAAAAACACTACATAATGGGTATAAAAAGATCAACCCAAACTTTATTTCACTAAATGTGAAAGAAACCTTTTACTTTTAAATGAGAAGTCTTTCCACAAATCAAATTCTTTGTAGCTCAATTAAGTATGACATAGATAAAACTCAAACACACTACCTTGTAATTGAACGAACTGTCAAGTTTTCATAGTAGTTGTAAACGTCAATAACTATAACTGTTTACGACTTCAATAACTAATGTTAAGAAGAATATTAAGCGTGCTCTAAGAAGTGATTGGACCAAACTTGGATTTCTCCAGAGCAGTATACATAATATTATTAATTATTTCTGGTCGTTTGTGTAACCCTGTGACTACAGTAGTTGTCAAAAACCAATTCTTGCCTGGAAAGTGAAGAAGCGCACGAATTGGGAAGGTAAAGAGAAATGCAAAAAATCAGTTCGTGTGTTGGGAAAATGGCTGACGGTGTTAATACAAATTCCGAGTGGAAAATTTATATTTCATTGTTTGAATATTATTAATTATGATTGCAAATCTAAAAAACAAATAAACTATAATTTCAATATATTTAAGATTGTATTAAATACTCCATATTAGGTGAGTTGAGAGGGACTCGGAAATAGAAATTTTCCAAGAGTACAACAAATGTTTTACGAATCTTAACTTGTGTTAAGATTGATCAAGTTCCTTAATGTGCTTAGTGTGAAAAATGATTCCATTGCATTGATTGGAACTACAATATGGCGATAAATAATATGAATGAAATTAATTAATATAAAGGTTTTAACATTCGTTTAAAAGAATTGGCAAAATATATGTGTATAATCGTTTACCCTGTCTGTTCCAGTATTGGAAAATGAAAAGTGCACATTAATTTGTCCTCTTCACACCTAATGTCAGCCACTTGCCGGTAAAATAAGGTAGTATTGCCAGCTGTTGTAAAAAATATTGCCACAAAAAAATCATCTTGGTAGAATTTTTAAATACTTCTGCAACTAATAAACAAATGTATGTATAACAATTTCTTCAATAATTGCAGTCAAATCGAATATACTGACATCGAAAGAACTCTTAGCCCATCTGTAGTCTTGGGAGAATTTTCTAACAATGAATAGTGCTTCTTATGACTCAAATGTTCATCAGGATCATCATTGCGTTCAGCATCAGGCCCCGAATGAACGTTTATCACATCTTACAAATATTCAACCAGCCCTTGGTAACTTTTTCCTTCCTCCTGCTTCGAATTTACCCATACCTGAGCATCAGCAATCAATACAATTACAACTTCCAAATGTCAGCACATGTGCAGAAAAGGGACCCGAAATTAGCACACATTCTGTACCGATTACAACTAACGGAACAACTGGATTATTCGGTCCACGTCAAATGCCATTGACTACTGCTTTGGGCAAATCTTTTTTCAATACTACAGTCGCGGGATTACAACCATCATCACAGAGGTTTTATGGCGGGGTAGCAACAACATCTTTAACTTCTACATCATCAAATTCCGTACAACAAACGAACCGGCCGCAGCATCAACATGGCAATACTATTTTAATAACAAATAACTTCTCTGCAAATCAATATGGAACTTCAGCGCAGATACAACCACGAACAACTTCAGAAGTTGTGAATAGCAGATCGTCAGCAGTTGATACACTCACGGGTTGTTACCACAATGGGAATGCCAGTAATATTCGTATAATTACAACACTGCCAAACGCGTTACAACAACAACAGCAACAACATATATATAACATGGCCAAAGATATTGAAACAGCTGGGCACGACGATATAATACAACTCCCACAGTTCTATCATACACCACATCAGCAATCTGCTTATACTCAGCATTTATCTACAGCATTACCAACACATTTCGCACAACAACATTTTTCTGCTCCAACTTCATCGCCGACTGCTTTGCATATTACACAGGATGATGCTCAACACCAATTCTTTATGTCTATGACAAATAACGCAAACGGTGGCGTAGCGACAGCAAATAACATTTCATCTGATTCTAAGCTGATGTCAACTCTTACAGAAGAATCTTCAACGGTTGCTGAAGCAGTTAACACCTCACCAACATTGGTGTCTTCCCCCGCCACAACAACGACAAGCTCGAACTCAACTCTTGTGTTGGATCGTATTAATATTTGTATCAATAATCATTATAGCGATACTTCCGGAACGAATAGTGGTATAGAATCTACCGCAACAGTGGCGACTTCTGCTATAACATCTCCCGATAATACATATTCTCTAGCTACTCATGCCCCGCAACAGCCATCTCCAATTATACCAGCAATCCATCACAAAGTAGTGCTGGACCCGGTCAGCAATGGTGGAGCGATACATACCGATTCTTACGCTAGCAACGATTCTACATTAGTGATTGATGAACCGGACTCAACAACAACAACCCCACATACTCCACCCACCACCCCCGAAAATAGCTCTTCGCCACCTTTGTTATTAAATTTGGCGCCTACGAGAAATACAATGGCTTCGCAATCAACATCTCAAATAATAATCGGAAATGCATTAATTGAAGCTAAAAGAAATAATGTAACATCACAAACAACGGTATGTACACCTTTAAAAAGGAGATTAGTGGACAAAACCTTATCTAGTGCTACAGCGGAAGCATTTGCAACAATTACGCACAGTATTGACCTACTAGATGATGAAGAATGCGAATACGTCATTAGCGATGAGGAGAATGCAACTGTTACTGAAAGAGTGACCAAAACGAATGAAATATCTGAAAACAGCATTGTCGAAATAGAAGACAATGAAGTGGAGTTTTCAACTCCGGAGGCAATACGCATGAAAAACACTGTTAAATGCGACGACGCTTCTTCTCCGAATCTTATATTACAGCAACATAACATCGCAGTTCTGCACGACTCAAGTGAAGATGCAGATTTGAACCTAATAAAATCGGTGTCACCACAATCACCTGCACCCGTAAAATTAACGCAAACTGCTGCTAATGAAACAGCCACATCAGTAACTCTTCTTACACCACCAACACCCACTACTACGTCGTCCAATTCACTTGATAGTTTAATAGATGACAAGAAAACTGCAAATTCATCCGTTTCTTTATCGGAGGCCAGTTTTACGATGGGTGAGGATGTGTTTATCCGAAAGGATGATGGCCGCCAATATCTGGGAACGGTCATCGGCAGCAGCCCTGATACTGAGATGAGTAAGCTGCAAAAAATTCAGTACTTGATACGTTTTGACGATAACTCAGAGCTATGGTGCGGCATTGAAGAGATGAGGCGGCTGGAAAATAGTGGTGGGAATGGTAATGCTCAAATGTGTGTAGCTTGTAAGCGTATCCAAGAACAAGATGTTATAGAAACATGTGAGGATTGTCGACGTGGCTATCATCGTAGTTGTACCAGAGAAACCACACCGGGCAGCGGTGTATGGTTTTGTCTTCGGTAAGTTTAAAATAAACTTCAAATATTTTCACAAATTTATACATTATTTAACTTCTAGTTGTAGTAAACCTATGAAGGATCGAGCAAAAATAGTGGACAAACATTTGTGCATGTCGTTAGCTCAAAACAACAGGTATGTATAAATAAGATATTAACACAGGGAAAAAATACATATATCATTATCTTTTCTTATAGATACAAGAATAGTGACGGAATTTCCAAAATCTCGTCGTCTTCACAACGGAATGCTCCTCCAGATATATATGAATTTCGTATTGAAGAAAATGAAATATTTACTTCAGATGATGAAATCCCCATTAAACATATTATGGAAAAGAGTCGCAAAATAAAGGATTCATTACAAAATGTAAACACAAGTTGTTTGAGGCAAAAATCAGTCAAAAAGCATAATAATAGCGATACTGTATTATGTGAGAAGATATCGGTTTTGGACGATGAAAATGCTAATTATGCTAATAGTACAATACAAACCTGTCATTCAATAAGAAAAGATAAAATCAAAGAAAAAGATGTATCTCCGTTAATGACACCCCAGTGTCTAACTGGTAGTATTAAACAGCTCACAGATGAGAGTGAATTTGATTGCAAAATCGATGATAGGACACTTGTGTCTAATACAGTCAACCCTAATTCTGCGTCATTAGTATATAACAATGTGTCGTCAATAGTGTCAGAGCGGAATAGCCGTAAGCGCAAAGCATTTAAATTATCAAATTCTTACAAGGAGGTTGCTGCTGAGGCAGCTGCTAAGCGTTACGACAGCAGCCGTGTCTGTGATTCGTCATCGGATGAGAATTCGTCCAGTAGTCGAGGTACATCGCTTGATGTTATCATACCACCGCCGAAAAACTTTTTAGGTCTTAATAACCCATTTCGCTTAATTACACCTAAAAAGAATATGCACGCATCCCAAACGACAGGAACTTCATCGGGATGTGTTCAAAATTTATTAAATTTTAATCGGAGCGGTACAATGATTAAAAGCAGTATTTTTAATACAACAGCCTTAGACTTCAGCTCTAAGCTGGCAGCGCTTAAAAGCGCAGGTATATTTCCAAATCTAAGTACAAGTAATTTAGCCAAGGCTGCCGGACAGCCCCGAACAGTACGCACGATCAAGCGAAGACTGAGTGCCAAAGACATAACAATTGGTCCGAATCAGGAGGTGCGGAGGAGACGAACTCGTCGCCTATCGTCGAATGTAGAGGTGAAAATGTCAAATATATTTGTAGAACACATATTTTATACTATATTTTCAGGTTATTAGTACAACAACAATTAATCCAATTCCTAGGAACTTTTTCCCTATACATGCCAAAGACTTGCTTACTACACAAACCCAGCTCACAACAACAAATACGACCAGAGTATTGTCCACATTTAACAAACAACAAAATCAACGTCAAACAACAACAGCTGCAACTGCATCATTTTCATCAATATCATCATCGTCGTCATCGTCTTCGTCGCCGCCAGGCTCAATGAGTTCGGGTGTGGATACACAAGTAGAAATAATACAACAAGCTAAACCGTTGCATGGTCGACGTTTGAGGCAACGTCCGCAAAAGATTTCACCCGCTAATAGTCGCCGTAGCTCAATTTCTAGTGCAAGCACTGTATCATCGACTAACTCATCCAGCAATATAACGTTGGCAGCATTGCAACAGCAACAACAGGCTCTACATAAAAGTAATAACAAAAATGCGAATGCGAATGCGAATAGTATACAAGATCTTAAACAATCCGTTAAGGAGTACTTTGGTGGAGCAGTGAATCGCATTGAATCTGGTGAACAATTTTGCATCCGTGCCAAACGACAATTGGCCGATGGTCAGCGGCAATATCTAATTGAATGGGGCGATGTGGCAACAGCTTCGTTGCATGGGCAATTAACACAAAAAATATCGCCGACAACAACAAAATTCACAACAGCGACGGTAGAATATGAGCACTAAAAGAAGCAACTTCTCGCAGACAAGACTTATATCATATGCAAGTTTACTGTATTTAAATAAGACTTTGTCGTGGACATTTGTTCAAAAATCGCTGTCGAACGCATTAAATCATATGCCAAAATTCGTGGAATGAATCGGATATTTATAATATATACAGTCATATGATTTTTATGATATTTTCTCATTTAAATGTTGCCTTAAATTATTGTGTTTGTTTGCATATATTTGGCATGTTAATTGTGAACAATGTGCATTGTAAGTAGAGCACTACAATATTTTTAAGTTCTTACTTTAATTTATATATTGGTACAGACTGTTTATAGTAAATTTAAGTCCCAATCGCACTAATTGGCTGTTATTTATTTTTTTTCCATGCTTAAAAAAATATAAATACATGAACGAGTAATATTTAAACAAAACAAAAAATGGTCTGCTTGAAATTATCAGCAATGTTCTGTATTTCACTTTCATATACAAAGGAAGTGATTTGATTTGTGTATACGTGTATTTGTAGTGATGTAGCTTTTTATTTTGATTAAGCTTAAGATTCAGTCGAACCTACTACCAAACCATTAAACCAGTCGAATGTTATATAAAACAATGCTATAAAGATCTTTAATTGAATGATTATATTTCGTTTTATACTTTTTGTTTCAGTTATTCTATTGTTTCCGTAAATTTGGAATATAAATATAAGTATATTTCTCCTATTATCGAATTATAATTTCCTTCACTGCCACTTTTAGTTATATTTAATGATTAAGTAACATATATAAGTATTAATTTCGAAGAGTGTACTGAATTAATAGTTTAACATTATACAGGTTTGAAAGTGCAATGGCGCAAGTAGTAATATGCAGATACATATTTATATACATATATAAAACATATATGCGCACTATGACAAGAGCGAACAGCCAAACCGAAATTTGCGTGGTTAGGTGATTAAGTTTCTTTGGATCAAAATTCTGGTCAAACTTAAGTCCACAGCTGAAAAGTCTTGTAGCCAAAATCAGTATAGTAAATTAACTTAAATTAAAGTTTTGCATCTATTACTAAATATCTTTATATATAGTATATGTTAATTAGAGTTTTTATTGAGGAAGATTCCAATAGCGAAATTGTAGTCTGGATGCGATATGTGGATAACACATTTCCGTTATTTTAGAAGCAACCCATAAATTTGTGGAACTATTGACAATTTTTTGAGTATTATAAATACAAGTTAATTGAATTAAATGAAATATGTTTAGTATGTAATATGTTTAATTGGGATGTCTATGTATAAAAAAAGTAAAAGGAAAAAAAAATAAATGTTGGTTTCCAAATATTTGACCCACAAATCGTTTAAAGAAAAAACACCAAATAACTGCTTCAGTTCATATTAAAAAATGTTGAATGCTTTACTCATTTAATGGTATATGTATATGTACATATGTATGTGCGTGCCTACATACATACATACATAGAAAATAAAATTCTATAGCAACCATTTCTTTATTTTGCATTCAGTTTTCCCTTTAACTGCTTTCAATTTACAGATTTTACTATATTTTTTAAACACACAATATCAAGATAAAATAATTACCATGAGTAACAAAAATGAGTATGAGAATGGTAAGTAGGCCAGAATATGCTTAATAATTGCAAAAGGAAGTCAAATTTAATGGGCATTTGATTGTCTCCTTTGGCAGCTGAGATGTCTGCCGAGCGAGCTGCTCAGGTTGCCAGTGTCATGCGTATTGTAAATGAGTCTATTGAAAAATTAAAGATATCGTTGCTGATTCCTCGCGTGTTAGAGAACCCATTAACGGTGAGAAGACATTTGAAAGGAACAAAATATGAAAAGTGCTGGCATGCCATACAATCGTTCTTAATTATAAAGGTATGTACGTTTTGAAATCGTACATCTATCAGGGTAGAATTTTGCAGTTTTCAACACCAACTTTAGAAAACGAATGAAAAAAAATTTAATCCTGAGGAAAATTTACAACTGCTACAACTAATTGACATGTTCCATGAAAACTATGAAATGTTACATTCTTTGCCCGATTGGCTGGATGAATTGAGTGATGAGGACAAGTCTCTATTGAATGCTTTTACACTATTGCAAAATATAGCTCAAGAACGATTGAGTAAGTCGGCGATGGCCGAGTTAGCAAAGGAAAAGAAAATTCATCAAGTTTATCATGATAACGAGCAGATGAAGAAAAATATAGCAGGTAAAACGTAGATTTGAAATTGTATAGACGATTTCTATATGCATATGCATATGGACATACTCTTTATTTTCTTAAAATATAGAATTCCAGGGGAAATTACACAATCAAAAAATTAACTTGCGTTGGAAGCTAGCTGCAAAGGATGGTGTTATTAAAAAATATGAGGCCGATTTAGCTTTTAAAAAATGGGACAATAATGTGCGCATTAGAGAAGAATTGTAAGTATCTTATGTTGGTCTTCATATATTTAATAGACTTCAGAAAGCATTAATTTAGTTTCGTTCCGTCCTTTTGCTTATTCATTGTTGATCATTTTTGTATTGTAGGGTGAAGTCCAGTAGACGAATTCACAACATCCATATGGCCAGTGTTATAAAGCAAAAGGAACTGGAAGAAGAACTCGAGAGAACAAAGACAGCTTATGAAAAAATGTTAAAGCAAAATCTCTTACATGAAAAGGAGGTTCGTGATGAAAAGTAAGAAATTATGTCCAGTCATACTACCCAATTTATAACTTTTTAGTAATAATTCTATTAATTCAATAATTTATAATAATTATATTTATGATTCGATTCAGATACCTAACTTTTTACTAAATTAGTTTGCCAAATTAATGTATTGAATTAATACAAATAAATAATTACAAATACTTCTAATAGTATGTATTTGTTTATTTTTAGAAATAAACTACTCTTACAATTGCAAGCTTTGTTGAAAAAATTTGACCAGAATATTGGTGAAAAAATTAAAGAGAACGTTTACCTACAAGAAGAATACGACGAGCAGAAGAAACAGTTTGATGAATTTCTTATCGAATATCAACGAGAGGAGGCTGAATATGAAGCCATCGTTAAAACAAAAGAGGAGGAAGATCGTCGGAAGCACGAGGAACGTGTAATGTTATTCATGATGACCCGTGCTGCGAAAATTATCCAACGGGCTTTTCGGAGATATCGTCGTAGCAAGAAGAAAGTTGATAAAAAGAAGGGCAAAAGGAAGCGCAATTAAATGTTTTATATGTATACTTATGTATGCACATACACTTCTCATGGAGACACTTTAAATCTACGGTAGATGATTGAATCTAGGCACTCAATGAATTTTTAATACATCGAGAAACATTTGAGGAAAAATTATTTTGGAAAAATTGTAGTTTTCGTTCTGCATGTTTGTAAAAAACAAATAAAATAATTCTCGCAATCAACCAAAAAAAAGAAAATATTTTGTTTGATTCTTAACTCAAAAATGTCTCGTTTTTCCTTTCGCATTTTGATTGTGCAAAAAAAAGATTAAATGTCTGATCGTTAGCCAAATATTTTTTAATTCCGAAATCCGATTTTATGTGCATTTCAAATTTGTGAACATTTTTTTTTTACTATTTCAATTGATACATACAAACATAATCGCCAACGTCAACAATAAAAGTGTGCCCGCTGCTACTGTGGAAGTCCTTACATAAGGTGTCCGTCGCTATAAAAATCTTCGTTGCTGGGTTGTGAATAATCGGTTGAAAGCGGTGATTTGCAGAAAGGATTCATTTATTTTTCGATCAAAGGTAAATTATATTCCTTTAATAAATAGTGTTTAGGACATATCACAAATATATGTGTCTTAGAAATGCATAAAATTTTAAAATGTAACATACGAGATATAGATGAAAGAAATATATTAAGTAAATCTGTATACATTATTATATAAAACAATCCTCAAATTATTAAGAGTTTAGAAGTGGAGTGTAAGCACTCTATAACATGTTCGAATATTCGTATGTGCATCAAGCACATTCCATGATTGAAGGTTGAATGGAATTTCGGAAATGGTGCGAACCGAAATGAAAATGATGAGTCGTGTGAGTCGTGTTGAGTCCGACGTGGTGAGTGGTCGTGTGGTAAATCAAGCTCGCGACTATCACATATTTTTGTGAAAAAATCATTTAAAAAACCAAAAAAAAAAAAATAAAAATACATAAAAATCAACAAAAAAAAATTGCAAAAAGTAGCAAAAATCGAGCAAGTGTATAAAACGTAAGTAAAATTACAGACTAGTGTAATCTTTATGTATAACCGATGAAAGTGAAATTCGATTGTGGCGTGGCATGGCGAAGAAAAGCTTAAGAAAATGGTGGTCGTTTGTGCACACGAGGTTTTCAAAAAGAAGATTTGGGGAAAAACCAGTATAATACAAATAAAATTGGTTAAAATTATAATTGAGGTCTTTATGAAAGATATTCGAATCTTGTAACACTAATTTTTGAATTGATTTTATATCTTTTTTTTCTTGGTATTCCCTTAGTGCCAGAATAGCAGTTGCCAGCGCCGCATTAGCACGAAACGTGTGTTTTTTTTGGAGTTGCCACTTTATTTTTAGGCATTTTAACTTTAATGTTTACTGTACTGAAATAATATTTAATAATATAATATGTTGTTTCTATTTACAGTTCTTTTAAGTTTTTCCTTTTGTGTAGATTTTTCTCTTTAACGTTAGTGAAGAGAGCGATTGAAAGAAGCGTGCAAAGATAAATCGTATTCAACAGATAGAAAATGAATTCTGGAGGACCCAACTATCAAATGGCATCACTTTATGTTGGCGATTTGCACCAGGATATTAATGAAGCTGGTTTATTTGAAAAATTTTCAACCGCTGGTCCGGTATTATCCATTCGAGTTTGCCGTGATGTAATTACACGTCGTTCACTGGGTTATGCCTATGTAAATTTCCAGCAACCAGCCGACGGTAAGAATTCTAATACTTATAGTGACTAATATGAACTTTAATTTTCAAGAATATTTTCTGTAGTTTTATAATCAGTATCGTAAGATATTTATTTATAATGTTATAAATATATATAATAGTTAATTTGGTATGTGGTGAAAGGGTTTTTTTTTTTTTTTTAAATTAGTGTGTTTATAGATTTATGTGATCTGGCATTACTCTACTTTTCACCACATGTGTCAGCCATTTTTAATTCCAGTTTATATATTTGTACCTGATATTCGGTTTACAGGCTATCTTGGGAAATAAAAGCTATTTTCTTAGTTTCCGTTTTATTTACTTCGCTTTTCATCATGAATTCAGGACCGTAGATTATTTGAATTATGACTCAAATATTTTTAAATGTCATTAATTATTAATTACAAACTCCTTTTAACAGCTATACATATACATATACATAATTTTTTTGTATACATGAATATATTTGAAATTGCCTAAAAAAATTTTTCACGTATGCAGAATTCAAGAGTGAAATTTTTTTTTTTTATTTTTTTTTCAACTTTCACTACTCGTTATGTATTGTAATTTATTTACGTTTTTGGTTTTTATGTTTTATTTCTATCTTGGGTTCAGTGACTTCACATTGACATATAATTATACTTGCATGTGTATATGTATATACATTAAATTATGTATATACACTTTTCTAAACACGATTACCTATGTTAGGCTGTCAATTAATTGAACAATAGTTATATTTATATTGTGTATTTAGCGTAAGAATATGTGTTTAGTTTATATTTACGTTTTTTAAATTTTAGCACAAATGCTACGTTGACACTTTCGCACGTGCCTTACATGACAAGCACATCTGTGAATAGAAATTGTGATATATGGCGTAGTAATAGTACAAAAGAAAGAGGCATCTGTGCATGTTGTGTTTACTGGTCGCTGGAACTTATTTTTCAAAATCAACTCTACAACATTTATTTATCATGACATTCGCGAATTATTTCGAATGTAAACTTTTTGCTAGTAGAACATTCTAGTAATAGGGGAGCATATTAATCAGGATAATTTCAGAAGGCTTAGTTTCTCCATATGCAGGCAGTTTTTATTTTAAAAAAGTTTGTAAAATCTTTATAAAACAGGTGTTGAAGAAGAATTAAAGTATATTTTTTTTATTAGTGTAACAATGCAGTTTCCGTAACGTAGTTTATGAGTTACCTAGTGCTCTCGAACTATACAGAAAATGCAAGAAAAAGATCGCTTGACTTACCATGCCGTTCTGATTAAATCTTGTTGTACTTGGCATCATTAGTAAGCGAACAAAAAACTCGCGTTATTTTAAATAATAAAGTGTGTTGTTTAAGTTATGATAAAATTTATATATTTTTTTTACCTAACTTCTTATTGAGATAATATAAAAAAGTTTTTACAATTTGTCTTAGATTGTGACATTTGTCACAATTATTTTTGAAATAAAACGTATCGCCTGTCAGTTTGAGGAAAACTGAACTCTATATTTAATTGAATTCCATTAATAACAGAAATATTTTTTTTTTACTTTTTTAACAGCGGAACGCGCGTTAGATACGATGAATTTTGATTTAATTCGTAACAAGCCTATACGTATTATGTGGTCGCAACGGGATCCTTCTTTGCGTCGGTCGGGTGTGGGAAACGTCTTTATTAAAAATCTTGATAAAAGTATTGACAATAAAGCGATTTTTGACACTTTTTCTGCTTTTGGCAACATATTGAGTTGTAAAGTTGCAACCGACGAAAAAGGCAATTCAAAAGGATATGGTTTTGTACATTTTGAAACCGAAGAATCGGCTAACACATCGATAGAAAAGGTCAATGGCATGTTGTTAAATGCTAAAAAAGTCTACGTAGGTAAATTCATTCCACGCAAGGAACGCGAGAAGGAATTGGGAGAAAAAGCAAAACTGTTTACCAATGTGTACGTAAAGAATTTTGGCGAAGATTTTGATGACGAGAAGTTGAAAGAGTTATTTGAGCCTTTCGGGAAAATAACCAGCTATAAGGTAAGTTAATACTATTTAAATTATAAATTGTCGTTAAGAAATATGTACAGCTTATTACCCATTGATTGTTTGGTAATCTTGTCAAACGATTAAGATTTACGGCTGTAAGAGAAATAACTAGATTCCGCACTTACCATGTCGATGGATCCTCCAGATCACTTGACAAAAGTTGACGAATCACAAATAGTAATTCACCTATGTCTCGTAAATTAAGAAAATTACACAGCACCCATTGATTGTTTGGTAATCTTGTCAAACGATTAAGATTTACGGCTGTAAGAGAAACAACCAGATTCCGCACTTACCATGTCGATGGATCCTCCAGATCACTTGACAAAAGTTGACGAATCACAGATATTCTACTAGGGATAGGAATTAATAATAACTGTTGTTAAATTTGTTGTTGTTAGTAATATAACCGAAATAATCATTGGTGCTTATTTCTTCCTCAGGTAATGGTTAAAGACGATGGCAAAAGTAAAGGTTTCGGCTTCGTAGCCTATGAAACCACCGAAGCAGCTGAAGCCGCTGTTGACGCTTTAAATGGAAAGGATATGGGTGAGGGTAAGGTATTATATGTTGCCCGTGCGCAGAAGAAAGCAGAACGCCAACAAGAACTAAAACGCAAGTTCGAAGAATTAAAGAAGAAACGGCAAGAATCGGTATTTGGCGTTAATTTGTATGTTAAAAACTTGGATGACAGTGTAGACGATGAACGACTACGCAAAGAATTTTCGATGTATGGTACAATTACATCTGCCAAGGTTATGACTGATGAAGAGGGTCGTTCTAAAGGTTTTGGATTTGTCTGCTTCATTTCGCCCAATGAAGCAACCTGTGCCGTCACTGAAGTGAATGGACGTGTTGTCGGTTCAAAGCCATTGTATGTAGCTTTGGCTCAACGTAAAGAAGACCGTAAAGCACATTTGGCATCGCAATACATGCGACACATGTCTGGCATGCGTATGCAGCAATTAGGTCAAATATTCCAACCAAACGCCGCGGGCGGCTTCTTTGTACCAACCATGGCGCCAGGACAACGTTTCTTTGGTCCACAAGTGACCCAACCGATTCGTAACACACCCCGATGGGCACCACAGGTGCGCCCTGCCGCTGGTGTACAAGGCCTCACACAGACTGGAGCTGCAGCTGCTGCAGGTAGCTTCACAAATGCCGCCGCTATGGCAGCAACCGGTAACGCCCAGTTCCGCCCAGCAGCAGCGGCTGCCCGTGGCCAACCGCAGACAGTTCAGGGCGCGCACGCTGCAGCAGCCGCTGCCAACACAATGCGCAATACTGGCGCTCGCGCTATCACAGGTCAGCAAACAGTTACTGCGGGCAATATACCAATGGCTGGAGCACCAATTACTGCAGGCGGAGCTCAACAACGCGCTGCCAATTATAAATATACCGCCAACATGCGCAATCCACCTCCACAACCGGTCCAACAACAACCGCAAGTGCAGCCAATGCACCAAAAGGGTAAGTTACATTTTATCCTTAACTGATTGTTTTGTAAATCGCATCATTCAATAACCAGAATTTATTGGAATAAAAACAATATTTTATATTATTATTTTTTTTTTATATTTTAGGTCAAGAGAAACTGATTGCTTCTCTATTGGCTAATGCTAAGCCACAGGAACAAAAACAAATTTTAGGTGAACGCTTGTATCCTATGATCGAGCGCATGCATCCACTAATGGCTGGCAAGATTACTGGAATGTTGTTAGAGATTGAGAATTCCGAATTGCTGCACATGATAGAGGATCAAGATGCTTTGAAAGCTAAAGTTGAAGAAGCTGTTGCTGTTCTGCAGGTCCATCGTGTTGCTGAGCCAACTAATTAAAATATCTTCATCAGAATCACATCATGCTAACCGAACTAAAAAGTTCCGTAATTTCATATATGTTATTCATACTGCTTCTAGCCTCAACATCAAAAATTAGTTAAAGCACTTTAGCTCAAAACAAAATTGAAAAAACGACAAAAAACAGAAATGGAACTCATTATTCAATTAGAGTAAAAAAGTCAGGTAGATACGTTATAAATATGTAATATTGTTTACAAATTCGAAACTGGATAATGAGAGCCACATCTAAAAAGTAACACCATTACATTCGTTGAAAATCTTTTGTCAATCTTCAACTTTTATGATTTTCCCCATAATAATTAAGATTCATGCCTTTTCGCTTCTGATTTCAGTTAATTACCTTTTCAATTCAACCAATCAAAACGCAAGCATTTTTCAACATACAATTAATATAACAACCTAGCGAGTGATGCAAAGCTCCCAAGTGACGTGTACACAGTCATTTTGAAACCGTGTATTAAGATTATATGAAAATCAAGAACTAAAACTGAAAATGAAAAAGTCAAAACTTGGAATAGAGGAATTCGAAAGGTGGCACGCCGAAAGAAACAAAAGCCAAACTGAAAACCACACATTTGGTTTGAATTTTTAGTTTCTTAAAATTGTAATAGTTTCATAATCTCTGGCGCGATGAGGTAATTTTAATGTATTTTTTTTATAACCACCACCAACTACAACAACCAAACTAAACTCATACAAGCATTGCAAACAATACCAAATTTTCATAATTTTCACTTGAATAAAAATTTGTTTTTGTCATTTACTTGAAGCAAATGTGTTTCAGTGTGCATTTGCAATGGGTAGATATTTGGAAGTTATTCTAATTTGCATTTGGTTGAATTGAAGAGAATTTCATCGTCTATATACTTGAGAAGCGATTGGGCAGGCTTAGGTAAACAAAAGTAATTAACATGTATGTAAGAGAGAGAAATAATTGAAAAAATCAAACAAAAAAATTGCAAAAGCGTGTTTAAAAATGAAAAATTTGGAGTGTGGTTGGTCAAGCAGATAAAAATATTAATATCAACCGAAAATAACGGTTTATTTCTGTCATCCACTCTCTGAATGTAATAAAACCAAAAACAACATGAGAATAGAATTGCTTGTAAAAGAAAATGTTGAATAGGGCGAAAAAGTAAACGTTCAATGATTTTTTGCTACTTTAAACAAATATAATAAAAATTGAAAATATATACGTCAGACACAAACGCTGACAAGCAGAACTTAAAAATAAAAACAAAAAAAATCGCAAAATTAATATAAAAACGGTCCTCGCTGACCAGAAAAACACAATAAATACAATGAATGAAATAACTGAATTATAAATATACAACTTTTATCAAATATAACAAACATATGTGTAAGACCGTTGACAAATTTCAAAGTCGAACCGCGGGAATATTTTCAATTGCGCCCGATTAAATGTGTGGATGGGCATGCAAAATACAGGGTGGACCATAAGTCCCTTTACATTTGTATGTGTATGTGGTTAGGAAATACTAGATTACGGTCGAAGTAGCGATTTTTCGATAATGAAAATTTGAAAGAGTTTCCGAAAACCAATTTCAAAACTCCTTAACTCTATTACTATAATCGAATATCGAAGTCGAACATATTTCTAACCGCAATCCGAACAAAGATTTGAATACAAGCTTATTTATCTAGTTTTTCTCATTATTTAGAAAGTAGGATGCCTTTGGTCCACCCTCTACATTGCGAAAATTTTAGTAAAAGCAATGGTAAAAATTCAGTAATAAATCAATTCCAATATTGAATAATATTTTAACCAAACAATATAAAAATTTAATTATACCTATCTTGATCTGGTGAAATGAGAATTTGAAATAAAATATAAAATTTTGGCATAAATATATGTGTTTATGAGAAATTCCCGGGTTGAACAAAGGGTTAAAGTCGAAATTAGTTTTTCGCACTGATTATAAACTTCCCGTATACTGAATATCGCAGAATTAAGTTTCACGAGGTAACATTAATTTTTCGATCGCCCCTTAATAAGAACTACTTTTTTGTAATTGAATTCTTATAGAAAACATTGCGGTATATATATTTTTTTAGATAACTTTTATATTTACGAGTACATAAACACCTTACCTGCACACATACATACTTCAAATCGAAATTAAATAATTGCGTTTGTATTATTTGATCATATATATTTTTTAAACAAATTCGCTATTTTTTTCTTAGAAAGATAACACTACTACAATAGACACTCGCAAAACAAAGCGAACAGTATTCAAAAAAAAAAAAATACAAATGTTTCCAAAAAATAATTCTTTAAAATAAATATAAGTATGTAGAAATTTCAATCCGGCGACAAATCTTATGTTTTATTTATGTGTGTTATGTATAGGTCCAAAACCCTCTCGAAGCGGGATTGTCCGCAAAGACTTTAGACTTCACATATCCCCACAGGAAAACGTCCAACGGTGTGATATCACACGATCTTGGTGGCCAATCGACCGGCCCAAAATGGGAAATTCTCTCCCAAATGCCAACAAGATCACGAGCTTCAATTTTAGGCATCAAATAGTCGGTTATCATGGCACAATAACTGTTGTTGTTGTTGTTGTAGCGGCAGAATTCTGCCGAGTTGACAGTCCTTGGCCGGAATAAACCCGCGTCCGTTCCGGTTACGTAGACCCGACTATCGTGGGAATATAATAATAAACAATAACTGTCGCCATTGACGGTTACGTTCTCACCGGCATTATTTTTGAAGAAATATGGGCCGATGATTCCACCGGCCCACAAACCACACCAAACCGTTGCTGCCAGGTCTTAAGTCTCTTCAGGCTACTCTTCGTTCCAAATGCGGCAATTTTTCTTGTTTACATACCCATTGATTTGGAAATGGGCCACATCGCTGAACAAAATTTGGCTCGAAAACGTCGGATCGTGAAACTTTTCAAGAGCCCATAGAGCGAAGCGATGTCGAATCGACTCTCCACGGTCTTCGTGTACACTCTCAGTTACGACCGCTATATTTTCTATATATAATATTATCCAATAATGAATGCTGGGTCTCGAAGATGATTATGTTGAATTTCGTTATTTTAATTACGTGAATTTTCGAAATAAAATTGAACAATTTGTAAACGTTGTTCAGGCGTAAGTCTTTCCACGATGAAATGCCAAACCGTACTGATTAAAAATAACATGACAGCTTGACACGACTCACGCGTGACCTGTCAAAAAAAAAAAGCCTCAACGGAGGCTTGTAACAAGTTGAATTAAGCGTTGGCATGCTTTTTTTGGCTCAAAAGGCATATTTCGAAGACGATAATAAATATATGTATGTGAAATGAAGTTTTTGGTCAGTCCGGGTCAAAATTGATCAGATGGTATATCAGGAGAGAGAAGAGTCGAAAAAGTTGTCCTTTACAGTAGGACATAGGAGACAGCAGGAGAGCAAAAGTGTGAGTGTCTGTAGTAGCTATATTATTATACATATGTATGTAAGCATGTGGATGTTAGTTACTAGCAGAATCCTCGGCCTGCTATGGGATTTACGGCTTCGTGAGCCTTTTCAGCTTTGGCTACGAAGTAATAAAGCCGACAGCTATTCCCGTCATTTCGCCATTCACTGACTATTGTACTTCATTAAAAAGATAAACCTAAGTGCCTACCTCGCAGCATAAATTATTTGCTTTGTTTTCTTTGCTGTCTCTCTTGCGAGTGTTGTTAGATTTTTAGAGTTTATTTATTTATGCATTGTGGTGTGTGCAACCTATGGTTACTCAACCCCAGCTACTACTATTCATGCGCATTAGGTGGTGGCACATAAGTGCATATTCGCACATACAGGGACATAAGAAGACTTATAAGGCCAGGTAAATCTGGTGAACATGAACAATGAGAGAGAGGGATTTCCTCCTTTAAATCTTTCCGATCTTCGAGATCAACTGTAAACGTAACAGTTGCGTTGGATTCGGAAAATTGTGAAACACCAGGCTGAGACTTTGTTAAAATGAAAAGATATCTCCCGCAACGACCGCAGTTGATGGCCGAGCTGTAAAATTTATGACAGACGCGTCTCTTTCATATTTTGTAAATCGGTGATAAACAACGCTACGTTACCAACCTCTCATCACACTAAAATTGCCATGAGAAATTTGCAAATTGTTGCACTCAGGATTTTCTTCTAATTGGTAGATTTTTTATGAATGTATGTAATACTTGTAGTGAGGTTTTCAACAACATATTACAACGGCATATTACAAGTATATATACATAAGTATGTAAATATGTATACTGTGTTATAGGGCATTCAAAGTCAGCCAAACTCCTGGTTCTCGATCTGGATTCTTAAATTGTGCAGGAAAATTACTTCATACATCGTAATTATAATTTTTTATTCATTTCTCTTCTCGTCTCTATGTACATATGTGTGTGCATATGTGCAGTGGTATTATTCGAAATGGTTGCAATTTTTGTTGCACTTCAGCACTTATGTAACACTTTCATTCCTAAGCATTTTGTGCTTGCTTTTTTATTTGAATATTCTTTAGGCGAGCTTTTTTATGGTAGTATTCCCCAGCGCCACCAACTACGCCTCCCCTTGTAATGTCTGCATAACGGTTCAGGCGAGAATAATCATCACAGTCATCAGATAGAACGGCGTGTTGCCACCATAAATGTGCAGGTTGCCACTCATCCACATGTAGATATATAAAAAATATTAAATATCCCAGTAGCCCGTAGGAGAATTGCAACCTCAGATTTATTTAGTCATGGTTCAAGTTGTACAAAAGAAACGCAAAAATATAATTCTGTATAATTAATTGAAAACTCTAACATAAACTTCAGTCACCTGGTATACAAGCTCGTTTGAAGTCAAGTTCAAAATTCAACTATATGTTAACTTTCATGCCAGTTCAAATTTGACTAGTTCATAGGTAATCTATATTTGGTTCTCTCTATAGTAGAAAGCATACGGGCATATGCACATCCATACATACGTACGGATTTATGTCCATATGTGCGTAGGTGTACCTGTATGTGAGCGATGCTGCAATGGCAAGGCTTCAACTGCAATTTAAGTGCAATTTCTATGCGTGCGTTTGTGTGCAATAACCAAACCAGTAGCATCGCATAGCTGGGAGTTGTGTGGTGTTAAATGAAGTGGTTGTGCAGTGTTGCCCGTTCTGGCTTCAATTAATGCCTTAACATAATCCTAGATGCATGCCTGCAGCTATATTTGTTTTTGTTCTTATTCTATGAAAGCGTGCGTACAAATCATGATCCAACAGCGAATGAAGTGGCATTTTGTCATGCTTCAAGGTGGAGCAGGCCAAGCAGAAACACCAGCAAGTGGAAATACACATACACACATGTGACTCAGTTTGGATGTGAATAAGTACATCGCGTACTAGTTGGTGTATGATTTGACTAGAGCTCGTGGCGTATTATAATAATGGCCATGGTTCAGCTAGAAGGGGGGGGAGTTCTTGCATAAAACCAGATGATGCACCACTTATTTATGCAATTCAAATTAACGGCAGCAGCTGCTGAGCAAGAGAAAGACATTGCTTAACTACAATAGTTACCAAATAGGTACATATACATTACATATGTACATGCATATATATGTATATAATTAGAGCGTTGACTTCTACACAATAAAAACATTTTATACTCTGAAATAAACTGCAATTGAAGTTATGCTGCTGCAACATGTTTATAAATTTGAACAATATGAGTCCATTGCCTGACAAAGTATGTTCCAGCTGTGTCTATCAACTCTGCGAACCTTAAAGCTGAACGTTCAAATACTCTCCTTTGCTGCTCGGATTATTTTTCCTTATGTACAAGTATATATGCATACTTACCATACACACATACTCGTATGTACTTAGCTACATTAATTATCGTTATATGTGTGATTGAGTTTCTTCGCCTATTTGTGGTGCAAATGCTACAATCATATGGCCTTGAATTACAACTGGTGTAAGCTACACGAAAGGGTATTTCATGTCTAGCATGACCTGGTGCGTTAGATCGCTAAAAAAAAATCTACAATTGGAACCAATGACCCGAGCGCACATACATATGTGAACGCATGTTTGCTTCCTTCACATTGTGCGCACGATATCGCGCTTCCATCCATCAGTTCGACAAGGCATTTACCTTTCAACGTATCACATGCTGCTCATTAATTTGTGGCTTTCATCATTCAACAAATCAGTCGTATTTATTTCCATTTCACAGAGCCTCGCTGCTCGAAAGTAGCTCATACAAACTCTCCAGACTTGCTTCGCTGCAGAAGTTTATGTAAGCGTTTGAAGTTTCCATGGGCATACGGCGTTTCGATGTCTGCTTTATTATATGAATCTGTTATTTTCATTTGCTGTTGATGTTGATGTTCTATTTGCGTCTTGACTTCAAATTCACCGCTGCACACTCCGTGGACGCAAAATAATATACAAGACATTGCAAGACTTACTAAACACATAACGTATTTTGTATTTGGCAGAACTTCGATCTGGCTTGCGTTTCGCTGATTTCTCAATAAGTAAAATAAGTAAATGCACCGTTACCACTTAATATTAAAAGTTTCATTAAATTTGTGTTTATTATATCTAATCTATTCTTTATTGAATTGGAAAATGCCTGAGTTTAACAAACATTAAGATGAAATAAATACAGTTAGCTGTAATAACAAGGATTTGAAACAATTATTCTATAAGGGTAAAAAGATTAATAAAAAAACACATTAGTATCGTCCATGGTTTTGGTTCTTACATAATGCAATTTCGCTCGACTGCTAGCGGCGGTATTAGTCAAATAACACATCAGCCAGAGACAGACGGCAAATACAAACACAATGCTGAATTCGAATCCAGTGTGCACCAGGTGCTTGCACTTATTTAGAAGAAGGGGTCACTATGAATTTGCAAACAAAAAACTAAACAAAAACTACAAAAAGTGCACTAGATATTTGCATATACTATTCACACATGGCGGTGCCTATCAATATTACATATTGGTTTCGGCTGCACCAATCCATGTGTATGAATACGATTCGAGTTTGGAGTGCAGTATGGAATATTGATCCCTGCAGTCTTTGCTGGCGGACTTTTGTAGTACAACAAAAATCATTGCACAAAATGCATTGGACCAATGCAAACCAGCAAAAGGTCTAACTTTTTTGATTTATACGATGCAGTCTCATGTACAAAAATGCATATGTAGTGTGATACTTGTATGTATGTGTTTGGGCAGCAGTCTGCACATGAACATTCGTGATTTGTTGGAGAAAAAAGGTACGACTCTCTGTTTGTTTAGTTTTGATGGGATTTGTCGTGTTACAATGAATGGTTTTTTTCCTCACTCATTTTGAATATATTACCTCGATTGATGCCATCTGTGTTGAAAGAAATCAAATTAGTAGTTTCTAATATTTGAATTTCAGGTGATTGAAGATGGGTTTTGATGCTCTTTTTGGGATATGTAAGCGATGTTAAATTTCTCTTTCTGACATTATTTTTAATCATCTTCGGAGTTACAAAATAACTGTAATTGCAAGAATTATTAATAATATGATACTAAAAAGCGTCGACTACATTATATATAATATTATATTATCCGTCGATTTAATTATGTCCAATGATATAACCTGTACTTGGGTCAAAATGTGATTTCAAGTAGGCATACATACAGACAATCTTATTCTTGCCATCCAATTCATGCTCGGTACATTTACAGCGTGCATATTTATAAGTTTAAATATTTCTGAGTTATTGCAATAGGCTGTGTTATCACTTAGGTAATAAGGACATGTACGTTACACGCAATCTCACAAGAACAGCGAACAATAAGTGAATATTTTCATGTCGAACTGGCAAACTTTCCAGAAACTATGTCGAACAAGCAAACGCAAAGAATGTTCAGTTTACACAGTGGCTAGTTATGTTCTTATTGTCTATTCATTACTGGCAACATTGATACAAGCATGTTCAGAATCTACTCATGGCAAATGAGTGAATAAATATGGTTCACTTATTTCTGCTTCGTATTTTCCTGTCTGCTTAATGAGCTCTCACTTGTGGTGGGGGTGTTCACTAGAATGCGTCAATATTTTAGTGCCTGAGATATTTCACGCTTGCTACACACTCGAACCGTTTTACTATTCTAACCAAATGTTGCGCATACGCTCCGTAGTCCGCCTCTTGACGCTGCGTATGCACCATATGCATCATGCCGGAAACGGATACGGAAATGAAGCATGAGCTTCATCAATTAACCCGAAAACTTCATCATACTTGACGGCGTTTGAATTGGTACACTTAAGTATATACACACATACATTTGTATATAAGACCGTAAAATTGTTTGTGTGTTTGACAGCACATTTACAGACGTATGCAGAAGCAAGCGCAGAGTCAACAGCACAAACACATTTATTTTCACGTCACTTGTGAAAACCAAGTACGAATATGTATGTGTTTGTGCACAATTAGTGTTTTCATACCAAGCGTTGGCGCTAATTTGTTTGCTCCACTTGCATTCATTCAGATTCATTTGTATTATTTGTGCAAAAGTTTAAGTTTCTCGGCTGCTCCATTAAGTATGAGAGGCAAGTTTGAAAAGTGTTTACAAATACGTATTATATTGACGAGCGCTAAGAGAGGACAATTTAGGACAAACAAGCATTTTTTCATCTCTATTATTTATTATATATGTGTGCATATTTTATTATTTATTAGTTACATAAATATATTTTTTATAAAAAAAATATTGTTTTCCAAACATGAAAAGCTTAAATTGCACTTAGAACTAATATGCATACCTACTACATACATGTATGATAAGCTACTATATATATCTTACTTATAGATTTCCATTGGACTTTCAATAAAAAATTGCAAAAGAATTTAATAGTTTTTAATAAACTTAAACCATACTATTATACTATTTATTATGAAAGAAACCAACATACAAAAGTGATAAGAATATACAACTCTTATAAAGCTACAATAGAAACCGTTCAGGAAATCTATATTGCAAAGTTAAGCTGATGTTAATCATTTTATCAGTTATCTGAAAAACATATGTACTTGTAAACTGATGATTAGTATTAGCGAAAGCGTAGGTCGCGATTCCGTTTGTTTTAGAGACAAGATTTCGATGCTTTCCGAACAGTTTCGAATGATAAATAAATCATTCGTGACTGGGTAATACTTATAATATACATACTCGTATCTTATGGCGTTTTGTCAAATATTTGTACATATTAAATGTATGGTATGTACGGATGTATAAAGATAAATGCGATGTGGTATCCATTTTTCTAAATCTTGATGTACTAGTAATTGTTTGAATTTTGTTTTAGTTTATGTGTAAATGCTTCACTGGTTATATGTTTACTCCACATACATGTATGCTTATGTATTCTTCTTATATGAATTTATATTTGCTTCTACATAAATAAATAATTATTGCGAATATTATGTGTGTACATATGTTGTATGTACAGTGGAATTTCTATGACTTATGATTGTATGCTTATTAAAATGGCTAGTAACTTAGTAATATAAAGTCCCTAAGATATGATTAAGCTTATTGCATGGTAACCTAAAGAATTCGTTGCTGATTTTTGAATCAAGTTCATACATATGGACATTCAAACAATGCTGAAAGTGCATTTGCACTGCACAAAATGTTCAAAGTAAATAAATATGAGCTCAAAGTACGCATATAATACATTTTGAAGAAGATGTCATTACCAACCCTATACCTACATACATATAAAACATGTATGTACACATGTTAATTATTCTAAGGAAAACTTAATTGGAAGTTTCGGTTTGTAGCTGCTCCTAGTTTTCAACACGTTGCAAATAAGTTCAAAAAAATCTTATATATAAGTGAATGTGTATGTACATATGTTTGTTGTAAATGTTGTAATTAAAAATACTACTTTTTCATTATTTCTGGCTATAAATATTTATATGTATGACCAATACTTTTGTACAACCAAATCGATTATTAGGTAAATCTAGTAAATGCATGTTTTATAAATATTGTGGAGCTGATTGGCGGGTCATTTCTACGAAACTTTAGGCGATAATTAACGAGTACTTTCTATCGATGTGTTTAACACATTTTCCACAACTGCTCAGTCAAAGTCCACATATACTTACATATATGTATATTCAAACAATTTAGATTCTGGAAACTACTTAGCCAATAATTATTGGAATAAAATTTTTTAGACTTAACACTAAAATCCCTCGAAATTAATCTATGCAGCTAATTATATATATATATATACTTACACGTAAAATCATATTTTAAGTTGAAGTAATATAAAGTATGAAAATTATTTATCACCGTTTTGCATTGCTTTACTGAGCGCTGAGCACAGTTGACTAAATGAGGGTCGTTCTTTTGGGTTGGAGTTCCAGCACGTAAGCTACAAAAGAAAGAAAACATACAATAACCGTTAAATGTGTATTCAAATGCATTCGTTACGCTCGTTTTTAAGCAAAAAATATTCTTAGTAAATTAATTACTACGTAATCTTTACTTATATAAAATCATATATGTATTGTATATATGATGCATACATATGTATAGATACATATCATTAATGCTATTCTCACCAAAATCTCCTTCAGACTATCCGGTGTACCACTTGCACATGCCCAATCTAAATTGCCCGATTGGCTGCGTTGTATGACTTCTTCGTTGCTCAGCTCTTCGAAAGGCACTTTCGTGGCCTGGCTGAATAATTCCCAAACAACGACACCGAATGCAAAGATATCACTCTTTGTTGTATAATCATCCTCTTGAATACATTCGGGTGCTAACCAACGAATGGGTAGAAGAGTGTTGCGATGCTTGAAGTACTCTCGGCTGTATTTATCCTTCGATAGGGCGGGATATGATACTTTTACAATGAAATCACTAGAGATGACACAGTTACGGGTAGCCAAATCCCTTACAAAATGAAAAAGACAATGATAATGGTAAATTAAAATGCTCTATTAAAACTGCTAAAATTTCATGTTAATGCAAATGCTTACTTGTGTATGAATCGAGCCCTATAAATGGCATCCATACCGCGTGCAATTTGGTATGCTACCGCCAAAATTTGTCCGGTCTGCAATGGCGGAGGCGATTGAGCAGAATTGTTTGAAGTATTCACTTTGCCGGCAGTGGCTAGAAGAAACTGCTTCAGATCACCCTAATTATAATAAAAATTGTGTTAATAAATAAATGAGATTCCCTGTTATAAATTTCATGCTACACGCACCCAATCAGTGTATTCTAAAACCATGTAATGAGGATCTTTTTCACGACATAATCCAAATAATCGGACCACACCTTTATGTGAAATAGCACGAAACATATCGATTTGCCTTTTAAACTCCTGACAAATATTTTCATCCTTGAACTTATTCAAGGCCTTAACTAACACTAATTTGTATTCATCTGTTGTTGTAGAAGTCGTATCACCATCGGCACTTCCTGTTTCCTGCTCTTCTCGTATCTCTTCGATGTCATCCATTGACGTTTTTGAGCGTCGTTTTTCGATTGAAGTGATTGCACAATTATTATCGCTGCCATTGTGTCTTTCCGATTCGACATCTTTTTCATCTACTTGGCGAATAACCGACGCTTTCACCTTTCCAACAAAAACATCACCGAACTCACCTCGACCTATTTGTAGCAACTCAGAGATACCAGAACGTGGGAGGGAAAGCTGATCCAAGGCGTGCGAACGTTTTGAGCCCTTCGAGTGGTTGCTGCAAGCAGTGTCATCGGATTTCGCTGCTTCATTGCCGCTGCCACGCGGGTTGTTGTTACCGTTTACTTTGCGTACTTTTCCCGAAGAAGCGTGATCTGGCAGGCAAGGCTCGTTTTCGGGTAATTTACCCATCTCACCGGACTCGGGGTTATCTTTATTCGCTTCATTAAGACGTGCCTTACGCGCTTGACGACGGAAGCGACACCAAATCATTAAACCAACAACCAAAATTATGTAAGCAAATGCTACGGACATGGTGATGAGAACCGCGCGTGTAATTAGAAAGCCATCGCCGGATTCTTCCGATGCAGCATCAGAGGCTGCAAACGTTACGAAAATAAAAGGAAACTGAAATTCAATACTTCGCTTTTAAGAGATAGCTAGCTAGCTTCTACTAGTTCTTCTTTTTTAAATTTAATGAAAAATTATAAAAGTTTACTTTACTCACATTTAACAACGAATCGTACTTCTTCGCGCTTCAGTCCAGCACTGTTACCTATCGTACATCCATAACGACCCTCATCGTCCGGCTGTACGTCACGTATTTCGAGCGTGCCATTCTCCAAGAAGCGAAAGCGCATCTTGTCCGTATTATTCACGCTTAAATACTTCAAGTCCTTATCCCATTTTATTGTTGGTTTGGGATCACCAATAGCTTGGCAGTGGATGACCGCCACCCCCATTTCACCAGTTTCGATAGGACCTTCGGGAGCAACGGAGAATCGTGGTGCTACTACCACATTAACGGTAACAGTGGCATTGATGTGACCTTGCGAATTACTCGCCACGCAGGTGTAATTGCCGCGGTGCTCAGCACTGACGTTCTTAAATATTAGCGTACCGTTGATGTCATCGATTGCCTCGGGCAATTGAGCACCAGGTTCCTAAACGGAAATGATGAATAGAGTATAAATAAAAATATATTACTTACACCTTGTATTACTATTTATAATAAATTACTAGGTTTGTACGGGGAATTTCAACCACATGTATCGCATATGTGCAAACGTAATAATCTATCAAGAATTAAAAGGTTTTTATGTTTCCACAAAAAACTACAACTAGTATAAATAACAAATGGGACATTTTTAGCGAAATTTCCGCAGAACAAAACAGTATCCTTTCAAGTATATAGATATGTATTAAAGCAAAAAAGTTGTGTGTTTCAATTTTTGCAGGCGTTAGAGGAAATTTGACGGTTGTTCGTTTGAAGTATACTCTTGAGCTCGTCAGCTTTGTGGTATCTACATAAATATATGTTACTATGAGTTTTCGACATGTTGGCGTCTGTTTAAAAATTGTGTATCTATTGGACCACCGCAGATCTCAATCTGTAGGTAATCATACGTTTATGCATGTACATCAATATGTACTTTTGTGTATCAAAGCGGACGCTGAAGCAATATTCCAAACCACTTCGCCCAACTATTGAGATTTTTGTGATTGTATTGGCTGCAGGTTTTGAATAACCGTGGTTTTAATTTTTCAAAGTGATTTTTTCACTTTGTGCCGCAGTCCACCTGAAAGTAATGCATCAAGCTTTAACCCATCCATTGAAGGCCATTTAAAACAGCCATAAAGTATACTAACGTTAATGGATATAGATACGATATAGATATGGGGAGCCAAGTCAGGACTATTGCAAGTCAATCTGAGCGCAGCTAATTTTTAACAGATTTTCAATTCGAGCAACTTTAAAGGCATTCTTGAAGTATTTGATGCTTAAATTCTAAAACTTATTATAACTGTATTTAACCATAAGGTTTTCAAATTTAGAAATATTTTTACAGTATGTGATATTTATTTTGTTTTTGTTAAAAAACAACAACCAAGAAAATGCTGAAGTTGCTTCTTTTCTCATTCCTTTTCACCGTTTGTTGTGTCTTTGTTTGAAAAGTGAGCAGAACTATTCACCAAGTTTTACTTAAAATAGACAATGGTAAGTGAAAAAGCCGTTGAGCTTTTGTGGCACTGCCATGTTGTTTGAACATTTAATATTTCATCTTTTCGTTGTCTCCAGCTTATGCTGAATATTCGTTTTATAATGACCATCATCAGCAGCAGCCCATAAGCTCTTAAACATGTGTAGGAATGTGTATTGAATGCTACTCTACTTGTGGCATGCAACTTCTACTTACCCGTATCCATTTGACATTGGGCGAGGGAGTTCCTTGCGCCTTGCAATGCACCTTCCCAACACTACCCAGTTCTAAGTTTTTTGACGTCGGTTGCGGCATGAACTTTAACTGTTCAATGACTTGTAGCTCGGCAGGTTCCGAAGTAATGGGGCGAAGACCCTCCACATAGATTTGACAAACATATTGCCCGGCATCGTTTGCAAACACATTGCTGAACAGCAATGAGCCATTAGATCGGTTGAGCACTATGCGAGTATCTTCTCGTAGTGCCAATTCCTTGCCGGTTTCAGTGGGTGTAGACATGGACGTGGTAGCAGATGCACCGAGTTCCACCATACGAAATATTTTACCGTCTTTTCGCCACCGTAGCTGCCCTTGATGATATTTTTCCGGCACTGAGTGTAAGCAAACCATTTCTATAGGCTCATTCTCTTTAACTTGCTTGTCGGCGGGACCTTTTGTGATGGTAATATCTGTAGCGGCTGGTAATTTGTCTTCGCTTGTCTGACCACCTCGCTTGCCACGGCAAAGAAATATCTGGTTCTTGGCTTCTATTGGCAATTTTTGATTTTTCTTGAGTCGTGGAATGCAACTGGAAGATGTAAAGCTGACACTGTCGCGTTCAAGCGATCCACTTTTGTTGTTCGACCATTGTAGTACGTAACCTTTCTTACTCATCGCACGACCAGCTGCATTAGAGGCTATACAGCGATAGAGACCGCTATCTGCGGCACTGGGTTGGCGTATAATAAGTCGATTTTGTTGTAGCTCAATATTTTTGAGGGTACTCAATTTTTCACTGTTGCGGAACCATTCGATTTCGAGCATTCCGTCGCCAGAAGAGCCCTCCACATGGCACTTGAGAGTGACTTCATTGTGAGTGCTGCTTAACAACTGCACGGAGGCCGCTTGAATCCCTGCAAATTGGCGAAATAAGATATAAAAGAAGGGTAAGAAGGAGTATTGGCGACTGAAGTGCCTTACAAATTAGGGTGGCGGAGGAATTCTTTAAGTACGAGTATGAAACCTTTGATTGATTGGCAGCTACTTATTAGTATAGCGTAATCAATCGAGAATAGCGTAATCAATTTAAATATACGAGTAGCCCCAATAGAGACTATAATCATTTATTTCATACTGCTACATACATATATATTATAAATTAATATTTAATAAATTGTAAAACTATATTTATGTTTGATTTTAGTTGGTATGGCTCGATAGCCATTCGTTCGTCAAGGTACGAACATTCAGCGTAATCAAGTTAGAATATTGAAAAAGTTCATTCCAATTCATTAAATGTTTCATGTTTTGCAAATTTCGATTTTGTGGTTAATCGCTGCAACGCTTTATTTATTAATTATTTGAAGTGTGGCTTATTTTTTGCCTTGATTTTTTTAGTTTCTCATCTTCCAAACACATAGTTCGTTATGCTATTATACATCTTATGTTGTGTAAAACTCCATGTTTGTATGGATTGTTTATATTGGAAAAGAATACGAACAAGCAGAATGCACATAAAGAATGCATGCTGACATATAAATAGAGTACCGGTAGGAAAATTCAAATTTGAAGCCACACGTATAATTTATTTTGCAAAAAAATTTAAAAATACACTTGCATGTCAGATAATTCAGTTAGGTAATGCCAATTAACACACTAATATTAACTGTCGGCTGCCATGCCTTGTTAGTTTTTAGTTTAGGACAAGGATTTCCAGCACTATAAAGATGTAGGTACTAGTCTCCTCTGTTTCGTTGCCTTACCCTGACGGGTCAGCGATCGTGTACTGCGTAAACAAAAAGGTTAAAGTTTATCAATCATCGCTGCAGCGATTGTAATTAACATGCTTGCTTTATTTTTAGCCTTACGAGAAAATTGTTTATAGTATGATGTTTGGAAATGCAGTGTGAGAAATATTTCACTTTGATTGTGCGAAGGTAAATGAAGGTGTTAAAAGACGGAAATAAATTTAGCGCGAAGTGATTACGTTGCAGCGCCTTTGACGGTGCAAGAAGAGATGTGAGTTCAATTGCCTTTCGGCTTGATAAATACAAATGGAAGTAAATACATGTGTAATATATGCATTTAAATTTGCAAGTAACCATCTATAGCATTTCCACATATGTACATATGGATATACTGCAACACTCGTTTCAGTAATAAAATTAGAATTATGTCTTATCCTGGCGTTTTCATATTATATATTTAATAATAAAATAATTTAATAACCTAAGCCTAGGGTTGTATAGGTATTTTGCTAAAAATAAAATAAAAAAATAATCAAATTTTATAATAAATGTTAATACGTGCATGGATGCTCTTACATATTTATGTTTAAATTTGAACTTTTTGTTGAATGCCTAATTACTTTGGCAAAGATTATCTCGTTGGTAACCAATCTTCCTTTTTATGCAATATTAACACACATTTTCTCACCGTCACCGCAAAGAAGCAGTATACGCTACCCTATGTTATATACCACCCTGCCACATTGAAGTGAACATAACAGTCAACAGCACTCCAACCCACGCATAAATGTAAACAATAAACGTCAACAACAGGAGAGCAAAAACAACAAAATCAATCCCCTTATAACAAAGAAGGCGAACAAAAGCAATAATATTTGTCTGACAATGAATGGCAAACCAAGGATCCACTGAAAACCGTTGAGAATGAATGAGGACATTGAAACAATCGCCAACAATCGCTAAAAACAATGTTTGCAAAGTCAGTCGCTGCTCCTATACAATTGGAATGTAATCTTCATGGGGTTGTTTGTCTACATCTTGAGAGACGTAATACACCAATGCCACCCACTGACTAGGTGAAAAACGAGACTTCATTCTTCATTTCTCATCGTTATTTTCTATAACCAAATGGGATTTAAGAAACAAGACAACAAATATGCATGAAAGTGAAACAAAAATATTAAGGAAATGTTGGAAAAATCAGAACATTTGCAAAGAACACCAGAGTGTATAAAATAATCGTATTACACTGATACCTACATACGCACATGTGGGCTTATAAAATTGAAATTGGGGTGGCCGGATAACACTAGAAGACGGAGAAAAGTCGTTAAATGCAGCAGAGCGGCATGAAAACATAAAAACAAAATAAAAAGGCAAATCGTTAACAACAGCAGAACAGCAGAACAACCCAACAACTAACGGAATAAACATTCTAACGACCCTCCGCATACCATGTCCGACTGCTATTCCTTCACCCACCCGCATACAAACACTCATAATAAGAGTATGTAATACTTGTTATGCACAAACATAATACTTGTACATACCCCACATGCATACACATCTCTACTGGGTGTTTGCTACGTAAAGTTTACCAACATAACAGTCGCTCATAACATTTACACCCTCGGCTTGGCTTGAATACGAGAAGCTGGCATTTGTTCAGAATTGTGCACCAACTTCCATTTCATTTTCGTTTTCAACGCCGGAAAAACGCATAAAATTTTACGAGCAGCAGCTGAACGGAGACGAATAACAGAATATAGCAGGAAGACAGCAGCGTGAACAGTGATAGCGGTGGAGGCAATGTCGCCTTCAGCAAATCATGAAATAAAATTGACTTGGCTTGGGCAGAATTACGTGAGGTTATATGTGTTTATATTAAATCTACGCACACACATTTAAAACCAAACAAGAACAAGAAAAATGGCGGCAAGAGGTGGTGGCTATATAACACACATGCTTCCACACAATCCTACGCTATTAACAAACTCTGGTATTATGTGAAATGTTTTGTATTATATTTTCCAAGACTAATGAAAATACAAGTATATTTAGAAGACCAGATAAAAAACTTATGATTTTGCATTTAAATTACATTAAATCAGTTGCAAATCTTTAAAATATACTCCTTTTGAACCAGCACATGCTTGATGCCAACGCTTCATCCAATTTCTCATAAACTTATTATACATAAGTCTCGACTGGACAGTCTCGAAGTCATATTAATAAACCCACGTCTCGTCATTCTTTAACTTTTTCGACGTGATCGTCATTAACAGAGGTGGATTTGTGATGAATTAGACTTCACAACGCAACATTTCAACGATTTCGTAGCCGTGATTTCATTAGAAAGACAAAATTGTCTAGCAAAGTCTTAGTTTAATTTTTTCCATAATAAAATTTTTTTCGCTTGGTAAACAAATAGCTACAAAATACACACTTATGTACGATATACTAATCGATATATGAATCAAGGGTACAAAATTTTATCGATTCGGTTCGCGCGCGCAGTTTAAATGGTCCAGTCCGAGGCATATCTGATCAGATGGTATATTCTATAATAGAGGCATATATTTAAAACACGCTCAAATAGTAAAATTGGTTCGTATGCAGGTATGTATATGAAGGCAGGCTATCATATACTTAATTGGAGGATCCGGATATTATATATCATGTAGTAAAATTTGACATCAATATAGAACAAAATCAGGTGATACCGAATCTAGATCCAATGAGTATTTGTATAATACAGATGAAGTTTTATAATAAGATAAATTCCTTCCATATAAATGAGTGTATACAAATTGTTCATATGTATGTATGTATGTACATAAATAACGAGACGTAAATGATTTGTTAAAAGATTACATTTGGAGAGAGAGAGAGACCGACCCATAATATGTAGAAAGACAAATGAAGAGTCGAAAGAAGAATGAATACTTTTGTAAATGGGGCGAGCAAGTGCAGTTGGAGCGCCCATTTAGAGAATTGACACGAGGCAACTATAGCATACATTCTACTGTGTGTAGAACCATATATAATGTACCGACAACAACAGCAAAAAGCGTATAAACGACGGAGAAAACTTAAACAAATAACCACAAGAACACAAACTGCAGTCAATTAAGATGAAGAAGTCTACAACTGGAGACTGATGCATCTTATGAAAAGTAAACAAAACAAATATAAAACATCACTAAATCGAAAATCTGTGCAACACATGCTACCAACTGCTTATTTTGGAGCCTTCTTATGTTATATCGGCATTTCGTATTGAAGTGATTTTTTATTTACTTATGGACAGCTGGTTTGCGGTTATTATGCCAACTCATATCAAGCTGGCGGTTCCTAATCAAAAGAAATGAATCGTATGAGTTCATAAATGCTCAAATGAATAAACGGATAAAAAGAAGCAGCATGCTCGTGATTTCATAGGACATCATTTTCGTGGCACATCTGCCAAGACAGCCGTTAATGACTTCAAATACTCATTACTTGATTATGACTAGGAAATTTTATTTACAATTCGCAAACATATTTAGAGAGTTTAATTTAATTCATAATTGAATATATATAATTCACAATTCACAAGTGCAAAGTTTTTATACGTACATGTATTGTTTCTAATGAGTTCTACTAATGTGTACAAAAGTCTACTTACATATTACATTAAGTCGTGCCGGGGGTGATGCTTGTCGAGCTCCGCTTGTCATACTAGTCGCTATGCAAACATAATCACCGACATCGGTATCGCGCTGCACTGTCTCTATGTGAAGATCCGATTCGAATAGTCGCACACGAGTCGAATTTTTTATTGGCACGTCTGAAGACAGAAATATGGGGCTAAAGACAGACTTACCTTATATAAAGCATACTTTTACTTACTGTTATGAAGCCATGCGTAATGGAGGCCATCGGCAGAACTTGCCCGACATGCAAACACAATTGGATCGCCGTCTACGACGGTTTGACTTTGAGGTGTAGTGATGAACCGCGATGACTCTGATTGGGCGGAAGCTGCAGAACAATAATAATATAAATATAATGTGAAATAATCTGCTATGTATTTTATGTATTATGAAGTTAGGTCCGTTTAGCATAAAATAATACTAATTTGAAATAGAGATATGCTTTAATGATACTTCTATTTTGTTACAAAGTTTTAAAACTCATTTAAAGCTCAACGACGCGCAAGCACTTGTATTTGCTACAGTCAACAATATGGAACAAATAACCAACCTTTCGTTGCAATAGTAGGGACAAGTATATTTTTTACAAAAGAAAGAGTAACGCCGAACCAAAAAACAGACAGAAAAAAAATAAAAGTCGCACAACAGCAAGACAAGAGCGCAAACCAACTCTCGTTACGGGCAAATTGCAGAACAACGGCACAAATAGCAACAACATGAAGGACCGCGTCTGCAGCCAGACAAATAGCGATGGCAGACAGACAGCCAGGCATGGTAAGCGGAAGGAGGAAAGGAAGTGCACGGGCAGACATCACAGCAACCGACAAGCTCACAAATGCTTGAAATATGGAGCTACACTTGCATAAATATATATGTATGTATAAGCACGTTTACACGTAGACATATGCACACCAGTGTGATTGGACGTGCAAGTTCGAGCCCGTGCAAACGTACATGCATACATACATATGTATACGAGCATATGCAAGTGTATACATATATGTGGAGTGATGTTGGAAAGCATTTGAGGTCGTCGCCATCCATTAATGGCTAGAAAAACTTTGTACTCAGTGGTAATGGCTAACACACACAATCGACGGTCTTGCGACTTCTGCGGTTGTTGTTTTTGTTATTGTTTTCGTTCCACCTTTTATGAGGACTTTTTCACGGTTTTTCGATCCTCTCCATTATGTGTCATGAAGCCATAAAGACAGCAACTCAACCATTCGTATTTCCAATGACAACTGAGTAAACTTTTTTTTGAGAATTTTACAATGTATACTAATGTACATATGTATAAATACATGTAGAAGTGGAAAATACTTGTCGATGCTGCAAAAAATAGTTCTGATTAAGTACATGCCATATGTGTATTTTTAGGTATTTATTGTTGTCACATATATGAAGAAATTTTAATTGTTGTGATGAATATATAACCCCATTTATTTTATTATTCAAGTATTATTCCGTATGCGTTCTAATCTGCAGTTATGCTTTCTGAACACAACATCTGAGGTCATTAAGAAATTTCTTTATTAAGGTAATTGATCAGAGAAGGCTTGCTAAAGTAGAATTACTATAAGTGGTTATAACATATATGCAAAAATATTCGCTAAACTTCTTTAATGTAAAACTTTTATTAAAATCATAAACAATATTATATATTCTTGTGGAATTTTGTCAGTTCAGCATCGAAGCTTCAGACACAGCATACTGCATGTACGCTTTAAAAATGTTCCACCTGTAAAACTAACATACATTTGCAAGTATCAGGTAAACAATTCACCTAGAGGATCTTATCTTTAGCCGCTTATTACCTGAGTTTAATCGTTTTCAAAATTCAAGGTGAATGGGGGCGGTGAAAATAGGCGTGATGAGCACAAATTGTTCGTAGAACATATAGGTTTGGAAAATGTAGGAGCTCAAGTTTCCAATATAATCGCAACGAAAGTCGCAAGTTAAGTGTCCAACACTTCAGACACATCTGAATGCTTGTGATCGCGTTGATGAAGTTTGTGCGGCAAACAGTCAGTATATGAGGAACCAGAAGATGAGGAAGTATGTATGGTAGTACAACAAAAGTGACTACACCAGATAATTAGGCTAAACTGAGTGGTCGGCAGACAATTGGCGCACAAACGGACTGTTGAATGCATAAATATCTGAAGCTGCCACGGGGCTTATTCGCTGCAGTGGCGTAACGTACAAGCAGGTAAAGCCAACTAATTGACGGTACACAAATACTTTCGTAACCGGGGTCTCACGTGTAACCGTCTGAGTAAGTTTAAACGCTAAAGACGCCACTGGAGCGCATGCGTATCGCAGCCATAAAATGCGCCGAATGCATATACATATGTATTGTATATGCATTTTGTTTTTCGTCTTATTCGACATGGCAAGCGATTTTTTGCGCAGAGTATCCATTTTCCTCGTGTCACATTCTTATTTATGCAACGTCGGAGCTATGCTGGAGACCTGGTAATTTGGATATTTCCCTCTTAAAGCATATTTGCTACGCCCATGAGAGTTTGCTGCACCGACTTAAACTGGCGCCGTTTGCTGCCGCTACATTTGAATGGCAGCAACTGCATTAATGGCAATCATCGTTGTTTTCCTTGCTTTTATTGTCGATTTCGTTGGATCTGTTGTGGCTGCTGAAAGCATTTTATTGTACATCGAGATTCGCGAAAGTGATTGTGGATGAATCACAAGTAGAAGAGAAACAATTGACGATACCATTTCTTGAGGGATGAAAGAAGATAAAAAATTTCAGGCAAAATCTCTCAGCAACCGTAAATAAACCGCTAATAATTTTTATAAGCCTTCAATTTATGCATTTATGAACCATTACTGTATGTATGTAGACAATATCTTGGACTTAGAAGAAATCTGTGGGTGTATAAATATCTGTTTTTAATATATACACACATAGATATATTGATGTGGAGAATTGAAGAGAATTGGACTGTTAAATGCTCAAGATTCCAATATATAAAATTCGCGAGTGCCCAAGAATCACTCATGGTAGAAAGTGATAATATGCACTGAAAACTTCGAAATTCCCGTAACATAGAACTATGGACTGTATGAACTATAATAACGACGGTAAAACAGCGACTAGAACCTGTGGCCCTAATAGATACAGATTCCCAGTTTAGAAAATATTTAATGAATAAAAAGCAGATGTCGAAAAATTAAACTGAATTCTAAGCAGAAACTACAGATGATTACTTGTATCGGCGGCCCAAATACAAAGGAATTATAAACCGATTGTTTGCGCTACCAAAAACGGTTTGAACAGTATTCTAGTTTTGTTCTTAAGTGTGTCCTTTAAGAGTTTTGCAAGTGGACTAATTTATGATAAGTTATTTATGTGGAAAAACTATGCAGACCAACAAATACAAGTTTTGAAGTAGGCACTGACAGCTACTGAAAAGGAAGATATTGTCTTGTGGCCGCACAAGAAAACTCGGAAGGAGCGTAAGAAAATTGAGTTGGGTACGGTTTACAAAGGCATTGTCAATGGCTAATTGCACATATGGCAGGATGCACACTCGTGCGTAAAAATAGATCCGACTTAAAATAACACAGAAGAAGAAATAAATAACCATAGAAATTAATTCGTTAAATACCAGCAGCGCAGCAAAGAAGGCGAAGCGAAACGAAAAGAATCATAGTGCTAAGCCTAGGTACCAGTATTACTACTATGGTACAACAAAGTATTATATAATAATGTAAAGCTCCGTCATTATAATCACTTATACATATGTATGTAAGTACGAGTATATGTGAAAATTCATATACACACTACATACGAGTATATGTTGGTATGTAAGTACACTATGCCGAAAGGTAGCACAATAAGGCCGGCTGTTCTTTAGAATCTCTTTTTGTTCTTCCAATGGACATGAGTAGCTATTTAAGTAAACGAAATTTTCATAGGAATAAACCCGGTAATTCTTACATTCTTAATGCCTGCTTTATTTTACTTTAAATGTGAACAAATAGCAAATAACAACAACTCAGAAGGTGTCTGCATAAACTAAGCCTACATACTAGTATTTCGTTGTACCTACTTAGAGAAGAGGGTAATTTTAATATCCATGTAATAATAGGTCGAAGTTCGGCTCAAATCAAATAATTTGTCACATAGTTATTGACCGCCAACATTTAACCATGACATCCTGCTTTGCATATCCCAGTTTTTTTGCTACACATTACTAATGTCAAAAGTGCAGAGATAATAAACACATACTCGACCATTAAGAAAATAAAAACATTTAGATTGCTGCTTGTAATTAACTTAATTATGTATCTTCATTAGTATTCACAGGTGACATGAAAGTGTATATGTACATGTCAGGACCCCCTCGCTTCGATAAATATATACTATTACCCTATAAAACAAACCAAGAAGAAGGTTGATAAGTTTTGGCCTGGCTGAGTCAGCACAAACCCGAAAAATAAGGCAAAGGATAAGGTATACTCGAATTCGGGCGATTGAAAAATTGCTCGGTAGGACAAATCTGAAGGTATATAAAACCAAAAGGCTGGTCTAAGTTCAGCTACCATAAAATTTTATTTATATTCGTGGATTGGCGGAATCTAATCAGTAACCAATCTTTCAGAGCGATTCGCGGTGAATCTTCATTGTTAGTATTATAAGCGTTTAATGGGATAAGCAAGGGTTTTGAGCGATATTATGATTTAGACTAGTGACACCAGATAAATTTAAAAAAACGTGTCAAAGCCAAAATACTATGCGCCATAAAATTAACGATGTAGGTACCTAGGTATCATCTTCGAGTGTCATTAAAGTAATTGTGCCACTGATACAAGTGCTTACAAGTACTTTATACTATATGAGCACACATATCAGTTATCATTTAATTGTGATTAGGTTTTAGTAAAAATCTACTTACTTATTAGTTGGAGTACACAGAGTGTTGTAGTCAATAACCAATTAAGAGTGCGGGAAGAATCCATTTCGCTAATCGGATAATTTTACTTAGATGCAGAGGTAAGTACGTAAAAGTATGTATTTATTTTTACTGGTCGCGGGTTTGCAACCACCACATTGGCGTGAATTTCCAACGAAAGCGATTATTATGCGTGAACGATGGTTTTAATAATTTTTCAGAGAAATATAACACCAAGCATGGAAGCAATAGAAAACGCGTGTGTATGTGTATGCATTTGAGCAACTCACTTCACTTGGCACTTAAGCAAATATTTGTTATTTTCCAGCCAATATATATTATACTCAGTATATTTATACACAGGTACGCACGGACATACATGCATTCAGAGATAAACACATTTTGGTACTTCGGTAATTTTGCACTTTTAGATCAGTGCAGCTGTAAATGCATCGATGATACCGGCAAACGTGATTTGTCGAATGCCGCGAGTTTATTTAGTACCGTTTTGGAAGGGAAGTTGTTGGATCGTTTGATGGTTTACTTTTTCGTTTGATGGTGCACTTTTCAAATAAACGCGTTTCTTATGTACACACTCACTATATGCCTTGGGTATTCACTGGTTATTGCCTATTACTTTAACTTTCTGACCGGAGCGAAAGAAAAACCAGATAAAAATGCATTCGATATTTGTATAATTAATAAACTGATGTTGTTGTTCCATACCAGTATAGTATTTTTGTAATCTTTTTATGGGTATTGTTTGTATTATTTAACTTTGATATCGAACCGCCTAATGGCAAATGGTCGTGGCTACGACTCTGGCGACACGTATGTGTGCCGAATGTGATAAAAGGAGACGTGCGGCTCGATTGATGGCACTATCGTTTGTGTGGAATCATACCGTCAACAGCCAACTGAAAACTTTTGGGTGTGCGTGTGTTGGTATGCGTTAAACAAATGAAGTTACCATCGTCGACTTTGTTGCCGTCGTCGGTAATTGTACGCGCGGATGTATATAAGTGCATATGCTGTTTTAAGTGTACAAGCCGATGCGTATATTCATAAATATGAAATATGTATCGCGAAGATATGCGCGGCGTGTTAATATATATCAATGAATAGTGTCGGCAACTGCGACAAATCGACGCGAGACAGTTCAATTACCTTCATACAGCTTAATTAAAAACGTTTAAATAGACACCCCTTGTATTGAAAATTCACTGACAATATCGAAAATCATTCTTAAGTAATTATAAATACTTCACGCACACGATATATTATATTTTTGTTGATAAATCTTTCACTTTTCATAAAAGTATTAAATTTTATTTTCTAAATTATACACTTTCCTCTCATAAATGAAGAGTTTTATAAACACGCGCGTATTCAACAAAAACTCAACCGTATTCATTCGATGTCCGACAAGAACTGAAGTTGTAGAACAGGAACATGAACGGCTAACCAGGCAGCCAGGCAGCAATGAACACCCAAACGCAACCACCCAGTTACCATTCGGCATCTATCCTATAGGAGTATCTCCGCCAAAAGCCGGTTTCCAATATAAAAGTATCTCTCCCAATTTCTCTATACGCGTGTAAATATATTTTGGAATGAATGAGAGAACAAAACAAATGCCAGAAAATTATTTCAGATGAGTGTATTTGTAGTAATGTTTTTACGAGAAACTTGCATACCCTTTCCCGGGAGAGCAGCGTTGTTAAGGAGAACTGGATAGTGGGAGCTAAGATATGGCTTCTGGCACGCACTGTTGAATAAATCCATACAGTTCAGCTAACGATTATATACATATGTATGTTGACACGAATGAAAAGTTCTCATTTTATTGCACATAGATACATGTACACATACATACCTATGCACATCTCTACCCACATATATTAAGTAGTTTAATCAGATGATATTTACAAAAAATATGATACATATTTGAATTTCGAATATTATTTAAAACAAAATTTTACTTTCAACCGTGATGATACAATAACCGATTACAATACAACAAGGGGACATTACTTAGAAATGGGAACTACCACATCACAAGATCGGATCCGAACTAGTGAGTTCCTTCTTTCGTTGGATATCATTATTGACCAAAGGATAAGAAATAATTTTATTCTGTAGGTAGAGGAAAGGAGGTTGGGGAAATTTTACGTTTTTTTTAATTAGCACGTATAAACAGCAAATTCAACATTCTGCTGTATTGAACAAAGAAATTTTAACTATTTGATTATGGAAAAATTGTTATTGTTATTTCTTATTTAAAATTAATTTATTTTTGTTCATGAAATGTTTTTAAGTATTGGGATCTAAAGTTAAAATTCAATATTTACACATACATGCATATGTAAGAGTATGTACATACATACATACCATATGTATCTTACTTATGAATAGCCATTCGTGCAACAAATAAATATTTATGCATATTCGTATTTACCGTAAAGAAGTACAAAGTGAAAATATTTCATTGAATTATGATGTGAAATATTAAAAAAATGCTCAGTGTATATGTACACATTGAAATCAGATGCAAACTTCACACCTTGATCTTTGCGATCACTTTGAACTCGCAGCATTTAAAAGCATAACACAGCGATTTGTTTACTTTCAAACATGTGGTATATGTACATACATACGTATGTATACAATACCTATTCCATCGGCAGTCCAATCAAATACAACATAGTATACATTAAAGTATAAGAGTGTGGATATTGTCGTATCACAAGTGCTAAACTTTTTAATGCCTTATTAATGCGGCCACATAAAGTAATGAATCCAACCGCTTCCAGTTTGATCGCATTTTTATTGCTGTTTCAAAAAACGAAGGCTTCAATCTCACGAATTGCAACCAAATTTTACGCAGACAGTTTTCTATGTACTCGTATACGATGTTCGGCCTTTTTGTGTGGCACGAAACTACAAACGATTCGAGGTATTGAGCGATCTGTACGAAGAATACGACGGTGGGCCCTCTACTTGTTTACTTAGAGCCATTGCTGGTAATGCAATGCTTCCGCTCTTCCTTCTGCAGCTGATGCTGATGCTGATGATGAGAACTTCTTTTGATGTTATGAAGCAGTTCAATGTGCATTTTATTTTTATTTTTGTGTTTATTACTTTATTTTATGGTTGTTGCTGAAGAATGAAGTCGCCCGAATAGAGCATGCCGCCAGGTTCAAAAACGATCGTCGACACCTCTAAACAACATTGGTAGGACTGACTGAAAATTCGGTAATGTTGTTCTTTTCTTTTTATGTTTTTATTTTGTTTAGTCTACAGGTTCATACTGTTGCTAACAAAACTAATTTTACATACAAATAAATATGTATATACACATTATGTATGTACATAATAATTTCTTACCATATATACATATGTATGTATATGTATGTATATATACGTAAATTAATAATAAGGAAATTATTTATGAGTACATACTACGTATGAATGTATGGGTATATAGTCATACTCTTATTAAATATGAGTATTGCACATTTGTACACACAAGTGAAGTTTGTTTACGAATTTTTGTGCTTGCGGAAAGGAAACTGAAGCCCATTCGGCTGAATTCAAAAAATTCAAACCGCTATACGAGGATGTGTGCGTATTATTTAATAAACAATTTTATGAAGGCGAAACCATAAACTTTGTTAGCACTTTCCCTTAGTTCAGGCTTAATTAACATCCCACATCCACGGCGGCGTAAAGAGAAGGGTGCGTGCGCGATCGTAAAATCGTGGCAGCAAGTAGAAATTCATTCCACTAGTGTTCAGTAGCGGAAAGCCACTTTCTAAGCGTCAATTTAAGAGTTTACGACTTTTTTATTTGCCTTTTTCATGAGCGTTTTGTGTTGCGAGCGCCTGATAACAGCGCAATGAAAAGGAAAAGGATGAAAACCATAGGACGCTGTGACAGTCACGCTTGCACTGCCCACTAGAAAAGTGAATGGCTGAGGGTTGTACAAGGCAGAGAGCTAAGCCGGGCGATAAAACTGGGTAAGCTGTTTAAAAGTCGTAAATTTGAGAACGGAATTGGTGGTACGAGTAGCAGAAGTGTATGAGTAAAGTAGAAAATTTATGCGTTCTAACAGTATGATTTGCTGTGCAAGTAAGGTGTGAAACGCACGATTGCATGTGGGAGTGTATTTCTATGACTAACACGTGGGGAAAGCGCAAGAAATAGTAATTTCACCAAAGTTGAAGATTGTTATGGTTATACACACATACATATGTACGTGTTTTAATTCTGCGCGATAATGTTCATCACCCCTAAAAGCCGATAATACTGTTCGCATTTACGAACATCGACGACTGCTCGCTGTTTTACGACCGTACATTCAACCGACCCAGCCGCACAGCCGCGTCACAGTGACGTTGCGCAGAGTAATTTAGATTTTATAGTTTTTGTACACCCCTTAACCTCGCGTTATGGGCCGCCATTGTGTGGCATGTAAAAAGGACATATCCTTGCCGTTGGCGCAGTTATGGGAGATAGTAGTAACACATACATATATTCCTACCCCGTCGAAAATTTCAGTACGCTCATAACAATACAAAACTACCAACTACTGTATCGTTGACAAATTGTCTGGCTTGTGAGCACCAAAACTCAGAAGTTTGACATTCTACTTGCCCCTCAATGTGTAAGTTTCAACTTATTGGTATTGTTAAAACCATCAATATTCTCATTAAATGAGGCAAATATTAAAGCTGAGCTCTACTTCAACTCGTCATTTCATACAATTAACGTTGTGTTACATCAAATTAAAAGCATATGTAAATCTTGTTTGCGTATTTTGTAACTTTACTACTGGGTACATCAGAACAAACCGATGTATTAGAAAAACACTCGGCCAATGTATGTATGTAAGCAGAAACACAATTCTAAATAATGAGGCAGAGAAAACATAAACATTTTAGCGAGGGGTGGTAATTGCCAGCCAACATAATCAGAATTCTACCAACGAGTTCTGTCTTAGCACTCTACCGTTCAGCTGTCTGTCACATAAGCAACAATAGTCAGTATGTGTTTACGAATCCTTCAGCATATCGCTGCCGACGCAATCGTTTCTGCTCAATGACGATTTCACAGCTCTCCTCGACATTTATTGATGCCATAAAGTCAAAGATTTATGGTACGACCTCCCGCCAAACCAAAGAAGTGCCTTTGGTTATTGTTAGGATAGTGTTTTAAGGGGGTTTCGTATTGACTACCCCTAAGTTGTTTCCGTTTCACCCGATTATATACAATGTCGCATAAATATGTAAGTATTCTAAAAAGCTTCAAACATACATACAAACAGTTATGTAATACGCAAATACTCAGTGCTACATATGTATGTACATATCTAAATATCTACTTTGAACTAACCACTTGTACGCAATTTACTTTTTAGAATGCATGTTCTACGAAACGTAGTCTAGTTACAGGGTCAAACGTTCGTGGTCGTAAAGATCAAGTGGTGGAATACCTAATTTACCGGATATTGACCATTTCCTAGATAGTATTCATATTACAATTATTGTGGCTACCACCTGGAATGTTCATTATTTTATTTAATTTATTTGGTGGTTTTGCAAGTGGCTAATAGTTTGAACTGTACCACATTTTTCACCACCCTAATTCTCCCTATCGACGGTAAGCTATTTAATAGGTTTGTTTAATTTTCAAATAATTACATCCAAAAAGCGAACGCTTTACAACAGCTGTTGGGTTAGTACATGTATTGTGGAATGCATTGAGCTACCAAGTTATCTGAGAAGGAACATAGAAATAATCAAAAATGACTCTCTGTTGTCGGATTTGTTTTGTGGAAAATCCGAAGAATTTTTCTCTCTATAAATGTATGGGGAAAAAATATTTGCCTAGTGTTATTTTTAACATCAGTGGAGTGAAAGTACATTACAAAAAATACAATTAATTCAGAAAGCACGTATTTTAAAATATATGTACGTACTTTTCACAGGTTTCAAAAAAGCTTGAGCCAGAGGCAACCATTTGCCGTCGCTGCGCTGCATCGATATTGGTTGCTGAAAACATTATATTGCGATGCCAAGAGTCAGAAGAATATCTCCAGTTTCGTCGTTTAAAGGAAAGTTGCTTACCCAGGCAATCGCCAACTGCGAAGACAGAAAGCTTTAACGTAAGAAGCTATGGAAAATATCAGTCTGCTTCGACCTGCAGTGATTTGGAAGAAGCATTACCATTGGAACCAAATGGTGGGCATATGTTACAATCTGTCAAAGAACTTCATATAATAAAAAATGATGTGAATACTTTTAAACGGCTTGGAGACGACCAAAGTCAGTTCTCAAATAATTACGAACCAGCAATAAAACGTTTGAAGAGTAAAGAAGTTACATCAGTGTCCATCTTTTATTGCGATCAATGTGACTATAACACCAAGATAGGTAAACGTATTATAGAACACAAACAAATTGAGCATGGAGTGTACGATCCAAATATCTATACCTGCAGTATTTGTTCTGAAAGCTTTTCTTGGAAACCAACACTGTATAGACATATAGAGATAGACCACAAAATACTTCCTGCAGATAAAAAATATTTATGTAATGAATGCGGTCGTGCCTACATGCGAGAAGTGCACTTGTTAGAACATATAAAGCAGCGACATGGACCTCGTAGTTTCAAATGTCCTGATCCACTATGTGAGCAATCATTCACTCGAACGTTCACTCTTAGACGTCATTTCATCACTACACATACTGAACAAACAAGCTCTCGTTATCATTGCATATATTGTGATAAATACTTTAAGGTTTATGATCAATGGAAATACCATAATGAAGTTATTCACAAAAATGAAACTGTATATTGCCCACATTGTGGCTATCCTTTTCGCTTCAAAGAAAAGCTAGATGAACATATTTTGAAGGATATTTGCAAACGTAGTATTGTGCCCTGCTCTTATTGCCAAAGACGCTTCACAACAAAGTCTGGTCTGAGAGAGCACGTGCGGAATATACACAACATCTACTAGTTAAGAGCTTGTACACCTATAATACGATAAATACTAATTAATTACTTGGAAGCGTCGACAAATAAAACTAGCCATAATTTTTTTGCTTTCTATTAAATCATTAATATTTAGCTTTATACTGGGCAATAATTTGATGCTATTTTACAAATTTAGGATCATATGCATATACCAACTGTGAAGAAGGTGCTCCCTAATAAGAATATTGCCACATTTTGAGGGTCTCACAGAAATATTATTTAAAACGCATGAACTTTTATCCATGCGCAGAAAAACTTTCAAGCTGACAACAATTTCACATATTTACGAAAAGCCTAAGCAAAACAAGAACGAAGAACAACTGTAAAAGCATACAAAATAAATATGCAGCCATGGAGGTCTAGCAGCAATTTCTTCTAGACAAGAATATACATATGCATATTTAAAGCAAAAAAGTGAGATCACCCTATAGCTAAATACCTACAAATAAATAATGAGATCGTAAAAGAGTTAATGCGAATAGAAGAGAACTACCCACAATGCACTAAGTAAATTGAGCAGGCAACATAAGAAAAATATATAACTACATATGTATGTAGGTATGAACATACTAGATATGCTCTTATACAATCAACAAATCGAATGGCCCTTAGCCAAGTGTTAATGTTCTTTAATTAAATTATGAAAGAAGTGACGTAGCAGACTGCTTGAATGGCGTTTATTTTTTATACAGCCAGGCTAGAAGCGTTTGCCTCTTATCGCACAATTTGTGAACATGAAAAGTGGCACTCAACCGGCACAGTATCGCTCATTGGGAATTGAGAATGCTTGTTTGCTGTTTTTGTGCGTGTAATATTCGTTTCAAAACTAATTATCAGGTAAGACTGACATAGTAAATGTACTTTAGTTTGATTTTATTTTAAATATCATTTGGAGCCTAAGGGATAAAGGCACACGGTGTTATGTAGCGACCAAATAAATAAAAACTGCTTCCAAACTGCTTTTATGGAATTAAATAAATTTTTTATTAAGGAGAAACGGGCTTAAGGGAGACATTTTCGAGACATATACTATGGCATCGCTTCGATTGATAAATCGGTACGTTTGTATTGATATATATCAAATATTGTCGATTTATAAAGCTTATCTCTTTCAGGTTAATAATACGTGGATTCATATCGCTGTCGTTGTTGCTGGTTTTCTTCAACGAATTCATAGTTTATTACATTAATCAGTCCACATGGCAACAAATTTATTGTAAATACGGTAATTAATACAATACATAAATATTTATATTTTATTGCTAATTATTTTTATTTAGATAACTGTACAAGAATATTGTTTGTAGCGGATCCACAATTGATTGGTAATTCTTACGAGAAAGGGTTTTGGAGCCCTATATCGCGGTACGATGCAGATAGGTAAAAATACAATTTTTGTAACAATATGTCATATCTGTTTATTTAAAATCACACTGATCCAAACAGAAACTGTTTAAATGAATTTAACGTATCCTTTTTATTATAGAGTTTTTATGTTTTAACCATGTACAAATAAATCATTATTCATAATAAGTTTTAAAAAATAAATTCTTCATTTCTTCTTCCCAGATATTTGAGAAAAACTTTTGAACGAACACTAGACTTCACACAACCACACATTATTTGCTTTCTTGGCGATCTCTTGGATGAGGGAAGCATTGCAAACCAACAAGACTTTGATAGCTACGTCAAACGGTTCAATCGAATTTACAACGCTATCACAAACATAAAAGTAAGTTACCAGCATTTCAGGTTGAGCTACATTCAACATTTAACATCTAAATATGTATATATATGTGGGTATGAATGTATATAGTTTAAATTAATCTCTCCATATGCGCAGCGGATTCATGTGCCTGGAGATAATGACATTGGCGGTGAGGATGGGGAATATATCTCAAACTCAAATGTGCGCCGCTTCGAAGAGTCTTTTCAAAATGAAGATCTCTTTGACTATGAAAATATGTTACGCTTTTTTAAAATAAATCGGATGATGCTCGACTTTTCGAATCCAGATCGTGAACACAATGCACAACGCTTACGTGTTGGTATTTCTCATGCCCCAATTCTCATTGGTGGTGGGCCACTCTTGCGTTCGGTACTTAGTGAATTGGATCCTCATGTAATATTCTCTGGCCACTGGCATGAATCTAGAATATTCATACATCCATCAACGCACGTAGTGAACTTTTATGAGTCGACCGTGCGACATTTCGATTTGCGCTCTCTAAAAGAGAAGGAACATCAGTATCTCGAAATTATGGTACCTACCGCTTCGTACCGTATGGGGAAAATGAAGATGGGTCTAGGGTACGCGGTGCTTGGTGAGCTAATTATAATTAATTGATCTAAATATTTTATACGAACATATGTGTTTTTTTTTTGTAGAAAACTATCAACTTAGCTACACAGTACTCTGGCTGCCCAACCGATTCATTTACCTGTTTTTATATTTATTTTGGCTGCTTTTATCAGTTTGTGGTTTCATTGTGTTCAGAATGATGACGCGATGCCCATTTCGCGTCACTAAACATCAATCATTATACAACCGTACTTTAAACATGTCTTAATTTTAAACTTATATATATCTAAAATGTAAAATTAATTAAAGCGTTGGTATGACAAATTATAAGTCAAAATCCATTTTCTGTAAGGGTTGAAACCTATAAATAATATTAAGTATTCAATGTGTAACCAATATCTGTTGAATTTATATTGTTATTAAGTATAATATGAAATAGTAACTAATATATGTTTTAAATAATAAATATTTGGTTCACTCTCTTTTTGCTAAGCGTATATGCGGACAATTTAAATTTCGTTATACATATATACAGAAATAATTAAAATATTTATTATTGTAATCATACATATAATTGTTTATGTAGGCATTTGTTCCTCTATATTCACATTATGACATTGTTGGCTGCACACATGTAACTCCAACACAATTTTCGTACATATTTACACATGTATGTATATTTATTTACTGCGAATTCAGTTACTTGCGAATTTCACAACTTCCAATCGTAGAGTAAATAGGTATATGTCAAACAATATTTTTAACTCGTAAAAATACCGAATGGGGGCGAACATCCATATATAAATCACATTAAGTTTAGTCGATCGAAAGATTGGGAAGGCGCTGCAGAGCAAAACCAATAACACGCTTAGTCGTTAACATCAGATAATTGTTAAAAAAAAAAACACAGCAGCGGAAAATACAAAGCGCATGCATACATACGCACAAGTGCTTGGAAATAATTTAATAGAAATAACATATTTGTGCGAAAAATAATTTTGCGAGCAATGTAGTTTCATTTCAAATTGCTTATAAAAATACCTAACATTTTTTTATCTATAAATTCAAGATATTCGAATATTCAGCAACTTGCGACAACCTAGGTAAAAAAATAGTAGCAATATTATTTGACGATCTCCATAAAAAGGATAATAAACAAATTAAAACAAAAACGATTTTAACGTATATATGTATATCCAAACAAATGAACTTGATGCTTAACTTAAAAAGTAGCAGGTGTATTTTGTGTTTATAAGAAGTACATATATTTTTTAATCAGATACAGTTACTGCGAAATAAGTGTATTTAAAATACCATGAAGTAAGTTAATTCAAATGTTCAACATACGTACATACATATGTATTATTTAAATTTTAAAAACAAAACAAGAACAAACACGTTCAATAAAATGCATATTTTTCAAAATTCGACACAACACAAACTTTCATTAGGTAATTTTATATACAGAAAGTCTTTGAATATTCGGCAACATATTCATTATTTTTTTCGAATTTTGTATTTTATAAATGCAAATGTTTACAGAACACAAATAGTAAATAATGTTCAACTTATTTGTAATAATATTAAGTTTTTGTTATAAAGGTATTTTTCTTGCTTAGTTTGGGAGGATTTCAGAATGTTTAGGGAATTAAAAAAGGTTAAGTTACCTGTATGAGAATGGAAGTATTTTATTTTTAATTTCAATTTTCAAATTAGTTTTGAAATTTATTCAAAAATAAAAAATATTGCTTATTGTCACATGTTGTTGATGTAGCAGCAGAATTCTGCCGAGTTGACAGTACGGGTCCGTTTCGGTTACGTAGACCAGACTGTCGTGACAACGGTATTGTCACATGTATTTAGGCATGTTGATAACTCGTGTTTAAAAACGTATACAAATGCGTACATTTGCTTCATGACTTCCCAGCTGTTATTGTGTTTATACATGTACGGTGTACCAATATGAAGTGAGCGGTAAGATACAGAAGGGTGTGGTATATCATGAGCTTCTAAAATCTGAAACTGCTAATACTAATTGCTTCAGACAATAAATTATCAATTTAAACCATGCATTGATCGAAAATCGACCTGAATGAGCCAGAAAACACGGCAAAGTAATTTTGTCACACGACAATGGACCTGCACACAAAGCAAAATCGGTTCAGGATACACTCAAAGTACTTGGCTGGGAGCTGCTACCCACCCGCCGTACCAGACTTGGCACCTTCCGATTACCATTTGTTTTCATCGATGGGACATGCTTTGGCTGAGCAGCACTTCAATTCCTACGCAGAAGTCGAAAAGGGGGTGTCTGATTGGTTTGCTCAAAAGACGTACATTTCTATTGGCATGGTATTCACAAATTGCCAGAAAGGTGGTCGAAATAAGTAAAAAGCAATGGTCAATATTTTGAATACGTTTTTTTTACTTTCCCATTCAAAATTAGTATTTCATTTTCAAAAAAATCCGCTCATTTCATACCGGTACATTAGTGTACATGTATTTATATACACATACATACATATGTTGTATGATTATAAATACATACATATGTACAAGGCATGAAAATTGAATAATTTCTTTCAAATACGTTTGTATTATTTCGTTTACAGTAACGGATATATTATACTTGTAATACATACATACGTATGAATGTTTCTGAGCTAAAATGCTGATTGCTCACGCTAAAGAACTTTTTCACAAAACGAATACTCAAATTCAAATACTTAATTATACAAATTATTATCCATTTGCGATTAGTAGTTTTGACTAAACGTAAAATCATATTCATAAGTACGGGTGCTTACATACACACGACTACATATGTATGTACATCTGTATATGCATGTATATATGAATTTCCAGATAATTTTGAGATAAGTGCTTATATTTCTATAGATATAGCAAATACTCGCTACCGACATACTAATCTTATAAAAATTATATTATTTAATAAAAGCAGCCATGTCATATACATATGTATGTATATGATTTAATCTTTATGATCGACTATGTGTATACGCTTATAGACCACAGTTCATTTAGTAAATACTAACCAAACAATTTATATAACTAACGGGAGAATTTTGAATATTTCCGTTACATAAAATATCATGATTACAGCTTTTAATAAGTTTGGCTTTAATAATTAATTACATTTTAATACCAGTAATTTAAAGTTCATAGAACAAACATAATATGTGTGTACATATGTAAGTGCATTTTTTGGAAATTATGTACAGCGTCTACCAATAGGGATGATGTGATTTTGACAGCTCGTGGTGGCCATGTTTGTTTACAGAAAAACACACAGAAAAATAATTTTGTCAGTGTGTTGAGAAATGCTTGTCATTTCATCATGTCACTTCATTGTCCAAGATTATTATGCAAATTCATGTTCTCCGAAAAATCATTTTCCCAGACGAGACCCATTTCTGGCTTAATAGCTTCGCCAACAAACAAAATTCTCGCTATTGGGGTGAGTTAATCCTCGTGTGGTTCAGGATACGGATACGGATTATTTCTTTCGAAATGAGGCAGGACACGCCGTTAAGTTGATGAAATCCACGCGGACGATCTCTATTTCCTACAAGACAGTGTGCCGCCTCATCATTCACGTCTAAACATGGATACATTGCGTGAAAAGTTTGGCGACTCGTTGATTTCAAGAAATGGTCCAGTCAAATGGCCGCCAAGATCATGTGATTTAACGCCTCTAAATTAATTTCTCTGGATATATGTATGTTAAATTAATCAATAAATCAAAGGTTTAGGGTTTAAATGTGCAAACGGAGCCGTGGTAGTCGTTATATGTATGCACATACGTAAAAATATCATTTAGACTTAAACTAATCCAGGGACTACCTACGATCTCATCATTACTAGTTTCACACTTGTTCGTTATGAGTCGGCTTAGCATCTCATATATAATTCATGTATTCTCCCGAACTTAGGAAAACATTATTTTTTTGCAGTTTTTGCTTGCTACAAACGCTCGTCAGCAAGAACACTTCGTAATGTTCTTTTCGTCTTGGCATTCGTTTTCCTACAGCCATTTAAGTGTGGTTGGTTATTCGCATATTCCTACTCATGAATGTGCGAATGTATTGGCCAATATACAAAATTTGTTTCAAAACATCTAGTGGAGTCGTTGGCACTGGTCTTGTAGGTTGCGTCCGCTGTTGTTTCGTTTAGTTGCTCGCATTCATGTACGAAATGTACGTAAGTGAGTAGGTATACAAGTACGAACCAGTTGCCGGGTTGTTTTTGATCGTGACTCAAAGTGCTAAATAGCGCCTTAAATGAACGAGATTTTTACGTTTGTGCATTCGTCTTAATATTTACCGTATCGAAGTTATACAACATATAATCACCTACATATAAAGTGAGTGATAGTACTGCCTATTTGCGCGCATATGTGTTAATATCTCTGTAAATTCTCATATGTGTATGTGTCTCTTACATATCTCTAATTGATAAAAGTGATCTACTCTTTGACCCCGCCATAAATTTTGCCGCCACTGTATCTTCTGTAATAATACGACAAATTTAGAAACTTATGTGTTTTTTTTGTTTGTTTCTCTACTTTTTTTTGTCATTGGCCACTTGCAGATACATGATCGCGTGCCTGTCAGATGCGTTTTCCTTTTGATTTTGTTTGCCATCACACATATTTATTTATAATACATACAGTAAGGAAAAAAACATTTGCAACTACAATTCAAAATTCAGTTTCTGGCGGTGTCATAGTTTTAGAATTGATATTTCATTGAATTTTTTACATACATACTATGTATTGTATATGCCAATAAATTAAAATTATATTTTATAATATTTCGAAAATTCAAATCGTATTATATTGTATATGGTATGTACATACATAACTGATTTATAAAAGATTTTAAGTAAATTTTCAAAATTCGCAAATAAAAGAAACATGTATAGCACTTCAAGCTGCCATTTGTGGTTGTTTCATGCACTCATACATATTGTATATACATATATACATAAATGCTCTTATTTCAAAGTCACGGCTAGTCTTTTTACAGTTAATTGCATCAAAGCGTACATGAATATATGTATATATCTTACTCACAGATTGCATTAGATTTTGCATATTGACAGCAGGTAAACTCCACACTTTTGCTTCAACAAGTACCTTATAGTTTCCATTCCTACCACACATATTTATCTCGTTTTCAATAGGCTCCTTGTGAGACAAACCAGAGTGACTTGCCAGTAATGACCTTTTGTTTGTTTTCATTTCTAATGTCCTCAAGTGACATATATTGCGTTCCCTTGAGCAGATATTTAAGCCTCGAGGCTAGGAGAAAGTCCGAGGAAATGCGAATTTGGCGTACTCTGTACGTATTTTAGATCCTTTGAAACGAATCTGCGGCAACACGCTTCGTAATCGAAACATTAACCATCTGTATTGATGGGTGGATGTGCAATTCCAAAAATTTAACTTTTATACATTCAATTCGCAGCTGAATTCTCTAAACAGTTTTTTTCTAACTTAATATTATATTACAATGTTAACGCGATTAATGCCGAAAAATTAAACTCAAACTGGTTTTTTTTTAAATGGCGCTCAAGTGCTACACTAATATGTATCTAAAATCTGTTAACTATAGTAAATTCACTAGTACCTCGAAATTAACTAAGTCTAATAATAGGTATATATCTACATATGTATTTACAATGGAAAATTATGCTTTTTTAACGTGCTCCCTAGTCTTAAGCAGTTTCCATAGATCTGAATACTTTTGAATACTCAAATCGAATATACATTGTATATACATACATACATATGTACTTAGATATAAAACAAACGTAAACAAAGTTCAGCGTATTAAGTTCTCAAATACCAATAGGAAAACTCTCCACTTACAATAAAGCGTAGAGGTAATTTGCTGTGTGAACACTTCATGATCATGACCTCATTAGCAGAGAATTAATAACTTTTGCAATTACAATATGGGTGTAATAAATAAGCTCTAATTTTTAATATTCTTTATTATATGAATTATTATAGCTCCCTGCTACATTCCATGTCGATTACGTACAAATTAATTTCCATGAATGTAAGGAACGGACTCCGTTATGAAACGGCCGTTATTTGTATTTATAAATGGTCATAGTAAAACGCTCCCTAAAAAGAGGTAATGAATTATTAGAAGTCGGACAAGCCGCTGTGCCATTTCACTTGCAGAAAAACGTTTGTGTGGCTCGTGCTTGTGTATTTGCAATAAACAATGACTTCACATACTCACATATGTACGTACATACATACATACATATTAAGAATGCTGAATTAGCAAATTATTATTGCTCATGTATGTAAATATGTACGTACCATGGTTTTTGTTATAATTATTTTACTAAATATACCAATTTGTACTATACGAATGTGTTTGTATGTATGTACAATACATGTTTATGGCATAACGGCTTGAAATACTTTTGTGAGGGTGTTTCTGTGTTCAACAGGCAACCTTGAACTAGCTCTTTTCGGGCGTTCGGTTCTATGGCATCCAGATTGCCTTGTTGTCCATTACCTGCTTAAAATTCCATTGTTTGCCCAAAATGTTTATTTCCAAATTAAAGAAATTAGTTCAGCTGCGAATGCTCATTCGTAAATTAGAAAAAACTTATTATATAAGGCTTGCATGTTAAACTATAATTATACAAACCGAGACGCAAAGCAAAGAACCTCGCGTACATGTGTGTAGTATTTACATCTTTTAACCACGTTTAACTAAGAATTAATTAAAATATTAATTAAACTGAGGGCACAGGTAGGATTGTCAGCTTTTTACACACCCATACATATGCGTATAATGAATGGATAAAAAGTTGTGTATGTATATGCATATACGCATTCAGCTAACTAAGGGAGTGTCCTACATATGTGTGTGTTTGTATGGCCGCTACACATACATACATATGCTATAGTAGTCCGCAGAGTTTAGCGTTGCTTTGGACAATAATAAATGCCATACTTGTATTATTTGAAGATATCTCGAAAAGAGTTTTTCATACAAGAACTTGACCTTGATCGTTCAGTTTGTATACAGCTATATGCTATAGTGGTTCGATATCTGCGGGGAAAACAAAAGAGTAGCTTTTTGTAGAAAAAAGGACGTGCGCAAAATTTCAGATTGATATTTCAAAAACTGAAGGACTAGTTCCCGTATATATGTATGTATATATTTTATAGGGCTTCCGTCGTTATAACCTGTTCAGGGTATAGCAATGGCCTTTGCTGAACTCATAGCAAATACTAAATTTCTACTAGATGCGAACCTTCCAGGAGCATGTCCTGACTTGACATCGTGTAATCTTAGCCTCTTAGTAGCGAAGTGTATAGAACTGGTCAGCAATTACGCTGAACTAGTTGATAAGGTTCTTGAAATTTTCTTGTTATATATTACTGAATGCCAATAGAAAACAATCTGCGAGTAATAATAGACACATAACATCCTACACAAAAATTAATGAGTTATATTAGCGAAATATTGTTGGTAGCGATGAAGCACTTACGACAAGATAAGATTTAGAACTTCGTTAATTTATGTAACTTTAAAATCAGAAGTCTACGTTTTGAGAAACTATTTGCCAAAGTTGTTACGTACATTTGTACACATATACCTTTGTATGTTTATATGTACATAGTATCTTATCGACATTATAGCACTCGAGTCTGCCACTTTTATTGCCCAAAATGATGGTTGTCAGATAGCGTTATTTGCTTGCAGAAAAATATACAACTTGGAGCAGTTCTCCTGTCTTCGTAGTTAGTGCGATTAATCGCGTCTAAATCCTGTAGAAGATCGGTTCACTTGTTTGCCTGCCGCAGAAAAGGTCGTTTCAAATTTAACGGTTAATTATACACGATTTTCGTTTGAAAAAATCAAATATACATATGTATGTGTTTATATTATATTGGACCATGGTTGACGTTCCATGCATGCATACATATGTATGGTAACGATTTATATTCAATAGTCATGGACAACTGGATTGTGTTGTGTTTTATTTTCGGCAACAAAATATAAAATGAGGAGTTTCAAAAGTATACGTTGATTATATTAAAGTTCTTCTTTTGCAAATATTTTCTGATATTTGGATAGGAAATGAAATAGTTAAGTTTCAGAGTAAATTAAGTCTAATGAAGGTTAAGTGCTCGATATCCCGTTACAACCAACTAACATCAGAGTTTTGGAAGGACGGTAAAAAAAATAATGAGACGTTAAATTGAAATAATTTTCAAATCGTTTTTGATTTAATTCCTTTTAATTACTAAAAAGCTTAAAACTATAATAATAATTAAAACATTAAATATTTACAAGCTCATCAGCACAATGTATTATGTCTGATAAGTATAAACTTATGTCGTTTAGTATATTATGTATTATTTAAAAAAATATTATAATAGCCGAGCATAGTGCAAATTTACATTGAAATGCTAATATTTCATTTGCTTCTTACGAAAATCTAAAGAACCTTAATTTAACTGCAGACATACCAAAGAAATGGCCAAAATAGTTTTCTACTTTTTGGTGCTCTGTGTCGCGTTAATGTGCCAGTCACGTGCCAACCCGATCGATGGAAAAGCCCTTGTGGCTACTGAGTTTCTGGTGTTGCACAACAATGACATGCATGCTCGTTTCGAGCAAACGAACGTAAATGGCGGCAAGTGTTTGCAGGCGGATGCCGATTCCAATAAATGCTACGGCGGATTCGCGCGAGTTGCACATGAGTAAGTATGCGAAAGTCTTATGCCCTTTTTTTAAACAACGCTCGCGCTTTTTTTATTTGCAGAGTACGAAAATATCGAGAAGAGGCAGCGAAGGGTGGCACACCTGTGATATATTTGAATGCTGGAGACACATACACCGGCACGCCATGGTTCACTATTTTTAAGGACAATATTAGCGTAGCATTCCTAAATAAATTGCAACCAGACGCAATTGTAAGTTAATCAGTTAGTGTAAAATTTGTTTAAAAATTATTCGCTTTGCCATTCTCATCTGCAGTCACTGGGCAATCACGAGTTTGACGAAAAGATTGAAGGTCTCTTGCCGTTCCTGGAAAAAGTTAATTTCCCTGTTTTGACTTGCAACTTGGACTTAAGTAAGACGCCCGAACTGAGTGTGGCCAAGAATTTAATGAACTCAACTGTCCTCGAAGTTAACGGTACAAAAGTTGGTCTAATTGGCTATTTGACACCTGACACCAAGTTTTTAATAACACCCAACACCCTTGAATTTAAAGACGAAATTGAATGCATTAAGTAAGTAGCAGATATATTATATAATGATATGCAAAATCTTTAATCCGACGATTTTTTTAGTGAGGAGGCTGCAAAGTTGAAAGAACAAGGTATAAACATATTATTCGCTTTGGGTCACTCAGGGTATCAAACAGACCAGAAAATAGCGGCTAATTGTCCAGATATTGATCTGGTTATTGGCGGTAAGTTTTTAATATATACATACATATGTAAATAAAATAACCGTCTATTATGCCAATACATTTATTTATGTGTTCAGGTCATTCGCACTCATTTCTATATACCGGTAACGCGCCCGATGTAGAGCCCATTGAGGGCCCCTATCCAACAATTGTAAAGCAGCAGAGCGGCAAAGAAGTGCCAGTGGTGCAAGCATATGCCTACACGAAATATTTAGGAAAACTCCATTTGCAGGTAAATTCTCATAAAGTTAAGATTTGTAGTACACTTGAAGCATATTGAATACAATGATTTTAGTTCGATAAAGACGGAAATCTGATCGAATTTGATGGCACGCCAATTTTGTTGAACGCTGACGTGCAACGAGAAAGCGATATTCTAGAACTACTTGAAGTGTATCGTCCAAACATCACCAATCTGGAGAACACAATTGTAGGCCACACAAAGGTGCAATTAGATGGTCGTTCGACAATGTGTCGCAGTGTGGAGTGCAATTTGGGGAATTTAGTTGCTGACTCAATGATTTATGCTCGTGTAATCGAAGACCAAGGTGGTGCTTTCTGGACTGATGCACCAATTGCAATTATGAATGGCGGAGGTATTTAGTAAGCAATATGCATGTGTATAAAAAGTGTATGTTTATTTTCAAAATAGGTATACGGTCTGGAATCGACAAGCGCTCAGATGGTTCAATTACAGAAAATGATGTTTTATCTGTTCTGCCGTTCAATAATAAATTGTATGTGCTTAGTATATCTGGAAAACAGCTGCGCAAAAGTCTCGAATTGTCGGCCAAAAAACGCACTGAAGATTCTAATGGCGGTTTCCTACAATTTTCTGGTTTACATGTCGCATATGATTACCGTAACGAGGAGGGTAGTCGGGTTACTTCGGTGGAAGTACGCTGTGGTGAATGTGATATGCCAGATTACGAACCGTTGGACGATTCCAAAACATATAAGATTATATCTACTGCATTCTTAGTAAATGGTGGGGATGAATACAATTTGGTTGAGAATGGTTCAGAACCCATATTAATGAAATGGAGTGATGGAGAAGCGTTAATTGAATATTTAAAACATCGTGACTTCATATATCCTGAATTGGAAGGTCGAATTGAGGTTATTGAGTCAAGTAACTCCGGCGCATCTAATACCAAATCCTTTATATGCCTAACTCTTGCCAGTTTAGTAATGTTTTTTCTTCGATCCTTCCATTAGATATATATCTGCTTTATAAACAGTCGCCAAAATTACATATTTTTGTATTAAACAATGTACTTTTATTGAATTACAAAAATATATATACATAAATCTTAGTAGGAGCACAATTGAGATATTGCTTATTAATAGCACAAAAGTAATTATTTTTGAACTTTAAAATATATATTTGCCAAACTCTTTTCGTGCATCTTGTTTTATATAATAAATAATTACAAAATATGTTTAATTGATTTTTGGTGTATTAGGGGAACATAGCGACTAATTTGAATCAAACAAGTAGTAATTGAAGCTATTTTACGTTTCTAATATTTTAAAAGCGTACAGAGGGCTACAAAGAATAAGATAACTCGGAGTATTGTAAGTAGTAAATAATACAAAATAATTGTAAAAAAGGAAAAGAATTATATGGACGCTCGCTTAAAAAATGAGAAAAAGCTATAAAGTAGATTTCACACCACTTCATAAAAAAACCATGTTATGTTATATGGAGTAGAATAAATACTTATTGAACTTCACGTCACTCTGACAATTTGTAGTTTGCATTTCCTTTTAAACAAGTCTATTTCAAAAACATATTATACTAAAAATAAATTGTTTAGCATATATTTGTAAATATTTATTTATTTTATATATTAGTTATACATATGAAGCTTCAGATAAATCTTCATTTTTAAATCATAAAGACAATCTTACAAAATGTTGCCAAATTTATAATTGCTAATTTTCATTTAAACCCAACTGTATCAATTTCAAATTGATTAGACGCTCACTTTCATCCCACAGCCATTTAGCCAAGTCGTCATCTCGAGCGACTGCTGCAGTTTTTTTTGGTTTACAATCAGCAAAATAAGCTCCGCTAACTAATTCCAAGTCTGGATCCAAGGCTGCGTATATTGTAGTTTGCGCACCATTAGGTGTGGTTTTGAAAAACGGCCATTTCAAAGCGGTTGCGATAGGCCTTTATAATAAATATTTAATTGATTTTAGCGAATGTTGAAATGAATATTATACATACCGAAAAAGTGGGTTTTCAATTATAGTATGATGTCTCATTAATTCAGATTCAACAACACCGGGATGTAATGAATTAATAGTTACTTTTGTACCCTGTAATCGCTTAGCTAATTCACGTGCAAATAAAATGTTAGCAATTTTACTGTGTGAATAAACTTTTGAAGGGCTGTATGAACGTTCACTAAGAAAATCATTATTTTTAAAGGGTCCCATTTTATGCGCTAAGCTTGAGAGAACAACAATCCGACTGGGTGCAGATTTCTTTAGAATCAATATGTTAAACTTTGTTGAATAACATTTTTTTACTAATAATTGTACAATAAATACCTTTAGAAGATCAAGAAGCAAATTAGTTAAATAGAAATGTCCTAAGTGGTTGACACCAATCTGCATTTCGAAACCGTCTTGAGTAACCATGCGGGGACAATGCATAATTCCAGCATTATTTATCAAAATATCCAGTCTCGACTCGATTTTTTTATAGCTACAAATTTTTATTCCATATTAATAGATTCTGTCTAGTATGAAAAATGTTATATGTACATACTTATCAGCAAAATCTTTAATTGATTTTAGAGAGGCCAAATCAAGTTGCATGCCGAAAATGTTTCTGTTACAAGTATCTTTGATGAGTTCTTGCCGTGCCTGAAATGAACAAAATTTATTTGACTTACAGACTGTAACTTCCTTCATCAATGCTTTGTATATGCTTACATATGTCGTATACAACACTGGGATGGGTATTAGACCAAACCAATTTTTTTTCATCTACGCTTTTTTCTTATTTAGCCAATTACACAAAAAAAGTCGATTTTGTCGTATAGTGTAAAATTATAACATTTAGAATTTCAAATAGGAATAATTTATTGGTTTGATTTTTAAAGATAGTAGTATTCACCTTTTCACATTTTTCCATATCACGGCAAGCCATATAGATGGTAGCTCCTCGCTTAGCAAGCTCACGAGCAGTCTCTTTTCCAATGCCTGTGTTTGCCCCTGTTACAATTACTACTTTGCCCATGGCGGTGGTACTCTTCCGGTATTTGCCTCCTTGCATATACAACCTGTTAAAAGTTTGCTTTTGTCATTCATAATGTTAAATAGATCACATTATCAAATACCTGATAAGCCAAATCGCACCGGCTGCAATAAATAACCAAGTATATGGTATTTGCTCCATATCTTTATAATATTTGTACGCAATTATAACAACCAGTTATAGCGGAAATTTAACAACAGTTTTTTTTTATAAAATATGCGTCCTAGAATAACCTCAAATTAGTTTTTAAAGTAAGTGAACTAATACCCAAATATTTATTCCATACATTATAAAAAATGTAAAAATGATTGTTAATAGCCAAACGAAGTAAAGCAACGCCAGAGTTGCACAAACGTTTATGGATATAAAGGTATTCAAAAAAATTACTCTAGCATAAAAATGCTAATGAGACAAAAACATTATTTTGAGATTTACTAATGATTAACACGGATATTCAAAATATTTCGTTACATTATTTAAATATTTAATTATAATTATAAATTATATTTGAAATCAGCGCTGAATATTGATGAATATTGTAGTTGCTTTTTGATGATTAGTGCCACCTAGAGCTAAAACTTGAACTTGTTTTGCAGAAGCGCCATCTACAACGGAAGTTTAAGCAATAGCGACGCCTCAAAAGATGGCGTTCGGTTTTACATTCGGTTAAAGAAGAAGCACACACGGAAAGAATAGCGTAAAAATATTGTGAAGTAATTGCGCGAAAATCTATTAACAATTTATACAAAGATATGCAAATTTCGTGAAAAGAAACAAGAAAAGTGAGCGTTCGATGTCTGCTGCAGAGCGTAATATTTCTTAAGTAAATATGTAAGAATAAAATATGTTTTTTTGTTGTGTATCAGTGGTAGTGACAGCCACAGCGGCAACTAGCGCTGATGTGAAATGTTAAGACGATAAGAAAATACAAAAAACCAGAAATATATGAGAACGAGCCGGTATATGAAGTATTGAAAATATCTTTCAGTGAAAATGAAATTGTTAACAATATATTTGCATTGTGTAAAAATGTAAAAGCAAAAGCAGAAGTCCCAAAATTGTGAAGCAGTATTTCTGATTTTTTTTTTATATATTCAGTGATGCCATTGCAAAATATAAAAATTTAATCTTGTGTTGGTTGATGAATTATTTGGTTTCAAAACTTTGTTCATAGTTAAAAATATAATCAGTGTTTTCTCGTGCTCTATACAGATAAAAAAAATTGATGGTTAATTATGTGGGTTCTGTAAAAAATAATAAAAAAATTAGTCGCATAAATTATCAAAAAATCTGATAAATATGAAGGAATTTGGTAACTCTGTTATCTTCAATAACTCGCGATATTTACATTCATTAATTTTTTTTCTTTTCCATTCGTTGTATGTTTTGCGCATGTAGCACTGCGTTCTTACAATAATATCAAATATATAAATAAATGCAATTCAGAGTTAATAATATTTTATTAAACAGTACATATCTTTATATTCCCCATACAGATTTTTCTTAGTATTCGTAAAAAAAAAAACAACAAAAGTAGTCCGCTTTTAAACAAATAAATCGGCATATTTTGATAAACAAATATGACGGACGTAAAATATCCCTCAGGTTGTCGTCCGCTGACTGAGGATTTAGGGACGGATGAGCTTATTCGCAGACTTAAGGTAAGAGATTGAATGCTATTAAAACTCTTTGATTTCACAATTTTAATTTCTTTTAGACTCTAGCTCATGCGTTACAAGCTATGGGCCAAGATGAAAAACACGTTCCTGATTATATACAATTAGCACTGATGCTGGTAGATGAATACTTTCTACAACATTCATCACGCGATGTTCAACTTTTAGTGGCATGTTGCATTGCTGATATATTGCGAGTTTTTGCCCCCGAGGCACCTTATAAGGACCAGGACCAAATCAAAGCTATATTTATGTTTTTCATTAAACAGCTTAACGGTCTCAAAGATCCAAAAGATGCGTCTTTCAAGAGATATTTTTACCTGCTTGAAAACCTAGCCTTCGTTAAATCGTTTAATATGTGCTTTGAAATTGAAGATTGCCAAAAAATTTTCTGCCAACTCTTTGCTATGATGTTTAGAATTATTAAGTAAGTGTCCACATTTTAAAAGTATTATTCATTGAAAGAAATTGACATACAATTGTATTTTCAGCGATGATCACAGCACCAAAGTAAAAAATTTCATGATTGATATCATGAGTCCTCTTATTACGGAAGCTGACAATTTAACTACACCATTATTAGATTTAATATTGATTAATATTGTAGAGCCTCAAAAATCTGCTAACATTAACGCCTATCATTTAGCGGAGCAATTGATTCAAAAGACAAGTTACGCATTGGAACCCATCATAAAAATTGTACGATTTAAATATATTATATTGTATATTGAAAAAAAATTAATATCCTTTTTTTTTTCTAGTTTTTTAACCAAGTCCTTATATTGGGTAAAATCGACAAAAATATTGCGATTACAACAAAAATGTATGATCTCATTTACGAACTATATCAAATTAGTCCGAATCTGATGTGCTCCGTTCTGCCACAACTGGAATGTAAACTAAAGTCTACAACAGAAATAGAGCGGATGAGTAAGTTATCTTCTTCTAATTTTTTTTTTCGTTTTATTTGAATTGTGAATTTATATTTTTTTTAAATTCCAATACAGAGGCTGTATCTTTATTAGCTCGAATGTTTTCCGAAAAGGACTCACAGCTCTCAAAAAAACATACCTCATTATTGCGTATGCTCTTGGGTCGGTTTTGCGACATTGCTGCAGCGATACGCGTTAAGTGTGTACAATCTTCAATGCATTTTCTATTAAATCATCCACATTTGAGAAAAGATATAATCGACTGTTTACGCGCCCGTCAACATGATTCCGATGAAACAGTCCGCTATGAAGTGGTTATGGCCATTGTTGCGACAGCCAAAAGGGAATTTAATATAGTATGTGAGTCACAGGATTTATTGCATATTGTACGAGAACGTACGCTAGATAAAAAATTTAAAATTCGTAAAGAAGCTATGAATGGTCTGGCATTTATTTACAAAAGGGTTTTGTGTGAACCCAATGACCTATCGCTTGACTTAAAGGAATCTGTAAGTTGGATAAAAAATAAAATATTACATGGTTATTATATGCCCGGAATCGAGGATCGGCTACTTGTTGAACGTTTACTTATCACCTGCCTCGTACCGTACAAATTGCCTTCAGATGAAAGAATGAAGAAGTTATACCTCCTTCTGGGTACACTCGATGATAATGCTATGAAAGCATTTATGGAAATTCAAAAAAATCAAATGAAAACACGAAAAACCGTTAGTGATTGGGTAAAAATGCATCACACCAAAGAACTTACACAAAAAATGCAAAACCAACTTAACGTTAAACAGGCCATAATTTGCAAGTAAGTTTTCACATAATAAAAAGAATAGTAAATTTTAATACAACTTAATGAATATAGGTTACTGCCAGACCCTCTTAAAGCAACTGAATTTATAGCGAAATTCAGCGTTAATATGCGCAAAGATGCATCTTTACTACGTTATATGGAGATAATTTTAAAGCGCGATGTGTCTTGCAAAGAATGCGCTGACACTATGTCACTGCTTCTAAAGAAACTTGGAAATCCAATGGCCGCCAATTTATATTACAATACCGTCAAAATGTTGATTGAGCGTATTGCGTCGGTCATGGTAGATAAGGAATCAATCGGTATTTTAATAAGGTGAGATCATAGTTTTCATGAGGCAATTTGCAATTTTTTTTGATAATGCTAATATATTTTTTGCAGCCTTGTTGATCAATGCATGCAACGTGGTAAAATTGTAGAAGAAATGGGTGTACCCAGTGAGGAAGCCGGTGAACGTGGTCTTAAATTTTTATGTGTAAGGTTAACAACTATATTATCCTAGTTATGGCGTGCTAATCTTTCTTTCATATAGATGCTTTCTTATATATTTTCTGCGCATTTTTTCACCGATGAAACCTTAGGACACATGATCGCCTTATTAAGTCACGAGGAGGATTACGCTGCACCACTTATACTTAAGGCTCTCGTACATCTAGGCCGGTATCAACCCTTATGTGACATCAATCCAACTGTTTTGGAAGCACTGGCTTCAATTTGCAAAGACTTTGCATTAACAGGCACGGTGAAGCAGGCCAAACATGCAGTTCGTTGCATATTTGTTAATGTGCAAACTCAAATGGCTGGAAGTGCTGGCGCAGATTCTATCGGTCCTACAACAAAAACGCCTATAGTTCATCCAATATTTAATGAAATCATTGAATCTTTACGGGTTACCCTATCTCCACAAGATCCATATCAGCATACGAAAATTTGTACCCTGGGCCATATTGCCTACCATATGCCACAAGCCTTTCTCACTCCAGTCAAAAATATGATTGCAAGACGTGTTGTCAAAGAGTTACTGATCCAAGGCGTTTCTGAGACACGGGAGTGCGATTTGCCGGTTGGTGACTGGTGTAGCAAAGAAATATTGCCAAATGACACACTTTGTAAATTGGACGCTCTTAAAACAATGGCACGTTGGCTAATTGGTTTGCGTTCAGATGAGCATGCAGCACAGAAAACATTTCGTATGCTGATTGCCTTTATAAATCAGCGAGGTGATTTGTTAGAACAGAATCGCTTGTGTCCCGCCGAAAAATCATGGCTAAGACTTAGTGCTGCTTGTGCTATGCTGAAAATTTGCGAACAAAAAGGAGTTGGGGATCAGTACAATGCTGAACAGTATTTTAATTTATCGCAAGTCATGGTGAGAATCAGGAAATATATTTTTATAAATAAATACTTATACACCATCAACAACAATGTATATCTCTTTCGCCTTTTTGCAGTGTGATCCCGTGTCTGAGGTGCGCGATATATTCGCTCAAAAGTTACATAAAGGTTTGGGCAAAGGATTGCCCAATAAATGCTTACCACTCGATTTTATGGGATATTATGCTTTAGTTGGTCGTGAAACTGAAAAAAGGTGCGCCCGCATTAACCTCAAATATTGCTTTCAGAAACAAACTTTATAATTATAACTGTTTGTTGATTCTATTTAGACACACTGAGGTCATTCGAAACTATGTGGAAATGGACGTTAACAAAAGGCGTGAATATATCAAAACAATAGCGGCAATCTGTACGTAACTTTTGGTAATTTATCACAAAAATATTTTCAAACCAAATTTAATTTATAGCGACGAAGAGCAAAAATGATGCGCAAACCGCTTACCTTTTACCTGATTTCATGTTAGCGTTTGCGATACCTGTTTTAGCACATGACCCAGCCTTCACCGACTACGAAGATCGTGTACAGCTGAAACAAGTGGAGAAATGTTTGCGCTTTATTCTTGAACCACTTATGATGAAGCGTGAAGCGTTCTCTTATAGCTTCTACGTAAATCTAATACAGATGATGAAAAACCACCAGGACACCACACCGAATGCAGAAGATAATTCATATAATTTAGTAAGTAAAAAGATAGTAATGATTTGTGAAAATTATATATATATATATATATATATTATATAGAAAATGTGGGCAGCATGTGATCTAGCCCTGTACATAATCAACTCGAAAATCGGCGATAGCAGCACATCTTCAAATTCTTTTCCTGTAACAATACACTTACCAGAAATGTATTATAAACCTTTGGATAAACCAGACAACCATACAAAGGTATACATACCTTTAGACACTTACACATTAGCGTCAGGTCCAATATCTGCGGCGTCAAAGATAACCTCATCAACAGCAGTCTCAGCGCCGGTCGTTAAAAAAGTCAATACTTCGGCCGCCAGTAGTGCGAATCTTACATTGCGTTTAGTTGGCGATAAACGCACAGCTGATCATCTGCCGAGCAATGAAAACTCGCCAACTAATGCACAAGTGAGTAGAAATTGGGGAATAGGATAAATTAAGGCACGATTTATTACAATTTGTATTTTTATCCTTAGGATAACGCTGTGACATACGACGATAGTAGTAGTATGGCTGAGCCACCAGCCAAGCGAACGCGCGGTCCATTGAGGGCAGGAAAGACCGTTTCATAAAATCAATACAATGGCGTGGTCAAAAAAACCAGACGTCCATATTTACATCCCTCCTAAACCGGCCAAGCGCCTTGGAGCAATCATACGTACTATGCAGGGAACCGTAACAACATAATTAAATACATACACACCTATTCGTTACATTTAGTAACGGAAATTTGTACATTTTTAAAATGATAAAGAAATCCTATTAAATCCTTACTAGTAGGTGAATTTTTATTTTTCATTGTTAGACACACTTTTCCTGTTGCGTCTACATTTGGGGCTCAAAACAGCCGAGTCCAATATTTGTGTGTGTGTGTGTTTTTTTTTTTTAATCTATAACTGGGAGTCTTGGCCGATGTTATGGATTTGATTGCTATTCAGCCAAGCTTCTCGTAATCCCAGATTTATTGTTATGCCTCATTATTACAATTACACAAAGAACATAGTAATAAAAACAAATTGTTTCATTTATATACAATAATATAAAAGAAAAAAACAAAATTAATTTAGATAGCATTTAAGTATTTATGTATAACATATATGCCTCTAAAAATCACATATAAATATGCATGCAAACATACGAAACGAGAAAACTGGATTGAATATAATATATTTAAAAATAATTTCCGGCTTTGTTATCTCCCAAATGTGTATTGTATTTCCATGAAAATTTATTATTTAACTGCTATAGTTTGCTAACATTTTTTGAAGGAAAAATTACATTTTTATATGATTTTAAAACTTTTGACAATCGTATAATTCGTATATGTAAGTAACAGTTGCTGAACTTTTAAACCTTTTTCACAATTTGCACGACATCTTCATCGTTCAGAACATGATCAATGCCTACTTTTTGTGGTTGATGTTTAACAGAAGAACCCCAAACTAAAGCGCTAATAAATGAAAGCTTTTTAATAACAAATCATTATTTGAAATAGGAAATACTTACTATTTGAATTCTTTTGCAATTGAGCGATGCAGCTTATTACAAAAATCTTGGATACTTGTGCGTTCATTATGTAGTACAATAGGCGAATTATAGTCCGGAAGTTGACCCTTAGGTTTGGTGTAACTGTGAAAGAAACAAATTTGTAAATTGAACAATTGCTTAAATCCATAGTCTAGGTGTGTTACTTACATTCGAACCAGTTTGAGATATTCCCACATCATTTCTAGCAAATCGTCAAAATTCCAGCGATGATGCGCCGAAATGGGAACACAATGTGGGATCTTATAAATAACGTCCAGTTCTTCAATCGATATTTGATCAATTTTATTCAGCAAGTAAATACAAGGTATGTAAATCCGGTTTCCTTCAATAACATCAATTAAATCATCACTTGTTGCATCATATCGCAATGTTATATCGGCATTATGTATTTTATATTCAGAAAGGATAGTCTTAACTAGATCAGCATCCAGCTCAGATTGCGGTACCATACTATTAAGATTGACGCCTCCCTTATCTTTACGTTTGAAATAAATATTTGGAGGTTTTTTATTCAAACGAATACCAAAGCCTTCCAATTCATGTTCAAGTAATTTTTTATGTCCTAAAGGCTTAAGGCAATCAAGAACCATAAAAATTAAATTACATGTTCGAGCCACCGCAATAACTTGACGACCCCGACCTTTACCATCTTTCGCACCCTCTATAATTCCAGGCAGATCCAAAAGCTTCACAATAACAAAAAATTAAAAATATCATTATTAATAATTTAATAAATTTAAATGGGTTACTTGAATTTTTGCGCCCTTATATTTTATACATCCAGGAACCGTGGTCAAGGTTGTGAATTCATATGCTGCGACTTCACTGTAAACTCCTGCCAAGTTAGAAAGTAAAGTCGATTTTCCAACTGACGGGAACCCCACGAACCCAACTCGAGCGTCTCCAGTTTTTGCAACTTCAAAGCCTATAAAAACATTATATTTCTCCGAAATTATATACATTTATATCTAATTAATACTATTACCATCGCCACCGGCACCGCCGCCACCGCCTTTTGGGGATATTAACTCACGACGCAGCTTCGCTAACTTGGCCTTTAAAAGCCCCAAATGAGCCGATGTTGCTTTGTTTTTCTGGGTGCGTGCCATCTATGATTTTAACCCAAAGTTCCCATGGTATTGGTAAACATACATTCGTATGCGGCATATAATGTTAAGGTTAGTTTTTATTTAGTTTGCTATTTCACTTGGAATTTTAGTTTTACCTCGGATTCGATGGCAGCAATTTTCTCAAGTATTGTACTCATTTTGCCGTTATTTCTTCAAGCCTTTTATATTAAAAACTAGAAATAAGGTTTTCAATAATAAAGCTTTTTGTTGACAAAAAACCTTAATAACGCGTGGACAATCGACTGGAGTTCCATTAAAGAGATTTGTCGAATACAAAGTTGGAGACGTCAAATGTCAAAAATTAGAATTGTTCAAAAACATTGAACATGTTGCCAGGCTATGATTCATATATGAGACTCCAATTCACATACGAGTATACAATGTATGATATAACAATTAATATAAGCCAAATAAATTGATTAATAAAAGAAGAATGTATAAAATAATTTACAATAAGTTGAACATTAATAGAAGTAACACTTTCGTTACCATATATGAAAACTTAGTATAATCGATTTATGTCTTTATGTTGTAGTGCTAACAAGTGGCATCACTAATTTTGTGTTGCAGGAGGTTCGTTGGTTGTGGCCACTGTGGGAAACATTGGTATCCTTCTAGCGACCACTAAAAAAGTTAGGAATGAAGAAATTGCTAATAGTTTTCAATCATCGTAGCGAACGTTTCCAAACATTAGTTTCGTATATAATTATATTGACTTTGACTATCTGTGGTGTTTGCATCGTGTGCAATATATTTAATTTACAGAATGAAGCTGGCCGAAACAACAATAAAGTTCCGCTGGATCTTATTCATGTACGTGAAATCTTGTTATCAAAAGACAGCGAGGAAGCACGCAACCGCGATGACAGTTGTAGAATGTGGGATTGTATAAATTTATACAAATGCGGGCAAAAAGGACATGACCATCTTTCTGTTTATGTATACCCCCTCCAAGAATACCTCGATGAGGTGAAAGGGGAGCCAGTTTCAATTCTCACCCGTGAATATTACCAAATACTTGAAGCGGTTGTACGAAGTCGATACTATACGCCAAACCCAAATGAAGCCTGCCTCTTCCTGCCAAGCATTGATACTTTGAATAGTAACTTAGTAAAACCAAGTGCAGTGGAACGAGCATTAGCGATGCAAAATTATTGGGATAATGGTGAGAATCATATTATTTTTAATATGATGCCACGAACCGATGGAAGTACTCTGAAAACTGATCGTGCCATAATGCTTGGAGGAGGATTTGATTCGTGGACCTATCGGAACGGATTTGATATATCGTTACCTATTTATAGTCCTGCACAACAACATGTGTCAGATTTATCGCCAAGATCAACACATTTACCGCGAAAAAATTTGTTGGTAATAATTTTGCCAAACGTGTATCCAAAATATCATAGACAAATACATTCATTAGTGGACGATAACCCAAGCGAAGTGCTAATGCTTGATAAGTGTGCTACAAATGGTATAGATTATACGTCAAAAAATACGTTGCGTTGTAATAGCAGTCGTAGTAAAAGTTTTGAATATCCGCGGGCATATGAGAAAGGAACCTTTTGTTTATATTCACATAGTGTAAATGCAGGTAAATCCGATTTAATGGAAATGCTAGCCTATAATTGCATTCCCTTGATTGCTGTTGATAATTTCATATTGCCGTTTGAGGACGTGCTTGATTGGACATTATTTTCGATAAGTATTCGTGAGGCAGAAATTCATTCTATAGTAAAAAAGTTGAGCAGAGTATCGCATACAAAAATTTTTGAACTACAACGTCACGGCCGCTGGGTGTACAATCGATATTTCAAAGATTTAAATACCATAACGCTTACATCATTGGAAATTTTGGAAAATAGGATATTCCCTCATCGAGCTCGTAGCCTAATGGATTGGAATAAACCAGATGATAATTATCGAAGTACTTTCAACCCACTTTTTTTGCCGGTAATATCTCCCAAGTCACACGGATTTACAGCTGTGATATTAACGTATGATCGAGTTGAGAGTCTTTTTACGTTAATTCAAAAGTTAGCTATGGTGCCATCTCTTCAGAGCATACTTGTTATTTGGAATAATCAAAATAAGATGCCACCACATTGTAAGATATACATAAGATTTTAAGTCATATTACTTAATTGATCCATTCCATTTCAGTATCCTCATTTCCTACAATTCCGAAACCGCTAAAGGTCATTCAAACGCGTGCAAACAAGCTTTCAAACCGTTTTTATCCCTACAATGAAATTGAAACTGAAGCAATTTTAACGATTGATGATGACATTAATATGCTTACTACTGATGAACTGGATTTCGGGTAATTATTACGGATACTTAAATAATTATAATTGTCAACGAACCTTAAATACATTTCCTTTATTTTTAGTTACGAAGTTTGGCGAGAGTTTCCAGATCGAATAGTAGGATTTCCGAGTAGAATTCATGTGTGGGACAATGCTTCAATGCATTGGCGTTACGAGTCAGAGTGGACTAACCAAATTTCGATGGTTCTCACTGGAGCGGCTTTTCATCATAAGTTTTGGAGTCACATGTACACATATGCAATGCCTGGAAATATTAAAGAATGGGTGGACCAGCATATGAACTGCGAAGATATCGCGATGAATTTTCTTGTTGCAAACGTTACTAATAAACCCCCGATAAAGGTTACACCACGGAAAAAATTTAAATGTCCTGAATGCACTAATACCGAAATGCTATCTGCTGATTTAAATCACATGCGCGAAAGATCAGCTTGCATTGACAGGTTTTCCAGCATTTATGGTCGCATGCCATTGCGCAGCGTAGAATTTCGGGCAGATCCTGTACTCTTTAGAGATAACTTCCCTGAGAAATTGAAGCGATTTAATGATGTTGGGAATTTGTAAATAATATTCGTAAAAATGACTTTTAATGCATCGATTTATAATATTATGTAAAAAATATACTTGAATGCCATATAATTATGTAGTAGGAATGTAGATATACTCGTACATAGTATGTAAGAATAGACGATTAAGTTTAACTGAACATTTTGAAAATAACGTGTATTATGTATTGTTGGTGCATTTTACGAGCTAATATTGTGAATGAATAAAAACATTGCAATATTTAAACAAACAAGAAATTTTCAAGGCAATTAATATTTTATAAATACTTACAGCAACTCATACATACTGTAAATTGTTAAAGTTCCGTTACTAAACGTGTCTGAGAAAGAAAAGAGAACTTTGTTAAAACGGTAGATATTGAAGAAAAATCGCATAAATTTGAAGGAAATGTTTGCCTCCAGTAAGTATTCGTAGTATTAGAAAAATTGTAGAATATAAATGTGTACATATAATTAGATAATCGGAAGTATTTGGTGGAACCTGGTTCCAAACCATCTAACTCGTGTCAACGATTTGTTGCCGCTCTAAATGGAAAGCGTGAAACGGCTGAAAACTTATTACATAAAAGTTACACCTTTGACAAACCTTTAAAACAGATGAAGTTATCCAATGAATATTTCTTAAATAAACCACAAACTAAAGGACGATTTAATACCACAGTCTTAACATCGAACGCACACCGAAATTCGGAATTTTTCCTCCTACCACTTCCACAACCAAAAGTCACACCATCGGTACAAATAAAGGGGAGTTTGAATAGAACCATTGACGTTGTTGTTAAAGATTTTCGAGACGAGCGCTTTGATGTACAAGGATCAAATTCTTCAATGAAAGAGTATATGAATTCATTCAAGAATGGGCGAAATAAAATGGCACTAGTGGGACGTGTGGACTTTTGTTTAAAAATTCATAAAGTGCACCCAACATTGGATGCCTTATGGGATGTTTACGGTTTGTTATGAATATTTAGATTTTGAAATTGTATTAATTTTACGAATTCGTATTTACTTAGGGCAATTAAAAAAAATAATTACTGGAAAACAAAGAGGAGAAAATGTCTTATTGTTGCGAAATTTGGATGGAGGACCAATACTTCTAAGTATTTATTATGACTTCGCGTTGGTTGGATTAGATTCAGGTTTGTCTGCCATTATTAAAAATTCTCAATTCTATAGTTACTTTCCTTAGGTTGTTATTTACGAGCCGTTGGTCGTTTTATTGGAGAAAATCGACTACATACGTTCAAACTTAAGAGGATCGAAGAGGAAGAGTACATGCAGTCGGTACGGTGCTTTAACCGAATTCAAAACGTTTCCTCCTTTGCGCTGCTACAGAATGGAAATTAGAATTTTCTTTAAAAACAATAAAACATAGTGAAATGTTAAATATATGAAAATAAGCAGGTATATTTGGTTAGTCATCTACAAAGTAGTATTACAGTATACTAATACTTTTCTGAATACTTAAAATAATTTGTACTTATTTTTTCAAATTCATTAATCATATTTTCTTAATGGTTACTATTTATGAATAATACTCAGACTAGTCTACACTACTGAAATCACAATACAAAAATATAGTGACTATTAAACCAGAAGCTAAAGCCATTATATAACCCAAATGTAAGGCACTGCGTCGTTCGCGGAGGTATCTATAAATGAAATAAAATAAAAATGAACACCAAATTACAGTAAATATAAATTTTTCTTACGTTTGTTTTATCGGTGAAAAGGGTGAAGGAGGATTTAAGCCTGGCACGTCGCTATCCAAATACACTAGCATATATGAAAAAAATGCTAAACAAATGCCACATATCATTGGACTGAGTGTTGCATAGACCTGGTGCTCATGCGCCCATCTTAAAACCTCCTGCATTTCTGTTCGCACCATCTTGTTAATGTCAAAAATATTCTCGGTTTTGGCGAAGTGTTCTATGAAGATAATGATAAATATAAGAACGGATATCCTTAAAAAAGTTAAAAAAAAAGGTTTGAGCCTTATCAACCTGTGCACGTTATCGGTTTACTGTTTTTTGTCATTCGTTATGCATAATCATTTTCTATATTATCCAATTCGCTATGACCTTACTAGCCACACGAAGCTAGTTGAAACGCAATTACGCTAAAGTGCATACGTATATATGCAAATGCAATTATATGTTCACACTTATGTACTTATATATGCACATATATAAACTGTATTAGTAAAAGACTTTTCTGACTCTTTTAAAGACGGGATGTTTATAAAAAATATATGTACATACGTGTGTACATATGTGAAAAGGATAAACTGTAATAAATTGTTGAAAAGACAAGCTTATCTGACGGCTTAACCTTTGGATAGATAAGCATTAATGTTACTTCTACAATGAGAGTGAAAACAAAATTAATGATTAATAATTTTCAATAATAGCAAAAAACACAAATTTTCCGTTTACTACGATATGTATGTATATATGGGTGTTAATATGTAAAATTTCAATAGGGCGTTGATGAATGGGGAATTCGTGAGATCATCGATACTTTTCGCTATTTATCTATTTATACATATGTATATCAATAATATCTATTTATGTACGTATTTAAATGCATGTACAGCTCTTCCGCTTATATACCTCGTTAACTAGCAAAATACAATTGAAGCTGCCAAATATAATTAATAGTCCTAGAAAGGGTTGTTGAAATGATCTTGGATCAGATAATAATGCTAAATGATTTTCTCAGTATGCAAAAATTAGTAGCAATAACGTTTAGAAAATTACATACCCGCGACTATGACCATTTTAAACATTAAACAAAATAAATTTTAACCAATTGATATCCACAAATGCTCAGGAAAGCAATATTTTCTAACTGCTGCCAATTTCAATTATTTTCTATTTTTCACTTAACATTTTTCATTTGGCTACTAAATGTTTTATCCGATTGATGAATCTGAATCCCCTTTCGTTATTAGTGTAAGCTAAAATGAATTTGAATCTGTTAGTGCACCGACTGGCGGATAGTTCAAAATGGAGCAAACGATTGTCGTCGTTCGTGACGTCACCACATTTGTTTTGGAACAGAGCGCAGCACCCAAATGCTCTCTACAAACGTTTTTTTTTTTTTTTTTGTTTTTGCAAAAAGCGCAATGTTTATTATTCGTTGTCAGACTTAATATATAAATTCTTCACAAAATATTTTTATACATTTTGCTACAAAAGTCTTCTTTACTGAAAAAATAACAACAATAAGCAAAAATAAAATGTAATGCATATGCTGCTGTTCGAATCAAGGTGTTAAATTCATAAACAAAAATGGCTTTTAGTGACGTCACATACAAATCAGAAAAGTGTTGTTAGCTTTTCAGTATTAATTCCCATACTAATTTAATTACTAAAAGGCTACACATCTTAGCACGGTGATTTCTGATGATGTAAAAGACTGCCTTGTGATCAAAATAATTATTATTACTGTAGCACAATGTATTGTCTCAATATTTCAAATCCAAATATTTTAAATTAATCAAACTAAATTGCTTTTCCTTCAATTAAATTCCGGCCATGGGTAGAAATGGAGAAGGCATTACTGGCCCTTCGTTTGAAATGATTTTGTTGGGGGTTGGTGCAACAGATAGTTTATAGAATAGTGCAAACGTTTGTCACTACATAAACATGTTGCTTGTTACAGGTACAATTAAGAATACAGTAAAACAGTAAGCTGCACATATGTAGTTTAATTCTGTTATACACTATTTCTTAAGTGAACATTCACACTAACTTAACTTTATTCTCACACAAGCTGGGTCTGTTGTCCGGAAGTGTAATAAAAGCGGATTACTGTACGCGACATGCTGAGAGATACCTATAATCATTTCAGTACTTTAAATTAAAAAGAAAAACACATTAAAGCATTAAATGTTAAAGTACAAGTAAAAAAAATAAAATTAGGCGGATTTAAATGTGAAGTTTAAATAATGTACAACAAAATATATTAAACTTTACCAACAAGTACGACTATACCGTTAGAAAAATCGTTATTTATTTGGATACATGTATGTATGTATTAATAAAATTTGCAATGTTAAATGAAAATAATTGGATAATTAACAAATTGCAAAGTTTTCAAATGACAGCTAATTTTAAGATATAAATACATGTTTTTAGACTCACAGAAGCAATCGATTTTTCACACAAATGCCTTCTTATACACCGATTTGTTCAAGCGCATTACCAATATATGTACATATACCAGTAAAAATGGCACTAAATTTTTTTTATCTCAATGCTTTACTACAAAAAATTCATTCTTTTAGTTTTTAATTTATAATAATGTAAGGAGTATTTGTGCAATATTTTTGAGCTATTTCTTCTTGTTTAGGTTGTTTATAAGTCATGTCATTTCTCGATGAACAAAAGGAGTGTGAAGATACAAACAAAGATCTTTCAGAACAGTTCAGACATCATGTGTCTGAACGAGTGAAATTGTATGAGGCTAGCATGAAAGGATCAGGATCAGGATCGCCAGTTAAAATAAGCATTAAGAAAAACAACAACATACGCCATGTGGTGCCAGTAGGTGTATTGATTGTGTTTTTTACATTGTATTTAACAGCAACAGCTATTCAATTCAAATATGTGAACTATGTTCATCCAGAAGATAAGAGGAATAGCGATTTCGACAATACTTCAGAAGACCAAGAAATGCAAGCACAGGAAACAACTAAACGAATAAAAATACTTGAAAAGCTATTGGAATACAAAGACCTGTGCACTGAGTTAGAAGTTTTTACAAAGGATTTGCGTTGGGTAAACGAGATTATGGGAAAAGAAAACCAATTAAAGGAAATTGATACTGAATGTGAAGAAATAACTGAAGAATCAGTAATTATGAGCTTTGGAGTTGAGAATGGTGAAAACTACGACCAGAAAGAATCAAAACATAAAGAAAAGCCCACAGAAATAATTGATTCCCAAAGTACTAACAGAGATAAAAGCAATATTGCGCCACAAAATGAAAAAAGGCGATCTAATAAGGCACTTGCAATGAAGAAAAATCAAATTGATAGCGAAAATGCTAAGAACAACAACAGCACGGCTAGCAACAATAATAATAAAAAGGATCAATCAACAGCAAAAAAATCAAACACTGCAGAACCCATTATCTATATGTTTGCATTGGTGTTTATATATTTGCTGCTAAAAGCCGCTTCAGACATAAATCAGCATTACAAATCGGTAAGTGTGCGGACGCTCTATAATACTGTACAGTTGCTGCACAGAGTAATTATAAACATCTTTACGTCACTTATTTCTTTTTACGTTTTCCAGCAAAACAAAGGTGACAAAAGGTTACGACGTTGCTCCTTGCAATCTTACGCTCAGACTCATAAACAAGACCGTCGAGCTTCAAAAGGTACATCATATAATAAACCGTAAGGGTGCTATTAATATTTTTGGAATTGAATAGAAAATAAATGAAAAAAGAAACATAAAAATCATATTTAAAAAATTAATTAAAAAACATAAAAAATAACTGTAATTGTTAGCAGACTAACTAGATCTACAAAAAAAAAATTAAAACATTAATTTATGAAAATGTAACAGCTACTATCTATACCTCCTAAATACTCTTATTACTAACGGTAAAAATCTATCGAAAATCAACTAAACCGAATATGGAGCACTTGACGGAATCAAATACTTACATTTACATTTGTATCTAGTAGAAATGTCTTTAGTAGAACTGCTGAATTTAGTGATTAATGCTTGTATATTTTGCATCATCGTTTCGCTATACCTTTAATGGATGTCTAAATTTAATTGCTCACTTACTAACATTTACTTTACGTTCTCTGTTACAACCTAATAACTAAAAAAACGGAGAACCTAAAATAAATTCTTCTAAATATGTATGTTCCCTAAATCAAACAAGTTTTTCTACGTTCTCTTGTAAATCATTCGACATGAGACATATTTTTACATACCTTTGAATATACCACACTAACCTGCATAAATGAATAGAAGTATCCTTGAATGCGTTGTTCTCTGAATTCCGTTTGACTTTATATTGCGTGTTGTTCATATTTCGAAAACAAACGTTTTACATGTGTATTTTGATATTTGTTATAAATTTGCATAAATATGTATGTATGTATGTATGTATATAAATATGTTTATATCTATTTCTGTTGTTCTGTTTGCTTTTTTTTTTGAATTATGTGTACATACATATTAATTAAATAAATTTTACTTTGAGATTTTTATGCGTGTTACCTACATATGTATTGTATATAACCAAAAAACTTCTTTTATACTATAAGTACACATGAGTAAATATAATAGATTGATAAGTCCTTTAAATCACTCCTATCGCCTTCTTTACGTTTGCTTTTTTTAAATTTCAGGTCTCCAACGTATTTGTACTCGTACTTACTGAAAGACCCTTGCACTTTCCTACATGCAAATGTGTTCAATGTGTTTATCTATGGTATCGTGTATTGTTCGCACTTTAACAGCACAACCTTCCAGCTCTAAGCTCTAACTCTCCTTGAAAACTTCAACTATATATATGTATATTATTTTATCTCAAATTGCATTTCTTCTCATATGAAAGCGATATTTTGTCATTATTCATAACTTTGTTGTCTATGTGTGAGCTGTTGTTATCCTACCATGTTTTAAATTTATAAGTATGTATAAATGCAATTGCATATTAAAATGTACGTTAACTATGTTTGAATACCTATAAACATTTGTTGTAAATTAATACTATTGCTATTTTATTGTTTTCGTAAATTATATGGAAATTCTGGACAAGTATTGGTCATAGTCTAAACGTTTCTTGGATTGTATGAGTTATTTAGCAAGAACTGCATATACAAGATTTACGCATCAAAGGTCAATAAATTTTTAACTCTCTCTAACTGTAATTAAAAATGTTTGCTGTTTCATTTAACAATGTGGGATAATAAATTTATTAAACATTACTTACTTTTTCCTTAAAACAACATATGTTGAATATATTATTAATATACGCGTAAATAAATGAGGGAATTGATAAGTTACAATTGCAATTGACTACTACATATAAGAAATTGCGGTCATAAGTTTGGTTGCGAGTGATAATCATATTAAATGATGAGCAATTAGAAATGTTAATACAAATTGGCAAATTATTTTTACATTTACAAATTTCGCTTTAGACTCTTCGAGTAGAAAATCAAAAAACGAATCACTGTTGGAAATGCGATCGCAATCTGTAGATCGCTTCAACGACACTGCAATGAAAAAATCTGAAATACTTTCCAATCTACGGAAATTCACATCTTTCGACGAACATGATCGCTTAGCAAATATACAACGCAGAGTCCATGGTCTAACACTGCAGCCATCGAGGGAATCACAGAATTGTGGTGAAAGTTCTTCGAATCCTTTGGGTAAGTCAGTAAAACATAAAACGCATGGAAGTTTCAAAAATAGGGAAATGAGGTCGTTTATCCAATTTTTCAGAAAGTACTATGCCAAAAATCTCTGGCCGACGATGCTCGGTGCCAGTTTCATTAAGTTTCCAACGTCACAACGTAAAAGCCGTCGCTTTGCCAATTTCGAATTTGGCTCGTCGTACCTCTTTATCCGGCGCACATATTGGCCTAGAAACAAATTTAATTGACCATGGACAAGATACGCCATTTCATGAAGTTAAACGACGTGTTCGCATGATAAATCGACATTAAAAACCAAAACGATTTAATATGAAAATGGATAAATGAAATGTCAATACTCTTAAAATTGTTGGTATTGTACGATTTTGTGATTAATTTGTTGGCAAAGCACAAGTACAGTACCACCAAATTTCGACAGCGTCTGCAGTATTTAATGTTGAACCACAAAATAAAATTTTTCTTCTTTACAATTATAATATAAAAGATTTGTTTATTATGTAAAAACTTTTAAAAATTATTACAAATATTCTAAGTATGTACATGATTTTTTTGGTGTTATAAAAAAATAATGTTTCGATTTCCGATAAATGCCAAAGGTATATTTCAAAATTAGTGTGACATTCGTCCTTTATATTGTATACTTAAATAAGTATGTATTATATATATATTCTCGGAAGTTCATATTTACATCCATCTTAGTTTTAAATTTAAAAAAAAAAAACTATTAAATACTATATATTAATTTAATAAAAATAAAATATAAAAGAACATATGTATTGTGCTGATATGTTAACAATTAAGAATTATTTAATTTACGAACTATATATACTCGTATATGTATCTTATAATGTAGAATCGCAATAAGTACAACTTAAGCTAAGGCAAGACCAATTACAGCAACAAATTATCAAGGTTTTCATATTAAAACCAAAATATTTGTAGTTTTTTTAATGTTAATGCTACTTAAATTCATTTAATAAAAGGCACTAAGCGACAAATTAAATTAGATTAATTAGAAGTGCTAATATTAAGATTTATGTTATTTTGACGTTTGATTCAAAACCAAATATTTTAAATCGCTTTTAGAAGAAAATTGCTATTTGCTAAAGTTATTCAAGTCTTTCATTTTAACAGTAATGTTCGTATGTTTAGGGCATACATATAAAGATATATGTAATGAAATATGATTTCATTATTCGTACTCGAACAATATTCATCATCGTAACATATTAAATACAAAATAAATAAATAACTTCTTCGATAAAGTATTTTAAGCTATTGTTGATTAAAAAAAAAAAGGTCCCAAGGAACATTTTATGTTAAGCTACGTTCATTGCCCTCATAAAGGCTTTCACAGCTTTCCAGCAGCCGCAGCACCGGTGAAATATCGTAGGGATATAATTGACGCGCTACTAATCGGGAGATGTGCAAACGCAATCGTATCAACACACTCATTGCTTCGTCGAGGACAGGTGAGCCCATTCCAAAATCATGACAACTACGTAGAAACATATCCCAATTTGCTCGTATATATTTTAGTAGTCGTAGTAGATAGAGTAGAAAACAAGTTTCATTGCTGACCAGTAGATCCAGTAAGAGGTCTGAACTGTTGGAAATCATTTTGAGGAACTCTAAGAAGGTATAGACCGGATTCAACATAGAAACGAGTTCAGGGAATGCATTATTGCGGAAAGATATGCCTGCTGTAACATCCAAGGTACACACCATAGCTTCAATTAAATGATCATCCTGATCATCAAAAAGATGTATGAGTATTTTGCTAAAGTGGCACTCAGGATGAAATTCTAGTTTGTGCTTTATAAATGATTCCAGTTTGCGTAAAACATCGCGTATGGAACGCTCAATCAACACCATATCTTGATAGGCGTCACAGTCTTGAGAATCAATCGAGGAATCCGAAGAATCGCTTCGTATCTCTTTAACAGTTACAGCAACAGATTTCAGAACTAGGAGCACCATTTTTTGTAATATTGTTTTATCCATTTCAATGGCATTGGCATCAAGCTCAATTGGACCACCTGACAATATCCCTGGAATCCCCCCTGAATTTGGAATGCTTTCGTTATTAGAGAATTCTCGATTCATCGGAGTGGACGAGCCGCACATTTGTGTTGTACATCGTTCCGGCTTCGGAGTCCATGGCATATCTTCTAAATAAGTAACAGCCGCGCGTTTGAAGCCCAAAAAACTGACCATGTTTTCAGGTTGACGACGCGGTAGAGAGTCTAAAATACGTGCCTCTTTTACATGCCGCACAATTCTTTGCGCCAAATGACACGTCTCGACTGGCAGCATGTCCTGCAGTGCAAGCGTGGAGCCGTAACACAACGCTTCGTTAAATAAGCACAGTAGCTGTTTATAAACAGTACAGGAAAGTTGCTGTTGTTGTAAAAGTAATTCAAATTTATCCAGCTGGGCATAAAATGGGCGTGTTTCGACCACAGAGAGATTCGCCTTAACTGAAATTATATTTTCCCACAGCTGTAGGAAATTTAGTATACAATGCTCAGCGTGATCTATATGCATATGGTTAACAATAAGAGCTTTCATGTTCTTTACCAATGCAGGCCACTTATTTTCGAGTATTTTAATTGTGACACCTTTTAGATGTGACGTATCGAAACTCTCAGAGTCCGTCAGTGTGATTATTTGACAACTTGATGATACAAAAGAACTGGATACAGAATTTGTTTGAGGCTCTTCGACATTGCCAATATTCACAATGTGTTCTGCTGAATTGTGAATGCTCGAAAAGTGTGTTGCATGAGTATTTAAAGATGACGGATGGGAATGATGATCATCAACGTGATTTTGATGAATTACGTGTTGTTCAAATAGATGTGAAGGAGCACTAACGTAATGGGGTACAGCATTTGATGGGTCATATGCTATTGTAGGAAGAAAGCTTGTGTTATTTTGCATTGTTCTTTCAATAATATCATAGGAGGGAAAATGTTGAAGATGGTGTTGACGCTGCTGATGTTGATGTTGCATCGATATTTGCGATAAATGGTGATGGTGCCTTCGCGCATGCGCTTGAACCATACTCTCCTCTAACACGTCATCATCTAACTCATCCTCATCATTTGCGATCCCTTCCTCCTCACCGTCCAGTCCTTCCTCGTGGTTAACTGTATCGTTAAGCGCACCTCGAAATTGTAATGCAAAATAGTTTGTTTCCAATGTTGGTTGCTGTGGTTGGAAATGAAAAAATCTTTCGCTATCCAAACTGTCTCTTTCTTCGTTTGCGCTTGTGTTGCCGAATGATGTGTTTCTACTTTGATCCGGAGAAACATCACTACCCACCTGGGTGTCAACGATTTCGTCTTCAAGTGGGTGCAAATCCATATCTTTCCATTCAACTATTCTTTTGATGATCTCCAAGCTGAAATGAATTTTTTGAACTGCCGAGCTATCCAATCGTTCAAAACTAAAAAGGTTGTCAACTAATTTTTTAAGCCAATTATCATCCAGCTCCTGCTTTGCAATCACCAGAAACGATGCCAATACTCTAGCAGCTAAAAACTGTACATATTCATTGTTGTAACAGGACAAAACAATTATTTCATCAATAAGATTATGATCGTTACGAATGAGAACATCGCAGACGTCCATTATTCTTGCACAAATAAATCCTTTGGAATTCTGTTTAAGATATATATCGAACAAAAGCTGTAAATTAGAAAGAAATTGCAAAAGCTTTTCCGTCGGCCATTCCGAAAGATTCGCAATGCGTTTTTGCCCATTTGTGTCGATGGAGTAATGTGACTGAAAAGGCTTTCGTAGTGTACGTTCGGATACACCGCAAAGGCATTGCTTGTTTAAGGAGGCTTCGAATTCGCGCATGTCCTCTGAGTGTGTTGCAGTTAACGTCAGACTTGCGTTTGTCTGCATCTCTTGCTCTATAGTTTGCGCCGTTAATATCTTAGAACTATTCGTATTTACAGTTATAGATAGTAAATCCGGCATCTGAAATGGTATTCGATCGACTTCGTCGGAGCTTACACCAGTCGTATTAGTACTACTGTTTTTTCCAATAATATCGGCACTTTTTAAGGGCATTTCTGGTTTTTTTACCATATCTGCGGAACTAGTACTACTTGTGACATTTAAAATTCCTGGCAAAATTTGTGTTACATTGCCTTGTTCATTTAATAAATGAGACAATGAAGTAGCACGTGATCCACTTGGTGTGGTTGTAGGAGAATTATTTGCTGAACTAGGTGTGGATATTGAATTGGCGGATGACGAAAGCGAGGAACATCGTAGCTGTTGATGATTATTAGTACTCAATAGTTTGCCATTGATGTTTGCTTGCATTGCATTAACTCCGCCGGTGTCAATAATGTCCGGTGGCGGAGAACATGTTGCCTCTGCAACAGCCGTTGCCTTGGAAGAAACCGATTTAACAACTCTACTGGTTTTACTGATTTTTTCAATTTTTTGTCTTTTTGTTTGGGGCTGCTCGGCATTGTTATTGGTGTTACTACTGCAATTGTGGTTATTACTGCTTGATGATATTTGTGTAGAGTTACTGTTAGAAGTGCTAAGATCTGATTTGCACGACGACGAATTGGACATTTTTTATGTTCGGCAATGCCTTGGTAGAACTTTGTTTTATTGAACTCCGGTATTTTTGTTCTGTAAATTCAAAAACCACAGGAATTATTAATAATATTCGTTTTTAATTATGCATAAATTAGTAATGTATTAAACACGTACTGTAATTTTATAAAAACTAAACTCATTGTCAAGTTAAAATCCTTTTTAGGAGTTAACACGTTCACTAAATTGTCACTTTTTTAATAAATATTTTCAACGTTACGCTTTGCCATTGGACAAAAGATGCTACTGTGCTACGCATTTGCAAGGTTACGTATGCAACATCATTGAAACCACGCACAGTTTTATATAGTTACCGCTCTTAACTTTAGGAGAAGGCGTCGGTTCTCTACTGCTTCGAATACGTACACGCGGCAACGCATGCTACTATCTTACACTGCCATAACTTTATTATTTTAAAATAATTTCATAAATTTAATAACATTTATTCATTTAACGAATCGCTATTGTAGATAAGTAGTACTCTTTTATATGCCTATTTACCTTTTACTATCTTCTTTTCGCTTTCCGCTTTTTAGCAGTAGCAATAGACCTGCTTTCTTGTATCTTTCGTTTTTTCGCGAGATTGGTTTTGCCTTATTCACATTACATATTTCTTTAATATATCATTTTAGTTAAAAATGCATTTTACTCTTTTCTAAAAGTTAAATTGAAACTTTAATACAATCCCATGCAAATCCATAGCACTGAAACTATATTTTTCCCAATTATTATGCGCTACTTAGTTTTGCTGTTTTGTTGGAATTTGACTTCTTAATTACACACACCAATACACACTACATTCCAGTGCAGCCAACCGACAACAGAACGAACAAATCAACCAGTTGCTACCAGATCCGAAATGCCACCTCTTCTTCTTATATTTTTAACCCGAACATTTTTCTAATTTATATCATTTATATGAAATAACTTGAAATTTCTTCATTGAAATTCAGATCTTGTCCAAAGCTATTAAACTAAGATAGAACATAAGTAGCTGGAAATGAATTTTGCCTTTCAGTAGGCTATGAACGAAAAGGCATATAGATGTCGCTGTTGCATCTTTTGCCCTATTGAAAAGATTACTTAATGATAAGTTAAACCTGGAAACATAATAAACTTAAGCATTATGCTTAAGTAATGACATGAAACTTTGTACTAAAACAAATTTATATTTAAATAACTTTTTTCCAAGATTATTTAATTTTGTTGCTTCTGACAAGTACGATTATAATAGACCACCTAAACAGTATAATGATATTAATTATTAGCTTTAAATTTGCTACACTAGTAAAACTTACATGAAACTTAAACAAATCTAACGCACCGCATTGTGTGCATGGCTTTAGTTTTTCATTCGACATTGACAAAGCTACGTAGAGAGAAACTGAATTTGTTTCGAACGTGGAGTGGGATTACTTTAGTCGTTATAAATTATAATTCTTCTGGTCATTTGTGGGAACGTTGTTGAGTTGGAAAAATTCGAGTTTTCAATTAATTTCCTTTTTAAAATAACGAAGTTCTCTTCACAATTGTGCATTGTTGAATACTTGTATACTTTATTCCACAAATTCCAAATTACATTCAGTATTCATAAAAGTCAACTTCTTTGCAATTGTTTTATCAGAAGAAATCATATACTAATAAAAATGGCAGGACCACTTCCACTGCTTTCGGAGGAACCGGCTTACCAAAAGCTACAACAATTTTATAATGCTCATGGCAAAGACATTAATATGAAGGAGCTTTTCGCCCGAGATACAAATCGTTTTAAGAAGTACAGGTGAGTTGTCCTGTGTTTATATCGAATGGGTGAAAAATACGGTTACGTGAAAAACTTTGGTTCGGCAGTGAGCTTGTAGATGGATGTATTCTATTAATGTGTATCTTTAATTGAAAATGTATACATACATATATTTATGTGTACACCAACTTGATAAACATTTTTTATTTTCTTTTTTACAACCGGAAAATTTTTCCAACATGCATAATAGGTTTTTCAAAAAAGTTTGTTGGTATTGCCCCTTTTTTAACAATTGTATACCTATTTCAAATGTTAATATTTAAAATTCTTTTAGTTTATATTCAAATATGGGATAATAGTAATATTGTCAGTATATATTCTTCAAAAAGATCAGGTGTTTATTATACTAGCAATGATTTAGAAATGCGCTTGATGATAATATTTCGACACATATTGAAACTAAGCAAGTGAATGTATTTTAGACCTTGACGTTGACCTACAACACACTATATGTACGTGTGTATTTACATACATAAGTGTATCCCAGTGATTATTTATTTTCACTAATTAGATTTTGTATAGGAAGATTGCAAGGCTGCTCTCATATTTCATTCGCTACGAAAGTTATCAGGTTATAATTGTTTTTGTTTTATATGTTAAACACTTAACCTTTGACTGCCAGTGGGCAAATGTAAGTCATATGTGATACATATCTATAATATTATATATGTTATTACTGTAGAATCGCCGAACGGCCAAAATTCACGTGTCCAGGCAATGAATGATAAGATTATCTGGTTGAAAAATTTGAATCTTAAAATTTTGTTGTGTGAATACTTTAACAACTTGCTATTACTGAACAAAATTTAAACAATAATTTACATGTTGTTTTGGTCTCTGTAAATAATTGTGTACTAATAAAAGAAATTACAATATGCACTAGGAAATTTATATGTTAATACGAGCATGTTCTATTCATTACCCTCAATTTATTTGTATATTTCTAGTTTGCGTATTCAAACTCCCAATGATGGCGAAATATTGATTGATTACTCAAAGAACCGCATTACGGAAGACGTATGGCCCCTGCTACTTGACTTGGCAAAAGCCCGCAAAGTAACTGCTGCGCGCGATGCTATGTTCACGGGACAACCCATCAATATTACAGAAAATCGAGCAGTACTTCATGTAGCGCTACGCAATCGTGGAAATGAACCTATTCTTGTCGATTGTAATGATGTCATGCCATTAGTGCGCGCTGAACTGTCACATATGAAAGAGTTCACTAATCAAGTCATATCAGGCGTGTGGCGTGGATGTACCGGCAAACAAATCACCGATGTGGTTAACATCGGTATTGGTGGCTCTGATTTGGGTCCATTAATGGTGACCGAAGCACTTAAACCATATTGCAAGGGTTTGCGCTCTCATTTTGTTTCGAATATTGATGGTACACACTTAGCTGAAGTGCTAAAACGTGTCAACTATGAGACTACACTATTTATTGTTGCGTCGAAAACATTTACTACCCAAGAGACAATAACTAATGCAACATCTGCAAAGAACTGGCTACTGGAGCACGCTAAAGATGTATGTTATATGTTATGTAAATATATTATGTAAGACTTGCTAATGTTAATTCTTTCTATTTAATTACCTAATTTAGCCTGCTGCTGTTGCTAAACATTTCGTGGCTTTGTCTACCAATAAGGAAAAGGTAACAGCTTTTGGTATTGACAGTAAAAACATGTTTGGTTTCTGGGATTGGGTTGGTGGTCGTTACTCACTTTGGTCTGCCATTGGTTTGTCCATATGTCTTTCAATAGGTTTTGAGAATTTCGAGCAATTACTCGAAGGAGCCCATTTCTTAGATAATCATTTTCGGACAGCGCCTTTGGAGCAGAATGTAAGTTGTGAATAATTTACAATAGTAAGAAGATTTCATAAATAAAATTATATACTTATCAGGCGCCAGTTATATTAGCACTATTGGGTGTTTGGTATTCGAACTTCTTCAACGCCGAGACACAAGCCTTGCTCCCTTATGATCAATATTTACATCGCTTCGCTGCCTATTTTCAGCAAGGCGATATGGAAAGTAATGGAAAATTCGTAACCAAGACCGACTCAAAGGTTGTCACTTACAATACTGGGCCAATCGTATGGGGTGAACCTGGCACCAATGGGCAGCATGCCTTCTATCAATTGATTCATCAGGGAACTCGATTAATACCTTGTGATTTTATTGCGCCAGCTCAGTCACAGAACCCAATTGCCGGCGGTGTTCATCACAAAATATTATTGGCAAACTTTTTGGCTCAAACCGAGGCTTTAATGCAAGGGAAAACAACGGAACAAGCGCGTATTGAACTCGAGGCGGCGGGTTTGTCTGGCGAGAAACTTGATGCGCTCTTGCCACATAAGACGTTTACTGGTAATCGTCCAACCAACTCAATTGTTGTAAAGAAAGTTACACCATTCATTTTGGGCGTCCTTATTGGTAATTTATTGATGCAAATTAACAAAATAAAAAATAATAATTTTTGTTTTTAGCTTTATATGAACACAAGATCTTTACTCAAGGAACAATCTGGGATATTAACTCTTTCGACCAGTGGGGTGTGGAATTAGGTAAACAATTAGCTAAAGCAATTGAACCAGAATTGGCCACGCCAAATGAAATAACTACACACGATGCGTCCACTAATGGTCTCATCAACTTCCTTAAAGCAAATTGGTAAACTAAATTGTGGACTATTTCAAAATATACCACATTAAACATTTTCCAGCGGAAGAACAAAAGACCGAAAGCATTTAAAAGCATAAGAATCATTAAAAAAACAACTATGAGATCACACAAAAACAAAAATTATGTTAAACTAAAATGAAACACTGCAGCTTAACATATGGTTTTCACCAGCATGTTTAATAATATTGATTGAAACTTATTAAAATCTCAATTTGTATGTATTATGCTACAAAATGCTTTTACTTGTGAACGCATTATAAATTTAGATTAGTTGTCAAACGCAATGATGTGGTTAGCGAATAGAAGACACTTAAAAATTGCTGTTAGACTCATTCAGCCTATTAGTAAAGTTACATTCAGGTTTTGTTAACGTTTTATCGTCTGCTGTTGTTGAATGATTATTATTATTAATGCCATAAAGGATTCTCTCAGTATCCTGACAAAAAACACTATTAGTAATTGTTGTATTGTATGTATATCAAAATAAAAATAAATTTGATGTTAGCTGGAAATACAATTTTTCGCTGTATATTTCATTTGTTCGCAGTTTAAACCGTTTTAGATCTGAGTTCAACAAACTTTACCTATAGAAAGTATAAAAATTAGCAGTGCTTCCAAAGGTTCAAAGGAAACTAAATAAAATGCTAAAAATATTTCATTTTTACTTATATAATAAACATACATATGCTGTCTAAGAACTTTTGAGAGAAACATTACGATCAAGTTTCCATTTCTTCTGCATCGTCAGCGTCACTTTCATCATTATCTTCATCGCCTTGGTCCATGTTTTCAATGTCCTCTTCAATATCCTCATCCCATTCATCATCGGAGGCACTCTTTTCGCCTGTATCTTCCATTTCAGAGTCTGAAGAACCTGTAACCAATTATTAAAATTTTTATTGTGCGGCAAAAGTTATTTAGATCATATGTACCATTGTCCTCATAGACTAACACATTTGAATTGTTTAAGTTATCCTCATTGGTGTTGCGTTTTATTTGATTAATCAACAAATCCAGACGTCCAGCGACCCTGAGAACGTAATATTATAATTAGTGGCATCAGTTCGAGAATATTTACTAATTATAAAATAAACAAACTTTGATAACTCCTTCAGACAATTCACGCGATGTTCTATTAAACCAATGCATGGACCGAATTTATTTAGTAGATCTTCAGATCCCAAAGCCATTAGTTGACTGGAATGCGTCTGAACAAGAACTTTAAGCCAATCAACTGCATACTCGACACTGCAAAGTATTTATGATATTTTATCCAAAAATTATACAATTATCAGAACTTGAGGTAGTACGTACTTCATACGTTTTTGCTGCATAAACTGAGTTAATTCATTGACCAACTGCCCTACGTATTGCACAGGTAGTTTGTGGAGGGTCAGTTGAATAGTTTTAATATCATGCGTGTGCAATACAGAACGTAGAAGACTAAAGAGGGAGCAACAAATTGGTTATTTGAATTAATAGTCACTTCTTCAACACCTTACGATCTCTTATATTATATGAAAAACTAAACGGATACATACACATTATCTTTGCTGTGTAAGGCCTGCACCAACAACTGAACTTTGCTTTGAGCTTGGGGTGCTCCACTGCCAGCAACAGCATTTAAATTCAAATTTTGTAGTCGGGACTCCATCGGCATTTCTACGGATTTTAATTTCTTCTTTGGAACTGTAGCTGAAGATGTGTATTCCACGTCGGCATCATTGACGATTGGAGTAACTGTTTTTTTTGCGTCACCAGCTTTTCCGTCTTTTTTTGACAGTTTCCCACGCATCAAGTATAGCGTTTTTGGGTCGGTGCGTATGAGAACTTGCAATTTTTCAGTGAAATTCGGGGTTAAATGTTCGAAAACTAAAAAGCTTTTGTTTCCGTAACCGAAAATTAATTCTTGCGTGCGTCTACTATGCTGAAGTGATACTGAAACAGCTGGTATTGGCGCAATTACTGTTGCACTATCTGACGCAACTTCTATGGTCAGCTTCGGTTTTATTGGTTTTTCTGGTTTAATGCTGCAAACACAATCAATTTAGGATCATCTGACGTAACAAAAAAATAAATATTTATACCCACTTTTCTACTGCAATAAGGTACATATGAATCACACCACTGCGTGTCACACTCGCAACTCTCACATTGCCATCAATATCTACTTGACAAGTAAGACAGTGTGCTACGTCCTCCATAATCAAAGTAGAACTAGCACTTTTGTTACGACCTTTTTTCCCAATTTTCCATATACATATTATACGCTCCATTCGTGATGTGCTTACGACGTATTCACTACTCTCATCTATTACCAACGAATTCATCAAATTTATGTCGGATGTGTGGCCGGTAAATGTTTGTACTACCTCCTGCGTGGCAACTGAATAAACTTTAATTTGACGACCTCCAACTACCAAGTTATTTGATATTTCCAAATAAACAATGCTATACGGCTTTTCCGGCCCCACTGACCAAGATGAGAGCTGCTTTTCTTCAGATATTGACCATTTTATTATCTGGCAATCTTCCCCACTACTATATAAGTGACCTTCAGTATCTTTAGTAAGGCATGTAACTTTTCCTCTGTGTCCTTCGCCTTTAAGGTTTCGCTCGATCTGCATATAATAATAGCATCTATTTTATATGAAATTTACTCAAATTTTCAATCGAAGACCTTACCTTGGCTAAAGCGTAAGAATAAAGAGAGATGTGTCCATTGCTTGTACCCAGCGCCAAGTAAATTATTTCTGTGTCATGGTTTGGACCATTGTGTGATTTGCGAGCTTTCTTCGACTATTTTGGAAATACTGTATAGAAACAATTCAGAAAATCTAGATAACTACCAACCTTTTTCCCTTCAGCAGAATGTCTGGCTGAAGAATTTGTTATAACCCATGTGAGTGCAGTACAAGGGCCCGATAACTGTAGATTGGGTGTGTAATCCTGCTTTAGTTCGTTGGTTTCTGTGTCCCATATCCTCAGAATACCTTGGTCGTTGATGAGAGCAAATAATTTGCCATTAGGCGAAAAGCTTAACACGTGCTGTTGTCCTAATGCCATCGCGAACGTACTTTAAAGACACAAAATTATAAATGTAGTTTACGCACGTGTATATCATGATATACGTTCTCTGGTGTCAGTTCTTACAGTTGCCACTTTATTGAGTAAATAGATTGAGAATATATTCTACGTTCTCTGTTATTAGTCTGTACGCAAACAGCAATGAAACAATTTTATAGAATGTACGAATTTCAGTCCAAAAACTTAACCAATATTCACACATCAATGTATAATTTTTATACAATACCAATACCAATAGGTTTTTTACTTAGATATTAATGAAAAATATAACTATGTTTTCTAAGATCTGGCCGCATTTGAAAAGTCACCATATCTTTGCAACTATTCAACATGAGCGCAACATCGAGTATTGGGATGTGATTTTTACAAATTGAAACGTATACAACCTTTTAATGCAACTTTTAGAATAAAATTGTTAGTTAGTTATTCACAAAGCTAAATTCTTAACCTGTTAGCACATTACAAACATTCTGAAAGTTGTGATTTATATTATTTGACATTTTATGACGAGTTGTATTATTAGTTGTCAAAGTTGTTATCGGCGGAGTGTTGGATGAGGTGTTTACTAAGTGCAAATGTTTCAATTTATAGTACTATTGAGAAAATTGTAGAAGTAAAGTATAATTTACTCAGGTGGGAAGCTACAGGTGATGATGACTTCATATATGAAACTGTTCGAGGACTTTTTGCAGCGCAAGGAATGTGATGGAACTCACACATCTGCTGCGTCTGAAGATGAAGATATAGAGGTAACGATTTTTGTAATTTCTTTGTTAATCGCAGAACGCAAAAATAGTACATCAATAGTAAACCATGGTTGTTAAAATTAACTTTTTAAATTTTGAGCTAATTGCTTATTTGTTTATAGATATTGTGGAAAATATTGGTGAAATTCTAAACAATCTATTACATACAAGAATTAGTGAGAATGAAAAACAATGGTGCCACACATTACAAATTATAGTTTATGTTGACAAGTACAAAATGATTGTGTCTATGATAAATATTTAATATTTTTGTTCTATCACCATTGAAATTAATATAAACCGAAATTCAATTTGAACTGCATCCAATAAAAGTAATAAATATAAACATTTTAAAATATGTTGTTAGTTTTTAATAACTGTTTGTAGTCTGCAGCACTATTTGATTAAGTGTAAAAAATTTTAAAATTTAATATATGGTAACTCCATGAAACGACGCCATATTGCGAAAAAGCCAAGTAGTGATATAAAGCAAATTGTCCAATAATAGTGTTGTGGTGAAAATTAAGCTTTGTTAAATAAAAGTAACTTTATAATATATTAGTGGAAATTGAAAATGTGTTTACAGCATATAGCTCTACACCGAATGAAATCTCTAAATGCATTCAGTATATATTTTTAAACGTTGGATCATTAACATATCTATTCATTAGGTAAAGTACTAGGCAAGCCACTGAAAAAGTGCAATTCTCTAAAATATCATCCCATTAAGATAAAATATATTTATTTTTATAAATTAATTGACATATTTTTAGCGATTGTTAAGATTTTTTGAACAAATAGTCAAAATTTTTGAGTCATTTCTACCAATACCAATAATTAACTGCCAGTATGTCTCAGAAAAACATTTAAACTATAGTTATTCTATTATTTTTAGCATCCAAATTCGTCTTTTGAGTCTGTGTGTGGCACTCTTAATTCTATTAGTGAGGGTGGTGGTAGTAATAAAATGGAACACAGTTATACGAGAGATAACTCCCGGCCAATAGGGAGTGTTACCACTGGTTTGTTACCAGCTCGTACAATACTAGTTCGACGTACGCCACAGTGCCCTTCTTGTCACACCCATCCCGAAGAGCATGATTTTGAAGATTTTAATCAGGCCAATGTGCCTTCATACAATGAAATAGCGGCAAAAGAAGCAATGAATGAGTGTTCTCGAATCGCTAAATACGTTAAAAACAATAATCCAGACGACGATGACTGGGAAGCACGTATTAACCAGTAAGTACAAAATTATTAGCTATGTTAACAACACATTATTAAAAAAATTACTTTTAGAATGGGTTGGAGCAACATGCAAAAGACACTTTTCAATAAAGTAGCAAACATTTTGGATAATGATCAGTTAGGACGACTAGCCAATGTTAATCGTCAAAACGAATCCATGCAGCGTCGTGTTGCTGTCGATAAGTCTGCAAGTCGAATGCGAAGAGCGTTAGCTGCTGTCGCCTGGGACTCACGACTCACACAATGGTTGCATTGTCTGTTAATGGACTCACTTCCATCAACATATATGGCATCTTATTTAGATATTTTGCAAACATTAAAATCTAAATTGCCAACACTCATGGATAAAATGTTATTTGGGCGACCGTTAAATGTTAGCCAAGAACTTCTGGCGCCGGTATTGAAAAACAAATGGGAGCCAATTGTTAATACGAAAGCCCGAAAACTAACACAGAATGCCGTAATAGTTGCACTGCCTTCTGTACCTACCAGTGGCCCAGTACCTAATCGCCTTCAAAAATGGTATCATCAATTGGCTAGCATAACACAAATTGTACAAGTAACTCTACCATCGAATGGTAAGTACCCACACGCACATATAGTGTCAACATGTCTAATAAGCAATTTATATAATTTTTTTTTTAAATTGCAGTTAGTCATATAGTCCGGCAACCATTGGAGCAAGTAGCTGAACAAATAGTGTCACTTACTCGAGTTAAAATACAAGAGTTGCGAAACGAAAATGCTCAGCGAAGCATCATATTGATTGGTTTCAACGCTGGCGCTGCCCTTGCTTTGCAAGTGGCGATGTCGGAGAATGTAGCATGCGTAGTGTGTATGGGCTTTGCTTATAACACATTCAACGGAATACGTGGCACTCCTGACGACCGCATATTAGACATAAAGATACCAATACTATTTGTGGTTGGTCAAAATTCATCAAAAACAAGGTAAAAAAAAACCTATTTTATGAAACAATTGCTAACAAGTTAATATTTTAACTTTTCATTTCAGTTCCGAAGAAATGGAATCGTTGCGTGAAAAAATGCAATCGGAAAGTTCTTTGGTGGTGGTGGGCAGTGCAGATGATGTTCTGCGCGTTCCTAAAAGCCGTAGGAAGTTAGATAATGTCACACAATCGATGGTAGATGCTATGGTTGTGGTATGTTTAATTATGACATAGATCGTCAAAAGCGTTAACTAATTTGTTTTTTGTGCAGGACGAAATATATGAGTTTATAAAAAGAATCCTCATTAATCCACCTGGACCACGGGTTCCTACAACAATAACTAGTTTTGTGCACACTAAACAAGGACGAAACTCAATTAATAACAACGTTGGTGGTAGTTGTGCTGAAGGCAATGCTAAAAATGGGTCTGCACAAAGGAAGCGTAAAAACGATGGTTTGAATTCAGATCAAGAGACGCCAGCGAAGACTAAATATGTTAATTCAAGTATGTCACAATATTTTATTAAATCTAACTTTTATTATATAGTAATACTGATCAAATTTAACAAGTACTAAAATATTTCATTTTTCATGAACTAATCATCATAATATGACATCATATGAATTTTCCGTTACCTTCATATTCCTTCCATATTCAAGCCAAATTAAAAAAAGTAAAAATCCCAGAACCATTTCAAGTGAAACGAAAGGGTAAAAATTATTTTTTATTACTTGCAATAAATTCTTGATGATTTTCTTTTTTACTTTAAAAGGTTAATCTGTGTTTCTACGTATATTTACAGTCGGCCGACCAAGAACGCGCCCCTTGATAGCATCCACATCTACTCCAGCTAAAACAACAGTGAGTGCACTAGCAGGTGGTACTTCTAAAACAACTCAGATACAAAAACAAAAGACACAGTTATCTACAAATTCTTCTATTACGAACGAGGATCTGAACATGGCCATACAGTCAATATTGGGTGATGCCAATGAACATGATGGTTCGATGCAGAATTCCGGTATCGACACTGCTCAAAGTGCCCAGAAAATTGTGACGAATTATGAAATTGTTGCACCATCAAAGTCGACTCCAATAAAAACCGCGTTAATGAATCCGCTGCAAAAGCAAACTCTTCCGGCTGGTGCAAAAATAAAGATGATACCTTCTAATCAATTCGTGCAACTCAAGCCGCCACTGCAATCACAATCGAAAATTTATACAATAAAAACGGCGTCGATGCAACAGAGTAGCACATCTGGAAATACAAACATTGGCAGTATTGTATCAACATCACCAACCGGCAGCACCGTTGCAAATCATCAGCAACAGATATTCACTTTGAAATCTCCCAATGGCCAGACGACGCAATTCGTTACAGCTGCACCACCTGGTACGGCTCAGCAAAAGTATACTGTCATGAAAAATGTAAGTGGTGGAACTACACTGCAAATAGCAAATGCAGCTTTTAGTGGCATAAAAGGGAGTACGTCAAACGCTGCATCCGCCTCCAATATGGACCTGTCAAACATAATCGATATGCCAATTGTGTTTGCCGATAATGAAGGTAATCTGTCTGATTCGGTGGCTTCCTCTACCGCAACTGTCAAGTCAGGTGGGTTCTTAAAATCTCTCGTTTCATCTGCAACTGTAATAAATTGTATTAATCTTTTTGTAGCCAATACTTCCGGTGTCGGGCAACTAATTATAAGTCAGAAAATCATTAAAGAAGCTACCTCCACTGGGTCTGGCACGACTGGTATTGTGAGCACTTCGCCTAAGACTGGTGGTGGCACATATATAATTAATAAAACTATTGGCAGCCCACTCATACAACAAACTACTCAAACATCAGTCAATAAACAAAATAAGGTAGTCTTTATCAATCGTAACACCATGAAACCTTGCCCGAATATTATTTCCCGATCGAATGTCACACAACAATTGCCGAAATACACTAAGGTTGTTGTTACGAATCCAAAGACATCTGCAACAACACTTGTACCCCGTCCAGCAATGCAACTATCGACGACGCAGCTGCCAGTGGGTACAGCTAGTAGCAGCACTCCACTTGTGTCGTCTGTAAAGCAGGTGAATTTACAGACACTAAAGTCTCCAGTCAGTATTGGTGCACGTCAGACATCAGGTATACTGAATGTTTCCACAAAGTCGCTGCCACAAGTGCAAATTATTAGTACAACCGCTGGTGGAGCAGGTATTCCTTCGACTGTGGGCAGTATCACTAACACAGGCAATCCGACAGCTACAACTAGTGGTAGCAGTGTGTTGAACGACCGCACGCAAATCCGAAATATTGTTGTAAAACCCGGAGGATTAAAACAAATACCTGCTTTGACTTCGCACGTATTTAATCGAAATTTAACCGTACGTAAAATGGTAAATATCATATCCGGCACAAATCCAGCTAGTTCATCCTCAACCTCACCTGGCGTATCTATAGTAGCTCAGGCGACTACAGCACAGGATAGTGGTCAAAATAATGCCGCTGGCACAACATCATCTATACAAACCTCACCAAAAGTTATAACTTTAAATCCGATTAATCCGTCGGTTTCGATCAGTAGCTCTGCATCCGGCAATGGTAATAGCACGGCCAATAGCACTCAACCAAAGAAGGATTGAATTTATCCTCTTTGAAAGTAAACTCTGCTGTTAATCTTATCCTTATTTAGCATTAGAAATAGATACATCTTAATATTTCATCTCATTCGCGTTCAATTCGTAGTTTAACTACTTTCGCATTAATTTACTTAACAATTAAACATTTAAAAATAAATATAATATATGTCTTATAATTTGTTTGTTCAAATTCATAAACCAAGTAAGTTATAAGCAATTCTTTTAATTTTTATTTTCAACTACATAAAATGTTACATAATCATGCATCCATATGCACATATAGAAAAGTATGGGATTAACATTCTCTTGTTCGAAATCCAAGGTAATCTGAATTTCGAAAGATATACTAGAATACACCTAATTCAGTTTTTACACGGTTGATTGGTTCCAGAAAAAACCATGTAAAAAAAAAATTGAAAAAAACCGACATTGATCGTTCCCCTTATGAACCTATCTCGCAAAAATTAATCTGTCATAAAATTCAAGCCCAAAAAATTTTGGATCGTGCTAAAATTCTAATTTTCAATGGTGTCACAGAGTCTGATTGGATTTTCGTCTTTTCGAACATATGCAAAACCAATATTCGAATCAGCTGTTTACTAATGTGACAAAACTTGCAAATGAATAAATTTGCAAACGTTTGATAAATTTGAAATGCTGCATGAAGGCTACTAGAGTTTACAATGAGTTTATTATATTGAAAGAAAAATAGGCAACGAAAAAATTAAAAGGAAGATATTAAAACATCACAGTAGCCCACTTGATATACCAGGGGAGTCATATGTGAAATTTCTTAACTTATATTTCAAATCTGTCAGCAAAAATTATCTTGCTTTGTTTCTGATAACTCGATAAAATTGGTTTCCGTGACACCCAAAACCAATACAATTTCTGTTTCAAACGTCAAATCAATAATATCTGAATCCATGACACCTACTAAATTTTTTTTATCGGTTTCAATTCTGATTCCGACAACTATCAGATTCTACAACACCCCTGAATGTGAACACAGAATTAGGTGTAACATACTTCTCTTTGACATATTGTAAAACAAAAGTTTTATAAATAAACAACCTTTGATGCTTCGATATGTTTACTCTGATCGATTTTGTATACGCGCATATAGCTTTACACACTACCATGCCAGTAGAATTGTGATCACTTTGCCTTCGGCTGGTGGTAGCACAAATCCATTGGCAGCCCAGTCTGACAACAAGCTACTCAACATCAGTCAAAAAACAAAAAAAAGGTAGTCTTTATCAATCGTAACCCCTTGAATTCTTGCCCGAATATTAAAACCCGGAGGATTGAAATAAATACCTACTTTGTCCTCGGACGTATTTAGTCGAAATTGGACCGTACGTAAAATGTAAATATCATATCCAGCACAAATCCAGTTAGTTCATTTTGAACATCACCTGGCGTATCTATAGTAGCTCAGGCGACTACAGCACAGGATAGTGATCAAAATAATGCCGCTGGCACAACATCATCTCTACAAACCTCACCGAAGTTAATATCGTTAAGTCCGATTAATCCGTCGTTTTCGATCAGTAGCTCTGAATCTAATTTGATTGAATTTATCCTCTTTGAAAGTAAACTCTGTTGTAATCTAATCCTTATTTAGCATTAGAATCATACAAAATTCGATTTGCACCTTCTCATTGTTACAAGTTCTCTGGTTTAACAAGTTTCGCATTAATTTTCTAAACAATAAAACATCTGAAAATAAATATATATTTTATATATTTCTTGTTCAAATTTGAAAACCAAATAAGTTATAAGCAATTTTTAAATTTTTATTTTTAATTACATAAAATGTTAAACTCATAATCATACATACATATGCACATATAGAAAACTATGGGATTAACATTGTCTTAACTTGTTCGAAATACAATGTAACCAGAATTTCGAAAGATATACTAAAATACTACTCTCTGACATATTGTAAAAACAAAAGTATGTTATAAATAAATAATCTTTGATGCTGCGATGAGTTCGTAGCTGTCCTTACTTCTATTTATCCGCTTTTGACATTGTCAAAAGGTATCAACACTCCGGGTGGCCCACCAAATGTGCCTTGGTACTTATTAGCACCGACTCCAGTATCGATCCCGAAACCAGTGGAAGCTGAAATTCCAACGCGATTTGCAAAGTTAGGATTCGTTGGGAGCTTTGGTGATGCTGTAGGTGCAATGGCCGTTGCCTGTGTAAATGCACCATTCGAAGGACGTATGGATCCATCTGCTCGCACTGCGGAACCTAATTTTCCACTACCCAAAATACCTGGAGATCCGCCAAAACCTCCAGTATATTTTCCAGTATCTACATTAGTTGCTGGTCTACTACTGCCCTTGTTATTAAAACTATTGAAATTCGTGCTCTGTTGAGCATTGTTGAAGGTTGAGAACGCGCTCGGAGTTGAGGCCTTATTGAAGGCATTCGAAGTTCCGACGAAACTGCTGCTACTATGTTGGAAGTCTGTCAGTGGAAATTAAAACATTTTAAATACATATAATGAAATTAGTAATTGGTTCCATAAAAATTAAATTAACAAATTAATTTTTTATACTATGATTAGGGGAGTAGAACACGTCGCGGATCTTATAAAGTATTTATATACAACAAGTGGTCAGCGTGACGAGCTGATATGTCCGTCTGTCCGTATATACTTGTACTTGAACTAGTCTCTCAGTTTTTGAGATTTCTGAAATTTTGTACACGTTCTTTTTTCCCAAGAAGCTGATCATTTGCCGGAATCAAATCAAAAACCAGAATGATGGATATAAAACAACTGATACCTCTCAGTGAGGTGGAAAAGTCGCTTTGGCGACATTCAATTTCTAGATCTTATCTAATCTAGGATTTGTGTCTTATTTGTTGGCAGGTGTACGATAACACACGATAATAAAACTATAAATATACTAACTATTATTTTCTAAAATTTAAAAGTTACCTTTTTCAAAAGCTGCTTGCCCGGCAGTGGTACCTGCACTCAATCCAACTTGTTTAGTTGCAGTTGTAATGCCGCTGGAAGTACCAAATACGTTGTTAGTAATCACTTTGCCTTCGTTACTCTTCGAAAATGTGGTTTTCGTTGAGCTGCCAAAATCTTGATCTGTGGAAGCCGATGTATCGGCGCTGCCAGCCGTCGACGTTGGTTCGAATGGAGCTGCAAAATTTTTATTAAAACTTGATGAGGATGGTTTCTTGTTATGAATTTGGTCAGCTGTTGTTGCTGCGTTTTCACGATCAAAATGAGGATCTGCCTTGCTGACATCGTTAAAGGCCACAATGTCGAATTTACTCTCGGCATCTGCAGTTGGTGGAATAAATAGCACTGGCGGCAAAGTGACTGCCTCTTGATTGTTATTGTTGCTATTAGGCACTTTCGCGAATGGGTTTTGGATGTTGAATGGTTTGGCTGTTGTGATGACTTTTGATGGGGAATTATTAAAAGCGAGCGTACGTGTAGTAGAGGTGGAGGCGGAAGCAAAAGTGGAATCGTGCCGATTAGTTGAACTTGGTGCAATTTGAAAGGAGTTAAAGGATGTGGGAGAGGATGTTATGAAAATTGGTTTCGTTGTATCTGTTGTTTCAGCAGACAGCTGCGAAGGTGGCAGTAAATCATTGGAAACATCCGAATTCGATTCATCAGCATTGTATATGAACGGCACACCTGGAGCCAAGTCGGGATAATCGAAATCAGCTAACCACGATGGTAAAGTGACGGAATCGAACGGATTTTCTTCTATTGGAGTTGCAGGAGTTGTAGTTGTAGTAGTCGTTGTCGTGATGGTAGTATATTTATTTGCATTCTGAGACGAAAATGGACGTGAACCACTATTGAGTGCTGGTAAGAATGGATTTGAATTAGAGAATTTCGATGTTGCGGCTTCTTGACTGTTTTTCACTTCAGTACTTGCTGTATAATCTGCGATAGTGGAAGAACTTTCATTAAATCTATTGATGTCTTGTTGATATCTATTGATATGGTGCGGAAGTGCCGCCGTTGTCGTTAGTCGAGGTTTTGGTGTCGTCGTGCTAGTCGTGGTTCTGATAACGCTATTACTAAGGAATGACGTGTGCACTTTCGAATTGGGAAAGGTAGAAGTTGATGCAAATGTCGAATCATGCGTTTGTGCTATATGATTGGAGGAAAAACGATCATCAAAAGAGTTGGGTCTTTGAGTGGTTGTAGTAGTGGTAGTTTTGGTAGTTGTGGGATATGCGCGTACCCAATGTGGTCGAGGTGTGGATACAGTAAAACTTTTAGGGGTGGTACTAAACGTTTGACGAGACTTAGAAGGCGTAGATGTGGTACGAGGCCGGCTGGTAGTGGTGGAAGTTGTACGAAGATCTTCTGGCACCTCAATGTCATTAAGATCGGTGTATGGTTCAAGTGGAGGGAGAATATCCCGCGAAATAGTATCATTATATTCGTGTATATTTTCTGGGGCAATAAAACTAACTGCTGCATCCAATTCAGGGTCATCAATATCAGCTAACCATGAGGGTAGAGTATATGAGTCACCGTTTTCTAATTGGAAAAAGTCGTTTGGATCAAGTGGTGCTGGTGTGGTCGTTGTTGTAGTTGTTGGATTACGTCTAGTAGTTGTGGTACGACGTGTTGTTGTTGTTGTTGTGGTTGGACGACGAGTTGTTGTAATAGCTTTTGTCGTTGTGGTTGTGGTTGTAGTTGTGGGCCTCGTCGTGCGCGCGGTAGTCGATTTGGGAGTAATTGTAGTTGAACTCGTGGCATGAATCTTATTTTCTTGCGGACCAGTAAGGGATACCACGGAAACACTTCCTTTATTGGAAACATCAATTTGAGGTGCTTGTGCACGGAAGTTCTGTTCCGCAGCTAAAGATACTCTAATTTTATGCGTTGTAGGATCTTCGATACCAGAAACAAGTTTTGGTAAATGATTTTCCGAAGTGATTATTGTAGGTTCTTGTTCTATTGGTGGTAATAAATCCCATGCGATAACTTTCAAAGATGATCCATCATCAGTTGGCATGTATTCCACAGGTCCTCCAATATCCGGGTCGTTTAGCTCAAGTATGTATGATGGCAATGAGTTAATATTATGGTTTGGTAATTTCTTGTCTGTTTGACTCGATATAACCACATTTGCCCCTTTCGCATTTTCCACATCCACAGTCGTTGCCGAGATTGCTGTAGCCACAGGTTCTGGAACTGAGCTCGTTCTGGTTGCTCCATCAGCCAAATCAGTCGACACAGCAACGGCAATGGGATCTAAGGCGGGAAGGGGAGTTTGGTATTTAGCAGCTATGCGATTAATAGTGGCTAAATCAGTAGGAACGTTTGGATAGTTAAAATTACCATTACTTAGGGGCTGAGGGATATTTTTGTGTTGTGTGGAGATGGAGCTTCGTTTGCTTCGAGAAATAAAATTCTTATTACTAGGATTAGCGATGTATATTTGATTTTCTCTTTCAAACGGGTAGAAATGAGGTGAATTAAAGTCAGCCCGGTCAATAGGAGCATGTGGTGGAATTGATGGGAACGTTAATGGATATGGTGTACTAAATACTATGTTATTTGGATGTTTGGGGGTTAACTTAATTAAAGAAAGCTTAGTAAAAATATAATTAGCTAATTGTGTAAAGAATGGTGATCTGTGCGAGAGCGGAGACGTAGAAGTATACGAAATTGGTGCGCTTGTGAGTGTGTTGGCAGTGTTGGTAGTGTTTGTATCGAACGCATTTGTGGTGCTTTCGAACGCGTTAGTGCCGTTAAGCGTGTGCTCCGCATTATACCAGTGCTTGCTTTGTTTTGGTGTTTTATTTCTTCCAGAACTCTTGGTTCTGTGTATGTCAGTATCAGTAATATGAATAAGTTGGTGTTTTTTGACTTGATCTCGAGCTATTTGAGGAGAACTGGAAAATTTTGATCCAGTTTGCTTATTAATAGGTTTGGCTTTAGCATCAATTTCGTTGTAGATATTAGGGTCTGTGACCTTCGAATCATCGTTGCCAACCATTACGATCATTTTGTCGCTGTTTACCTCACCATACATTATTTCCAACTTTTCTTTGCCAGTTTGACCTGTTGTGGCGCTCTTTTGTATTTGATTCTCGTTCGTATTTGACTTGGTAAATTTGTTTGGTGCACTAAAATTTGTATATTTTGTATTAGTGTTATTTGTAAACTCACCAATGAATGGTGGCAGTAAGTCGTCGGCCGGCTTCTTTATCTCAGTTATGCCCGAAGCATAGTTGGGTATTTCAAATTGTAAACCCTGCGCACTGATTACCTTCCGCCCATCAGGTGTATCGATGGGTTTAAGCGTCTCAATCGGATTACCATAACTATCGACCGCCGACGGTTGATTTTTGATGAAGCCTTTAACGCCACTGTCACCGTTACTCTCACCATTATCATTATTAAGAGCCGCAGCAATCGCATCGGAAAATTGTGTCGGTTGTGCTTCTAAAGGGAAAGGTGATTCTGGTGGTGGCGCAATACCATCTGAAAATTAAGTTTTTGTTTGTTTTTTTTTTCGTTTTCTGTTCTTTTATTGTAGTGTATTTGGTGTTTATGTGCTAATGCTTATGGAAAGTGTAGTATATAAAAGTATATGCTATACATACATATGTATTATATACTACAAGTGTGTGTGTATGTGTACATGGTTGATGTAGTATGTGTTTGCTGGTAAGATACCATGGAATTGAGTTGATTGCGTGCATCATTATGTTCGTGCCGAAGTTCTGTGCATTTGTACCACACATCTATAGAATATACGTGTATATATGTATATACATATGTATATAAGTCTAAGTACATTTATTTAAAAATTAACATGCATTTATGCAACAATTATGCAAAAACATTCACAAGTTAATTGTTAGATTTATTAATTGTGTCCAAAATTGTTAAAGTTGGGTTACATACATATACAATTTAAAACATTTTCTATATTACTGCATTTCTGGCGTCACATAAAATAGGCAAAGAAAGTAAATCAAACAAATAATACACAAAATTGTCGAAGAAAGTTTTAGCCATAACGAATATCTATATGTTTCCGTCTTTCTATTCCATACTCTTTATTTACTTTGTATGTGAGGTTTTACACCAGGAAAATATTACCATGATGTACACAGTAATAATATTCCGACCTAGTGTTTGCCAAGATGATCGCACGTTGCAATTAAGGCTCGCTTACACCGTCAGCACTTTAAAGTAATTAAGAAATAACAATAGCCGGTGTTCTTGTCCCAAGCGCATACATACAAACAGCAACAAATTAAAAATTCTCTTAGAACATATTATACAGGTATATAGTATATGTACATATGTATAGTACATGGATTATTCTGATTGATATTACATCTCACACCGTTCGTCAATTGGCACATTGTTTAATTACCGAAATCATAATATTTTGCTCGCATCTCTTTAAATTTATTTATTTAAGTTTTTAATTTTTTAGACTTCAGTTCAAATTTAAATTAGAGATTACGTTAAAGTCATGGGCAGTTGACTTATTATACACACTTGGAACTCGTTTTTGAACTTCATGTTCGAATTATAAATTTAACAACATGGACGGCAGTCTACTTACATTGTATATTATATTTCGATCGACAATTATATAAGTAAAATACATAGGTTGATCCAAGCATTTTGTAATTAATAATTTAAGGCAACCGCTCAATAAACAAGTTTTAGATACGGATATCAATTACGTTAACTAAGCGTAACTGCTAAGCTAAAAAATTTGCACATGTGAATTGATAGTTTCTCTAATTTTCACTTCTTCCCACACAATATACATATGTACAAGTACACACACAATATTATAGTAATTATCACGTCACATTCCACCAATTGGTGGTATTATTCTGCCATTAATCACTCACGCCTCCCAATGCCATTAATTATGGAGATTTTGCAAGAATTTTTATTGAACATATTACTGACTGACTCATTGATTTGACCAACTTAAAAAAACTTACTGCTTGCCAAGTTAGTATTCGCATTCGTGGCTGACAGCTTGTTTTGAAACAAAGTGCTGTTTAAGTATTCTCGGAAATCGCAACTCAAATTGAATAACACACACATACATTTAATTAAAAATTTATACTTCTAATGGTCATATTTTCATTCTAAAACACGTATCTACAATAGATGCTCATATTATCAAAAAATTTGCCAACGGATGCACTTACCAAGGTGGCCCTAAAGTTCCTGACCTGACCTGTAAAAAATAACAATTTATGTGACCGATTGTGATTTTGTTGTCGGTTTTTGTCAGGTCGAGTATTTATGGCCTCACCCTGGTGTGTATGTATTGTTTTCTTCTTGCTTCTTTTTTTCTGTTGATCATATTTTTAATAAAAATCCATTAACTTCTCTACGTAAATACGGTGAAGCTGTATACATATCTTTGATACTTGCATCTTCAGTATGTACACGATACGTGGCTTGCACAATCGATTGACTTCTACTGTATATAAGCGTACATATGAGTATATGAGTATGTACCATATGTATGATGTAATGCCAAGGCAAAGGAGGAGGATTATTATTTGTGGTTAATATGACAATTTCGCTTGTCAAACTGGTTTATAATTGACTTTATATTTAATTAAATTTTGCTTAAAGCCATAAATAAAAAATTTAATATGCATTTGTAGATCTCCAACAGAATTATTATTTAAAAAGAACTGTTTGTTGGATTTGGATCCAAAGCAGTAAGATGTAGCAAAATAACATACATAAATACATACACACTTATGAATATGTGTAAATAATCTCACACTCTTTAAGTGGATCTGCAAACTAGCCTTTTAATTAATTGATCAAAGCGTTACTTAAAATGATACCATAAAAAATCCCCAACATCAGATGTCTTGTCGCTTTAATTATCACCATTGTCGAAGTTTGCGAATGCGCGGCGGGGAGTGAACGCCAAGTATAATGTTTAAATAAATCTTTTGACATTTCAATGACTACTCTTGAGGAGTGAAGTTGACGGGGAGCGGAGTGCGGACAAATGCATGAAAAAATATACTATGTACCTTTAGGTTTTAATTAATTCCGGTTGAAACTATTATGATAAGTAAATGTAGCTGTGTGTGAACATACATATCCATACATAGTTATATATATGCACGTGTGACTTTTCTTTTCAATACTTATTCCACTTGTTTATTTATACACTAAAGGGTATATTAAGTTGCCACGAAGTTATACATGTATATAAATTATCAGCATAATGAACTGAGTCGATTTAGCCATGCCCGTCTGTCTGTCCGTCTGTCCATCCGTTTGCCCGTCCGTTTGTATATGATCTAGTCCTTCAGTTTATGAGATATCAATCATAAATTTAGCACATGACATGACGAACGTTTTGTATTTGTGAAGGGTGTTATAGCTTCGGTGCAGCCGGAGTTAACGTTTTTTCTTATTTTATTTCACTTTTTTTAATTCTATCTTAGGGTATATATAGAGGTTGTAGCGTGCATGTCTTTTTAAGGGTGTGTTGGGTGTGAGCAAATGTTTGTCACTGGTTTGACAACTGTCATATATGTATGAACCGTCGACCGCATAAATTTTGCTTAATATCATCTTTAAATTAAGTCCCACGCTCATTGAAAGAGCTTAAGTTCGAATGCCATTTGGAAGTGGCATTCACCAAATATATGATTTTTTTTCAACTCAATTAGCAAAACAAATATCTCTGTCAACTTAATGCACAAAAAAGTATTTAAAATGCTAAAATGTATACGAAGGGTACTTGTTACCAATGTATACGACAGGTCCATAAAATAAATAGCTTTACAGTTTCGTAAACCCAAAAAAAGGTGTTTCGGCCTTTTTTTATTATTTATTTGTAAAAAAAAAATATATGACGGTGAGTACATATTTAGGCTTATGTCTAAAATTGCCATGATGCAATGTTTCAAGCTTCTGTGAGTAATTACAAAACTGTATGATCAGAATCAAGAGCTACAAAAAAGATACAGCCTTCAAAAGCGGCCTCAACTTATATTCATAGGATAGCATCAGGAAGTACACCTTCGATGGTGAAGCCGATGCGAAAGAAAGGGTATTTAGACAACGCTAATGGCTTCAATCATTTGGAGTGCGGATACTAACTAGTAAATGCCGCCATATGCTCAAACAATTAGCTCCCGAGATTGATAATGCCCAACTTAGTAGTAGAAACACAGACAAATGCACTTTCAGTAGGGTTTGCGAAAATTCAACAGGTAAATGACTAAATAAGCAGTGGCGTGAATGTATGTTACTTACAAATTAATTTTTATATACAAATGTTTATGTTAGCAACAACAATATATACATATATATATATATATAATATATAAATAAATGCACACATACACATACATATAAATTTCCACATATTTATAAATGTGTCTGAATAGCCAAAAATTTCGGTTTCAATACAATAAACATATATATTATTTCATTAGAAAGATTTATGTATGTATGCACAGTTATTATACATACATATGTACGTACAAAGTGTCTATTACAGTCACTTAAAGTATGTATTTTTTGGCATTGCTGCAAAGCAGAAATTAAAATAAATATTCATAGCAGAGTAGCATTAGTAATGAAGCTCCCTAAACCAGAAGCAAACATAAATAAAATATATGAGTTACCGTAACGTTATTTAAGTACACATTCATATACTATAAATATTTTATATTTATGAAATTTATATTTATAAAATATAAAAAATAACAAAAAAGAACTGATCAAGGACTAGAAATACCAAGTTTGGCAGGTGCTCCGAAAACGGGGCTCACAAATGATCCACTCAAAGCGGTAATGGCACAAATGGTGGCTATCCAAAGTCTGTTCAGACCCTGTTGAGGCATTCGCCCGTTTGGTGACCGCATCATGCTCGCTATTTATTATACGGCAATTATATATCCTTTTTAAATTTTGTTTCTTGGTTGTTTGGCACTTGAAATAACTTTAACGGTTAACTTCACTTTTTTTCAAGATCTGTTGAGTTAAAAAAAAGAAATGTGGATTACTATATTCAAGTTGTCGCGAAAATGTTTAATTTTTATGTTAGATAATGTCTTGTATAAATCTCAGCTGAGCACTTTTCACACAAAATTTTGATTGCGATAAAATTTGCCAACTTAATGAAACATGACTTTGATTTGTTCGGTTTTTTGATTTAAACAAATGTGCGCGGGCATAAATTCCCAACTGTATTATTATTGATTTCTCCACTAACACATATGTATTCGAGCATTTATGTTAAGGTTTTATTTTGTCACTAATTCGTTTTCCTTGTAAAATCTACATCAGTATTTCACCGTTTTCTGCTTATTGTCAAGTTTTATTTCAACATATTGTATTATTTCGGATATCATTTAGTACTTGAAATATCCACTTAGTATGTATATACTACATATGTGAGCATGTAAAATGTAAGGTATACTGTGTCTGCCAGTCTGAAAGTAAGACGCACTCGAGTATTTCCCGCAATACTAAACTAAGTTTTCACATTCACATAGCTGTATTATTTACATACGAGTACGTATGTATGCATATATACATATGTAGATCAGAAATTGGCAAATTCATTACAAAAAAAAAAAGAAACATTCAAACTGTGAGTACTATCTATAGATACATATAATGAAAACGATTGAAGCAGCGTTTATATGAAGATAGTATAAGAAGGCATTAAATAGCCGTAGCCGCACGATTTACTGAATTAAGAGCGTACATTTGGTGTGTAGTAACTTATTTCACTTTCTGTGTAGTTAATGTGAACGCGGAAAGTCAAAAAATACGTCCGCACCGCACGAGTTCTACAGTTTTAATAAGCGCGCATTTCTTAAGCGTATCTTGCCACAGTTCGCCACCACAACTTAAAGCATTGTGCTCCCAGCGCTTAACAGGTCGTCTGAGCTGCTGACGGTGACGTCTAGTCAATAGCAAAGTGTGATCGAACGATCGTCAGCCACTGCGCTGCAGCATCACGTCTCGAAACTCAATCGCTCCATGATGAATCTAGAGTTTTGCTTTTGCTTTTGCTTTTGCTTTTTTAATGATTATTTTGGCGTTGATGTAAGGCGCAAATAGGGAGCCGCGCAGGCGCTTTGAAACCGCAAAGTTAAAATACACACACAACCGTGTATAATATATATACATATGTATGTATAAATATGGCAAAACAAATGCTGATGAATACGAGATTGTTTTGCATCGCGTATAATCGATCGGTTGCTTGGCTGATCACACAAATGAACAATCACAGTGTTGGGGCGTTATTATTACCTGACTGCTCAGCGTATTCAATGCATATTTCAACACCACGTTTTAACTTTCTTACATTACTACTGCTTATATCATACAGTCATTGTTATATGCTCGTTAATACATATTTACCTATGTGCATATGTATGTATGATTGTGTGTATAAAGCTTTGTCTTTAATAACTTAGAGCTTAGTTTTCCAACACTGTGATTTTTAGGAAATTTATTAGCTATGCATTGGAAAAAATCTCAGTTCAAAGCGACAGTCATATATTTTATTACTGTTACTTTGAGACGATGCTGGGATTTTTTGCTACTATGAGTATAATTTTACATATACATATGTATGTACATACGTACTCAAAACATGGCTGTGTCAAATGCCGAGGAGTCACATACATACATAGGTAGTATGCAATTATTCACATATAGTATGTATAAATGTATGCAGACCTGCAATCGCACTAGCGTAAAGTGGCTGGCCTGGAGAAGAGAACTTAATTTAACGAGTGCGTTCGCATTTCTTGCACTTTCCAATTTCTATTTTCAAAAGCACTTTGAAAAGATTGAAAATATTAAGATTTTACTTTTGGAAATTTTTATTACAACAATAATACTTTTATGTTTAAATGGTATTGCTGTGAATTCTCCAACGAAACACTACGCCACCTTAGTTTCCGGATCCAAGTTAAATATCATTATTGACATACACATGGAAGCCAAAAATAAATGTGTAATTATTCATAGCTATAACGGTACCTACTATATATCATCATTGTAATTATTCTCATTATCAAATTCGTAATTAGCTATGAAATGGATTAATTAACGAAGCAAGTAATGGTACCATGAAGCTAGCGCCGTGAATTATGAAATACGCTTATTAACGCATACACAATCGTATCGAAGTACTCGTATTAGTGAGGTCATAACTCTACTGTTGTAACTTCATATGACTTATGACCATATGTGTACATTATCAAAATATTTCTATAAGGGCTTAATATGCACCTACAAAATAGAATGGAGGTAAGGTATTGCCACTGTAATGAATTAAACAGAAATCAAAATTTGCAGTGTTCCATTGAATCCAGCAAAAGCCACCCATCCGCTGCGATCAGGTTTTCGATATCGACTATAAACTCCACAGCTGCATTCATGTCATGATTGTCTATAAAATTATAATCAGCGGATTCAAAACTTCAATGAAACTTAATAAAATATTGCCATGACGTAACGCAAATATGGCAAGACTCGATACATACACAATCAGCATAACTAATGGCAATGATGGATTGTGCAAGGACGCTCGTAATCATAATTAAACAGACTCTTGAAACAAACATTTTGATTGAGTTGCATCTTCAAAAGAAAATTGTAAGCTTTGGTGTTAGTAAACAACGCCGTGTCTCATCACAAGCGAGGCCTGCTTGTTGTATTGCTTTATTTTAGCTTACTGTATGTGAATGTTTTTGTTCCGATGGGACAAGATTTTTGTGGATTTTCATGTTAGTGTCGAATTTTATTGGTTTATGCTAATTTAAAACTGGTTGAACTCCAAGAAGATATAACAATAGAAGAACCGGAACAGTTTGCGAGAATTCTATCAAATTCAGCTGGCAAGCAAAAAAAAACCCTTATTTTCTATTGAAACTGGCATATTTTATAGTAATGTATATACTTGTATATGCATGCTATGTACTAAATATGCTATTACATGCACAGGAAAGCTTCTATTGGCGATTTGTGATAACTGAGTTTTTTCGTATTCTTGTCATATTATTCTTAACAATTGTGCAAAACAGCACCTTCAATGTATGCACCAGTGTGATTATATAATTTCCGGTCATGCCGGATTGACATGCTGCGGAATGCTGCGAGAGTATCAGTATTTTCGGAGGAAATCTATTCCCATAAGTTTGTTTTATACAATGAATCGGTTTTAGCGGAGAGTTTCGTGAAAATATTAAATGATAAGTTTTAATAAAATTTCCATTTAATTTATAAATACATACATATATGCATGCTCATGTACCTATATTTTGACCACTTATCGCTTTCTCACGTTCTAGGGCGTTGGGCAATTGATCATTTTACTAACAAAATATATGTTCAAACATAGACTTTGTGGGCATATTTCTTCACTACACGGCTTGATTGACGATCAGAGGCGTGCGATTTATAAATAATTATATACACATTAACATATTGAGTAGAGATATGTAAGTATGTGTGGATAACCATGAATATGTGAAAATATAAACTTGTTTTTTTTTTTTGTGTTTGCTAATTTTTGCAAACTAATAATCGTGCAGCTTTTGTTTTTTCGTTAGGTTCTATCAACTAATATTTGTGAATTTTTATCTATTGTTCGACGGTGTAGACGAACGAGCCGATATCCGGGATTGGCTGTGGCCGTGGTATTGTCAATTGTTTTCATTTCGCGCCCGGTTTCTATATTCAATTCTATTTTTTTTCCTGCTTTCTTTTTATAGTTTTGTAAGTATCGTAAAGCGTAAGCCTTAAGCCATTTACCGGTTGGCGTTTGCCGTTCGTGTGTGATTGTTTAATCAATAATTTATTTAGATACCCACAACTACCGCATACAATAAGCTGGTGTTGAGTGGATTTAACTTTATTGCATTACGGGTTTTTATTAAAATTTATTGAAATTGCATTGCTTATTGTATTAGAAATACATACATACACATGTTCGTACATATCTGTGGGAATGTCCTCGCTTTAGTTTTTGAATGGTTAGATGAATCAAGGTAGAGTATTAAACAATTGAATCCCCCAAAAATACTAGCTCACGTCTGGAATAGGAATATATGTATACCCACACATACATGAAATAATTGCATAAGTTCGTATTAATTATTAATCATAATAATTAATTTCAGCTGACTTATATGTTTGTAAGAGGGTATACATATACGCAAATATTGTTGTACATATGTACATATACATAATTGGATGCCACAGGAGATCTTTTATACGTTTACTGTTATTCTGTACTTGAGATTTGCAGATTTGGTTGCGGATTATATTTCTCCATTCATTCATCATTCAGCATTCAAAATAAATAAATAAACAGCAATATCTAATAACACTGTACAACAAATTACGATTATAATCGGGCAACAAGTTAGTGATTTATCACGTACCTTTAGGTGTTTGAAAATTATACAGACATGATTGCTGACGTCAAAACATACAAATATATTCAGCCAAGTGTTGACTTGCCTAATTTTTCAATAAGTTATAAACAAAAATAGTTTATATATGTGCATATTCATGTATTCATTGGATGGCTAAAAATGAGAGAGCCTTTTTTCCAGGCCGTCTTGAAATATGGAAAATTTAGCATTCAAAAAACAGTAAACAGGTAAAGCACACAGTTTTAAGTTTAGATGTGCATATGTATAGATGTATGTATGTACATACATATATCAGCTGTATCCAAATGAATAAAACTATGAATTATATAACTTGAAAGCCGAATATTTATAATAGCACAGATGAATTTGAATTTCTGCGACCAATAAAATTTAACCAAAACTAGTATAACTTCGTAAATTTGTTGCCGATTTGTATATAGTATCTACGTGTGTTTGATCGCAGTTTACAAATTACTATGTAGTTAACTGTATTAAATTATGAACCAGTTTCTAAAGAAATAACCACAGATGACTAGAAGCATGGTTCATATGTCGCTGCTCGAATTTGTGGTCGCATAGAAAAGTGATGACTGACGATCATGATGCTTACCGATGGTGATGATGCTGTTGGTTGCTCAAGCAGTAAAGCGCGCCAGCGATTGACGTGCTAATATAATAGTTATACTCGCCATGTGAGCAACACATTTTCAGTCAGCAATAATTTCAAAACTTAATATGTATTACCATAAAAATGCGCCTTGCTTTACACACTTGCAAATGCCGAATACGTACATACATAAATTGTATTGCCGAAATGCGAATATGGATAGTGGGCGATTATTGAAAATGTGAAAAAAATTACATCAATCAATTAGTTTATTATTGAACGCAGAGCCAGACTTAAAAAGGAGCGCACATTAAGAAACGTGCTTGCAAACTGGAAAATGCAGTTTTTGCATTCGTAAAGTTTTATGGCCAAAATGTGGCCATAACCGTGTTGACCTATTGTCGCTTTTTCAATTTAAACACCGATGCGTAGTATGTTGTTGTTCTTTTAATTTTAATATTGTTTACTGCAGTATTTGTTGATAATTTCTGTGCTATACAATCTCACACAAGCTGACGCTGGCACCACCTACCTGCGGAGTGTTTGTTGTTAACTTGTATACATGATTGTTTTTATGGTGTGTATTAGCGCCGCCTCATCATCGCGCGGCTTCACCCTGACCTTAACACACATTCAACAGCTCTCAGATGACAAAATATTTGGAAGACTGCTCATATCATGTTTCTGTTGGTGTCGTGGATGCTGGTTAAAAGTTTTTGTTTATTCAAATTTCGCATGCTTATTGAAATTGCAAAGAAAGAGACAAAGGTGAAGAGATCAACGGATTTTGTAAATGTAAATTTATTATATAGGTATGGAGTTACATACTTACATATGTATGTATGTATATTAAGAATGTAGGAAAATGAAATGAAAATTACAAAACACTTTAACAACAAAGCGAGGAAAGCAAAGGTTATTGCAGAATGAACGCTTTACTTTCCGTAAAGAAAAGTGGCGACTGTTGCTTGGTAAAGAGTCAAAACAAATATCTAAAGCAACGTGGAGCAAAAGTTTTATGTGAACCGCCACTAAGGTTTACAGGAGCGGGTAGGACATACATATGTGTGTATGAATGTATTATATGTGTACATGCGTATGTACTTAAGTATATCATGTAATGTGTATAGTTAATGTAAACAAACTTATATTTTATAAATATTTTATGTAAATATCATTTGTTTTGTGAACATACCAAGAAAAAATTTCTTTATTGGCACTGCTTGACATTTACATATACATATGCAGATTACAAATGTATGAAAACGGCTTCGTTTAATTTTTATCTAAGTAAGATAAGGTAAGTCTTTACACAAAAAAAAAATATAACATAATGAAAAAAACTATATATTGTTTACCGAAGACATTTTCACTAGAATTACCCTATTTTGAAAAGCGCCATCTGTAGAATCAATGCTTAAACAATACGCGCTGACTTTCAGCAGTTCGTGCTGTCTGTAAAGCGATGATTATGTGTCATTTATACGTCAACCATTGCTGAAAATATACCAACTTCACGGTAGTTTCCTTTGGTGTTCATCAGCGTCTTTTTCTGTGAGTTTTTTTTGAGAACTTCTTGGTAAGTGATTGTAATATTGTGTATTTTATATTATTTAAATAATAAATATTATTGTGAAAGTAAAGTAACGTGCCAATTTGGTAAAAAGAGTGCGTGTAATATGTTATGTATATGGGCGTACAAATGTATGCTTTATAAACAATGTAAAGTGAAATTAGCAAAAGCAAATGTGAAAAGAAGTACAAAATCAATTTATAATTGAATTCCGTGTTAAAAAATGTGTCTTTGAAAAAGTTGCTGTTATCATCAATTCATGTTGAGGTTATGTTCGGCGCTTTCACTTGTTAAACTCGCTTTATTTTTCCCGTATTACAATTTTAGAATGTACATACATATGAACACGTTTTGTGTATTTAAAACTAATTTTTTTTTATTTACACCTGATAGATAATGGCCGATTCAGATGATGAGTACGATCGCAAACGTCGCGATAAATTCCGTGGCGAGCGCAGCTCGGGGGATAGCTACCGTTCAGAACGTCGTGAGGACCGTCGCGGTGGTGGAGGCACTGCTGGAAGTGGGCGTGATGACTGGGCAGAGCGGTAAGTAGAAATATCTTCATTCTACTTTGTATATATAAATAAGCAACATTTTTGTTACAGTAATCCTTTCCGAGGAGGCGGTGGAAGTGGAAGCGGTGGCAGGCCTAGGCCAGATTATCGAGAGTATCGTAGCGGCGGTCGTGAACGTTATGGCTCTCCTGGTCGGGAAATGCCCCCGGCAAAACGAATGCGACCGGACTGGGGTGATGACATGCGTGCAACTCCACGTTATGGTATACACATGAGAGTTATATTTAAATGCCATTTGTTTAAATTATGGTCTTCTGTTTTAATACAGGATATGATCCTTATCTTATGCATGCTTGGAATGAACATTATGCTGCACATAGTTATCACGGCGGTTACGGTGGCCATGGTCATGCACCACATGCGCCTCGGGAGTCACAAAGCTCAAACGATTTGCAAACACAGCCCGCGATGTTAACGTTAAAACAATTTTTAGATACACAAGATGATGGAATTTCTGACTCCGAAGTCTTGAAAAAATATAGTGAATATAAAACTGAGTTCAAGCGCCAACAATTAAATGAATTTTTCGTCGCTCACAAAGACGAGGAATGGTAAGGCATTATAAATATTAAAGAAAATTAACAAACGAAATCCAGATTGCTTATGGTTAAGTAGTTTTATCATTGTTTGTTGCTGCTCAAAGTCTATAGTATGTTAGAAATGAAAACCAATGCAACATGGAAAATAAAAGATTTTGTTAACTTTCTTTTATTATGTGTATGTAATCACATACATTTAATTTTTTTTTTATTTGAATATTTCCTTTACAATTTTTTGATATGATTTACAATTATTGTAAAGTTTTGTATAATAAAGTTTTTCTCTACAGCTATTTGCGTATGGGGAGCTATACGTTACTTGAGATTTGCTGTTAAACTTATGTATGTGCAAAATATTGTGCAGCTGGTTGCAGCAGCAGCTCAATTTTAGCGAAAAGGCTACACACGCTCACGCACGTAGCTACTACAATATGTTCCCAACTACCACTACTACTATCACATTCTCGTTTTCGCGCTGCTCGTATATATTCAGAAATATATATCGAGATCTTCGAATTTTTGTAACTTTTGCACTGGGCGAGCAATGCTCTAGTGTGTTAATTTGATCGCGTTTTAATTTTATCCGCTTTTAAATTCAAACGAAATACACATACAAATAAGATATGAAAAATTTTTGACCAAGAGGTAAGATTTGGGTATTTAACTCTTAATTAAATTTAAATGATATGGCACTTTACAACTACTTCTGTACCGAGTGAAAATTGCAATTTTTTTTTAGCTTACTAGCAATGATGAATCTTCGAAAATTTAACATCTATAGCTAATTGAATTTAACAACCAGTGACATGAAGACCTTGTCTTCCGCCTTCGTGCTTTATGTTAAATAATAATACTAAGAAAGGAATACATGTATATATATTCTCATACATTTTAATACTTAAACGATGTAAAAATAATTTTTTTATTTTTAATTTCATTTAAACAGGTTTAAAAATAAATACCATCCCTTAGACAGCGTTAAACGTAAGGAAGAGCAATTGGGCTTCTTGAAGGTATTATACTGTAACTACACAAAATTGTAATTGTTAATACATACCTGATATTTCTTTATTTCAGAACCGGGTTGAAGTTTTTAATGAACTTTTGGAAAATGGCCAGGTGAAAGCAGTATCAATTGATACATCGCAAACGGATCCTTTGTTGCGTTTGCTTGATACGGTGGTTATTAAATTAGAAGGTGGCACGGATGAGGATTTGAAAATTCTAGATGAAAAACCCCGAGAATACATCTTTCCGGATCGGTCTTTTGATAAGAAGCCCGAACACGATGATGATGTCATTATTACTTCAGTTGGCAAAAAACGCAATGAAGAAGAGGATGAACCGAAAGTGGTGTCACCACGGCCGATACGTCGCGCACCTATTTCAGATGATGAAGAGAACTGGGACGAAGAAGACGTTGATAGCAAAACTACAAATAACAAACATGACAAGAAAAAAGATATTTCGGACGACGAAGATAAAAGTGATGAAGATGAAAAGAGTAAAGACAAGAAGTCCTTGAAACGGAAACGTACCAGTTCTGAGTCATCATCTTCATCATCTTCTGATTCGGATTCCAGTAGCTCCAGCTCTAGTGACGAAGACGATGATGAAAAAGTGAAAGACAAATATGATTTGGGTAGTGTGAAAGAAGATAAAGAGACGGAAAAGTTGGCAGACAAAGAGGAAGAAGATGAAAGTAAGATAAAAGAAGAGACAAAAGATTCAGAAATTGCTACGGTTGAAAATATATCCATTGGAGAGGACGAAAACAAGTCAGAGGTCACCCAAAATGGTATGGATACAGAAGATTTGTCTGTAGAAGTTGCAGAAAAGAGTAATGGAGAATCACTTAATGAAAAAATTGATTCTGACAATGTTGATGAAACAGTACCTGACGATACAGGTATGAAAGCAATAAGCCCAAATACTGAAGACTCCAAGAACGAAGAAAATAAAGACGACCAGGATGATTCACTTTCAAGTGAAAATAAGGAAACTAGCGAAGAAAAAGACAAAACAATTAATACCGAAGAGCAGCCTGAGACTATCGATTTGGACAATGTAAAGGATGGTCCACAACCACGGGCGCTTCACCGAACTTCGTCTATTTTCTTGCGAAATCTAGCTCCATCGATTACCAAAGCGGAAATTGAAGCTTTATGCCAACGTTTTGATGGATATCTGCGTGTAGCTATTGCAGATCCCTTGGTGGATCGCCGCTGGTACCGTCGCGGCTGGGTAACATTCAAACGGGATGTGAACATAAAAGAGATTTGTTGGAATTTGAATAATACTAGGCTGCGTGATTGCGAAATGGGTGCAATTGTGAATCGTGACCTAAGTCGACGGGTGCGTCCAGTAAATGGTATGACGGGGCATAAAACTATTGTGCGCGCTGACATCAAATTATGTGCGAAGATTGCGATGAATTTAGATGAGAAATTTAAGCTATGGGTAAATATTTAGATATATGTTTATTATTTGTATAGCTAAATAGCTATCTTTTGACAGGATAAGAGTTTAGAGGATCATGGCGATCAAAACATGGAGAACCCCAAAGGCATTGATGATGCCGGTGCCTCCTATGGCTTCAAGTCGAACAATCCAGTTCTACAAAATATAACAGATTTCTTAATTGAAGAAGCTTCGGCTGAAGAAGACGAATTACTGGGTATATCTGGTGAAAATAAAGAATCCGAGGGTGAAACCATTGAAAGAGATGCGCAACTCATTTCGGTGCTTGACAGCCTAATTTTATATCTTCGCATTGTGCATTCTGTTGATTTTTACAATCACTGTGAATACCCTTACGAAGATGAGATGCCAAACCGTTGTGGCATAATACACGCACGTGGTCCGCCGCCAGCAAAAGTTCTACAGAATGACATACAGGATTATATTAAGAATTTCGAAAATAAAATGCAAACATTTTTGGCCAAGACGACGCTAATAGATGATGAAGAGCTTAAAAATTTGGGAAGCAAAGATGCGGAAGCTGAAGTCGAGAAGTTTATACAAGCGAACACTCAGGAGTTGGCGAAAGACAAGTGGTTGTGTCCGCTATCGGGCAAGAAATTCAAAGGCCCAGAATTTATACGTAAACACATATTCAATAAGCATACAGAGAAGGTTGAAGAAGTACGTAAGGAGGTGGAGTTCTTTAACAACTATTTGCGGGACCCCAAACGACCACAACTCCCCGAACATGCCAGTTCCACTAAGCGAACCACTTCAGAGTCTGGTGGTTTTGGGTAAGTTATGCGGCGCATTTGCTTCAATATTCATCAATATATTTATTGATTAAAATTTCTTATTTTAATAGTTATCGAGCACCGGCATACCCACCATCATTTATGCCTCCATATGCGGCTTATGCGCCGCCGATGATGATGCCTGGTCGTGGGGGACGAGGATTTGGACCTGGTCGCAGGTAGTTTTTAATTAAAGAACTTACATACATATGTATATAAATAGATAGATTATGTTGTAAATATTGCAAAGTATTGATAACTGTAGTTTGTATTGGTTCCTGTCTTTTGTTGTTTGACTATGTTTTTATTTTTCTTTTATAAAAAGTATATTTTACGAACGTATTGTGAAATTTGTTGTGTACAACCTTTTTACAGAGAACCAATGGAACAACAACGTCGTATTATTGGTTATCATGACTTGGACGCGCCCGCAAATTTCGATATGTTCGAATAAATTGTGTTGACTCGTAGGAGCACTACAACAACATACAACTGCTATATTTACACGCCACATTTCAGATAAAAATAAAAAATAAAAAAACACGATATAAATACACATACTATGTAGAATCTGAAAGAGGCCACAGGAAATGTACTGTTTACAACTACAAACATAAAATGACATTCAGCGAATAACTAACCATGTACATTTTATGATTTCCTCATAAATAGTTAAATTATCTTAGCGGTTGTGTTTAGTTTAAACTTGTTTTCTGTAAAATATTTGCCAAGGAAAGAAAGTTTTCAAAGCACTTAAAGCCTTTCGTATACCATTGCTTGAAGTCAATATTAATTCTCACTTTTCCTAATTTTCGTCTTTAATTTAATGAACTTAAGAACTTTTTTAATAAATTACAAAGAAAAAGTGAAGTATGTTAAATATAAAACAATTCTATTTATGTTTGTATGCTTACAGACCCGCTAATAAGTATCGTCAATTAACACAGTACAGGGACTTGGATGCCCCTCAAGAACCAGTTGACTTATTTAACTAATGCTGAATGAAAAGCTATATCCATTGTATTTAATTAAACGTTAAGACTCTTATGTAAACAAGATTTAAATTTAATTAAAAACGCAAGACATTACAATTTATTAGTTTTGTTATTTAAACTTTTTTGTCTTTCTTACGAAGATAAAAAAGAAATGCGAATAGAACATGCTAAAAAGGCGACGAGATTTTCAGTAAATTCAATATTCATTAATGGAATCTATTGCGGCGTAATGTTGTTTAAGATGTGTTTCATTTAAAAAAAAAGTTAATATTGAAAAACGCTCGATAGTTGAGACTTGTGAATCCAATTAGGTATTGTTGTTGATTAGAGTATCCAATTCGGTGAGTGATTTCAGTACAGCATCGCTCAATTTGCTACCTGCCACATTATCCAGCTCCTTCTCCAAGATCTTAGCAGCTTTCAGCAGTTTCTCGCGAGCGGAATTGAAATAATCCAATGCCGTAAGGACTTGCTCTTCGCTCTTGGTGGCGTTTGCAAGTAGGCGTTTGCTGTGCTCAATCTGCACCGTTTGCATTTCAAACAAAATAATACCCACGTAAATGGACAAACGAATAGTGTATGGATCCAATTTCTGGCAGATGTCATAGAGTTCTTCGCACAACTGTAATTTCTTATTTAGCAGTGAGTCGCTTAAACTTTTCAGTGAGTAGCCGATTTCGGTGCCGTATAACTGTATGAGCGTATGCTTCAAATTGAATAAATGGTAGTGATGGGGATGCAAAAACTTCGAAAGCTTGTTAATCAGCGCTTCCAATTGCTTAACTGTGGGCTTGCGCGATAGAAGATTGTCAACTTCTTCGGTCATTTGCGTGAGAAGATATCGCACCTATACACATGCATATGTGTGTGAATGTATAAGCAGATTATAAGTTAGTAAGTGTATGGATTAGAAATATATATGTCACCTCACCTCTTCTCCACTGATCATGATAGGGCACTTGGTGCATGCCCAATCACTTTTCATATCAAGTGGATTCTTTGGCAGGTGAATGCCATCGCATGACTCGCCCTCATCGCCCATACATAGCATTGCACTGAAATTCGAACCATACTCGGTGGGGTCGCGGCAGCGTTCACATTTACAGAGGAAATGCTTTGTCATGACCAGGTGTTCCTGGCGCATTTGAGTGCCCCACAGCATATTCGAGTACATTATAATCAGGTGTTCGTCGCGTTCAATATCTCTACCGGCTATAACAGAGATTCTGAAGCCATTTCGCTGATCGAATTGAAAATAACAATTTGGTTGGCAAGCGTGTTCCATCATGCAGGCGGTGTAGTAAACACCACTTAACTCCATGCCAGACGGCAAGCTGATGCACATATAATTCGTCTCAATGATACCGCAAATACGATGTAGTACTGCTGTGTCATACTCTTGCAGATATTTTTGCTTTTGTTTCTGCTCCACACTTTTTAGGCGTTGTAGGAAGTTTCGCTGAAGATAAGACACAACCCTTTTCTCTGCATCACTAAGCATTCGTAGAGTGAGATATGGTGTATATATACTATATTTATAATTTGTATGCTCTGGAAAAAATACTTCGCTTACTCGTGTAACTCGGAACCAATGCGTTCCACCTCATGGCTTTGCATGTCCATCAGTTCGGACCATTTTTTGGGATTTTGACGTTGTAGCAACAAACATTTTAAGACAACCAAGGCATCAGAGCGATAGTAGTCCATGAGTGAACGGGGGTCTGAGGAAGTGGGTCCAGGTCCCAACATTAATATTGAACATTCAAGACCATGAAGATTTGGATTGTCTAACCCACCGCAATTCGGTGAACACGTTGGCCAAAGGCATCTGAAATCGGTCAACATAGAACAAATTATTCCTAACAGAGTATAATTTTACACATTTCCACCAGTAAAACATCAAACAGTTTTACTTCCGTTGCCCGGAAGTTCCGATTGGCGAAATTTAAAAATTAACTAATACATCAAAATTTTGACTTGTCGATACCATATTCACTCGTGTATTGTATTTGTTAGTGTACCTCACTTACTTGGGGCAATGATGTGCTCCCATACGACAAGGTGTGAAACATCCCACGCATGGCATAACAGGCACTTGCTCCTCGCGCTCATTCAGATACCACTTTGGACCGACTATAATAGGCATTTCAGCGAAAATAACAGTGCCAGCTTTAATTGAGCGCGTGGCTTTTAAATAGCGACCTAAAACCTTGTCTTTGGCTATGCGAAATGGCCGGCATTCGGTTTTATGTTGCTTCCAGTGCTGCTTCTGATGATCAGCGCCGCAATATTTTACTAGTTTGCATGCTGAGCAATATAGCTTCGCAGGTGTTTGGCACACGGCACAGTTACTTGTCGTGAGAGATTCAGGTGGTGAGGTGGACATGTTTGAATACTTCTTTATATTCTACTATTCGTAAAATTCTGTTTAATAAAAATAATATTATTTTATTTTATAAAATTTAATCCCGTTAGCGTTTGTATAAATTACGATTCATTCAATAAATGTTTATATCTGCCACATTTCAGAGTATTTATATGGATATAATTGCATATGCATACATACTTATATGTATGACATATGTGTATATGTTTGTACACTGATATTTTATTTTTAGCACACGATGATTATTTCCGCACTTCGACACTTTCCATGCAGTTCCGAGTTTATCTGGCACAAAATTTGAGAATTTTCATTTAAAAGATATGCGTAATTATGGTATGCTTTAAACACGTATTTTCTTAGTTATCGTCACTAGCGTCTTTATTGGGCTGCTGTTTCTCTGCGACTGATGGTCTACACTAGTGGGGTGTGGATCGAATGCTTGTTTTTCAGAACGAATTCTGAAAGTTGTCGAATGCTCTACCGTTGATAAACGAGGGCGTAAAAATAGAGCTTAACCAAAAATTATTCGCCCACAATCATCTCTTAAAAAGAAAAATCGCTCTTTAACAATAACATCATTAATATCCGAAGCGATCCGATTGATGATATTGTATGATTTGAGGTCTAATGAAAGGAAATATTTATATATAAATATATATCTTCTCATTTTATATTTAGATGAAATAAGTTAACATTATAATACAAAACAAGAATCAAATTTTTTTTCTAATCTCTTCTGAGTTCTATTTTATCCTGTTCTAAAAGATGTGGATGCTGCTCCAAAACTTTCCGTTGCTCTCTCATATTCTTCACTACACCTCGCAAGCTCCAACCATGTCGGAGCAGCGCATTTTCTACACCGAAGTGGCCATGTCGTATGCAGCGTATGGACGTGCAGTGTGCCACCGTACGCATTTCAATGCCCATCTCATGCACCAGAGATGCCAAATACTCCTCAGTTTCATTGATTGCATGTACCTCCACTGTAAATTCCGGACGCTTAAAATCTATTAATTTAATACCATATATAATTGGCTGTGAATTATCCGCTGGACGGATTAATCCTTTGCAAGCAATCTCATAGGCTGCTTGTGATTGTAAATCTACACCGCAGAGTTCGTACATTTTACGTTGGTGTGATGCTTGTAACGATGCTGCTAATGCACTTATACGGTCTGGATGCACGTGCCGATGATCGGATTTAACCGTTATGCGTGAATCAGCAAAATGTGTTTCGGTTGCGATACCCATACGACCAGTTATATGAAAAGCACGTAACGGCCGATTTCGTTGAATGAGGTGTGACTTGCCAATGCCCTTATTCAATCCGAACACTATAAAGAGAACAATCATTTAAGAAATTATTTATGTAGAATAAAGTGAAAGTTATGATTACATAGCACACCGCTCGTGTGTATACCCAATCCGGCGACTTGTGCACAACGTATATCTGATATTTGATACCTTGGGCCTGTGGCTAACACATGGTCGGCTAAATCAATCGAATGGATTTTACGCAACAAAGGATTTGCATCACCTCCAGGTTCTAACAGCGGTGTTTCCAGTTTACGAGGTTCTCGTACTTGCATATTATTTAAATCTAAAAGCATAATCGGTATTGATATTTGCACAATTTATATTCTATTAGCTTTACCTTGGACTATGTTGTGGAGAACTGCGTCTTTCACGTGCCTAGCTTTCATTCCAGCAGGCTTGTAAATATTCATAATACCGTTCAAATGTCTAAAAACTGTTGGCGCGTCGTAAACCTTTGTCAACGACATTTTCACTAATAATAAAAAAAAACTATTACGGATATTTTGTTTTAACTATGTACTTTCTCATTAAATAAATTTGTAAACTTTCCTCCGTCGGGTATTATTATCAGTTTTGCAATACCGACAGAACTCGTTTTATGATATGCAAAATTGTTAAATTGTTGTTTATTAGAGGTATTATTTATATTATGAATAAATTATTAAAAAAAAAAACAAATTTTTAATATTATCAAATTAATAAATTATTATTCTCCGCGTAAAATTATATTAAACATTTGAATCGAATGTTGAAAAACTCAATCCACGTAACAGATGATTTTGACATTCAGTTCATTTCTTCTGACAGCTATTCATTTTTGGAATTGTCAATAGTAACTTTTGTACATTTTATTCCTGATTTGTTTTGTTCTGTTTATACACGTGCGCGGTATTTCGATTTGCTTGTAATAAATTTATTGTTTAACATTTTTTAATATTTTTCGGGTTTTCTATAAGTTTGTGGCTGAAAAATGAAGTGGTCTACAGCAAATTTAAAAAGTCCCAACTATACAGAAAATCACGAGATATACGTTGGCACTAGTACCGGCACATTCAAAAGTAAGTTAAAATTATATATTTCGATCTTTAATTTCTCACATAATTCATATTCATATTCATAAACGCATGAAATTACCTCATATAATTTTAAGTTTCCTTTTATGCATGTAACTATGAGCTTGTATCTTCATAACAATTCATGTTGGCCATTTTCGTACATACATATGTATGTAAATGTTTTTATGTGAGCCCATTTAATACAAAACAATTTCCTTTGTATTATTTTCATCTTCCTCAGGGTTTGTTCCTGCCTCTGAGGAGAATCCCTTTGCTCAACGTAACCTATACGATATAAATCAGCTTGAAAAAAATGATCGGGTTACGGCGCTATCTTTTGGGAATGATACCTCAGAGATTTTTATTGGGCGGGCTAAAGAAAGTGTCCACTTGCATTCTCTCCGCAGTGACACAGTAGAACGCACAATCGAACTTAAATTTGCGCCCGTAGTAGGTTTTGCACGTTTTGACGATTACCTAGCCGCCGGATTTTCTAATGGTCATGTGCAACGAATAGCTATTGAAAATAGCGTTGATTCAGAGCTCATTGTTAGTAGTGGCGACGACATGTCACATATGCGACAATGCCCAACCAATCGAAATTTGGTAGCTACAGGAGGTAAAGGTCGTCAAAATAATTTGAAGGTTTTCGATATGGCAGCAGATGGAAAACAAATATTCACTTCAAAAAATTTGCCAAACGACTACCTCCAGTTGGAGGTACCTGTATGGGATAGTGACGTTGCATTTATAGATTCACCACATACACTGGCTACTTGCTCTCGTTATGGTTATGTGCGCCTTTATGACACACGTAAACAACGGCGGCCAGTGCAGTGTTTTGCTACAGAAGAACAAATGAGTTTTGCTACTTTGGTCGCACATGGAAATTACATATACACAGGTACTACTATGGGCGCTATGAAGGTAAGATACAAATTAAAAATAAATTGCTATCAGTATTAGTACCCATTTCATATTTGCAGGCATTTGACATAAGGCGCATGAAGACATTCGTACATACTTACAAAGGATTTACTGGTGCCATCAGTGATGTGTCATTAGACTCTACGGGTAAATACCTAGCTTCAGCGTCTTTGGATCGTTATGTGCGTGTGCACCACATTGATTCTACAGTACTGTTGTATCAATGCTATGTTAAATCAAAAGCTACGCGCGTTTTATTACGCCAGTCAGCCGAAAACCCCAACTGCAGTACCACTGAAGCAACTGAAGACGACGTGGATAATAACGAAAACTCGACAAAAAAGAAAAAAAATGTGAAACCTAATGTTCCCGAGGATAAGGAGTACGAAGATATGTTTGAAAATATGCAAACTGTTTGGTAAGTCAAAGTATTTTTAGTGGTAGTAGGTGAATTTAAGTAATAAACCTAAAATTTCATTTGCTTTAGTGACGTCGATGATGTCAGTGACGCTGAGAAGGAAGAAGAAAAATCTCAAAAAATCGGGAGTAAACGAAAAGGGGGTAAAAACTTTAATAAAAGCAAAAAGAAGAAAGAGTGAATAGATGGAACTATCTTTACATAGGCTTAAAAATGTATAAATAACTTAAGATTAGAGGAATGTTATGATAATTACAAAATAAATTTTTTTATCTTTATCAAAGATATTTTTGAAACCTTTTAATTGAATCGTACTTTAAATCCTTTATTTTTCATCATTTCCTCGAACGAGAGGTTTAAGTAGAACGCAACGTGCTTTATAATTGATGTATAAACGGTGTATGCAATAGTATCCGAATTCTATTAGGGATACCATGCTGATCCCTAGACACAAATTAAATACTCCTCCCAAATCCGCTGAAAGAGAGCAGAGTTATTCGTGTTAGGTGCTGTTATAACCAAAGTATATAAATTTACACACATAACAAACCGATCCAAGACATGACCACCACCTTGCGTATAGCCGGTACTGTTTGCTTTATCAAATAAGCCCGAACGATAAATATATCCTGTGTATCAAAGCTCGTCCTACTGTAAAAGTTACAAATTTGATTTTTTTTTATAATCTGTTAACGTTATTGCTCTTACTAATGTGTGCTGACGGAGCAATTATGTAGTTTCAGATCGGTTTTGTAGGCTAAAGTTGAATATGTGACGTCATAGCAGTTTGGTAGACAACTTTCGCACTTGACGCTTTTAAAACCATCTATAGCAGAAGATACAGATGCTAATTAAGACAAATCGACAAGTGTATGGGCTAGAAAAACGATATACAAACCATAATTTTTGGAATAGCATACACTGTCATTTAATTTGCACTCTCGATAATCGGCCTTCGCATTCGGAATGTGATACGGTACGCACTGACACCTTTTCATTATAGCTTCTGTGCGGCAAGCGAGTGAACAAGCTGCTTGCCGATAATTATGCAACTCGAGGTCATCTGAAATTAGACAATCACGCTTGCCTTGCGATAATTCCAGTACTTCAGTTGAAGAGCTTTGTACAGTCGGTGAGATTTCAACAAAACTCTCTGAGTTCGAAGTAATTGTTACCGAGGATGTCGCTTCCGTTACGTAGTCCATAGGGTGATGTGCCAGCACAATTAAGCCGGTTAAAAGATTCCGTTCGGAGCCCTCAACGCCGATAATAGTTAAGCCTCCATCTATGCCGAAAATATTTGCCGAAAAAGGGACGTAGGAAAGATTCTTTGGATTATAATTAAATGAGCAACAAGGACCTAAAAATGATGTGGTAGATATGAATGACAGGTACTCGTGTTTCTGACGGCAAGGGAACTCTTTGATGCCCCAGTAGCAACGTTTAACAAAATCATTACAACTACCGCTAACTGCTCTGGCAACGTCGTAAATTGTTAAGTTGTTTAGTCGTAGCACTTCGTCAGCATTTTTAAAGCTATCTTGCGATGGTGATTTCCAATTCTGATCGGTGAAAGCGTTTATATATTCCAAACCAATGGCAACATCTTGTGGGTCGATACCAGCAGGAATTTCTCTATGTCACATTTATTTGAAATCAAAAATATATACTTGTACTTACATACGTATGTACATTGGGGTGTCCGCTATTTTCCATATTGATTTTTTCTGCAAACGTCCCCTGAAGTTTCAGTTTTTGCCCTAAAAGTCAGGATCCAACCTAAACAAGCTCTTTATTTTCAATTTAAACCGTACCTAAGTCATATTTCATAATAATGTCATTTTTTGATATTTTGCATTAAGCCAGTAAATCTACAGTTTTGAAAAAGTTCTGATACAAAACTTTTCGCTCTACAAAAAATGTTATTGATTTTTTTCATAAAAACATTTCTTCAAAAGTTATACACAGCTAAAGTTATACATCAAATGTACTGAGTATTCATAACATACAAGTCATGTATACATTCTGTGTTGCTCATACGACATGGTGTACTATATGAATGCAGTACATTTGATGCATAACTTTAACTGCATATAGCTTCTAAAGGAATGTTTTTATGAAAAAATTATCAAGACCTTTTTGTAGAGCGGACATTTTTGTATTTGAATATCGTTCTTTTAAAGTTCTAGGTTTATTTGCATTGCAGATAAAAAATTTATTGCAAAAACTAAGAAAGTAAGTAAGAAAAAAATAATATAGGGACGGTTTAAATATGAGCTTCTTTACGTTGGATGCTTATTTTTAGGGCAAAAACTGAAACTTAAAGGAGCATTTGCAAACAAAATTAACATGTGAAATAATAAACACCCTAATGTACATGCAAGCATAGACTTTGTATATTTTTATACAAGTTCAATTGCATGGATACCTTCAAGAGAGCATTAAGATAAGCTAACAAACGGCAAATACCAGATGTTTCCACTACAGTTGCTTGAAGTATCAACACACAAATTTTCAAAAAAAACCAAAAAATCTTCTGAAATCTTTTAGGCATCCATGCTTATTTTTGTGTCAGATGAATTTGTTTAAACCTACAATGTCTTTATATAACGCTGTACACGCTCGCGATTTACCACCTTAGGACTGCAAATGGTAATGCCCGGAAATGCTACGTCGGTTATGGCCAGGTCACTGGATACGGTGTTCAAGATGGGGTATGAGTAGAACTTCAGCCACAGTTGTAGAGACAAATAAACGCCGAGCAGGAACAGACTGATGAGCACACTCGACCAAATCCATCTGGTTTTCAAACAGACAAATAATAAGGTTATTAACAAATACATTTCAAGTGAAACGAAATTTAAACTCAGAACGGTTATATTATTTTATCTAGGTTATTGAAGCTCTCTTACAAGTACTTTTCCTGATTTATATTCGAGTGATAACACAATTCGTTACTTTCACTACTTAAATTAAGTCCAATACAACATATTTATATATGGATTCTACATGTATAACTTATAAGTTGCATATTCAACGAGCTTAACTTGCGAAGTTCTGATGAATTTCATACGAAGTTTTTCCTTATTGGAAATGCTGTCATATCTTGCGTTCTCCACTTTCAACTCCAATAAGAGTATTACGTAAAGGCCTAACCCATCAGAAAATCTAGCAAAGCATATATTTCTTGTTTCAGAAAAATTCTACCGCCAGAGTTGATTATTGGATCGTTTGTTTTACATATATAATAGTATGTACATAAATGCATGGCGGAGTGTCGATAATGCATACCTGGAAACGCCATGGGTTCTGTTCCGTCGTAGTAGCCATATGCCACTTACTTTAGTTGTCTGTGTGTACTCCCAAAAGGTGTCCACAATGGCAAGACGCAATCTTTGTGCCACATCCCTGCGATAATCGGGATTCAACACTTTGGAGTGAAAACGCTGCGGTTGATGTAATTTTCCGCGTTTTCTGAGCTTATTGCCTTTGGCCTTTTGCTTCCACACGTTAAGAAACATTTCGTCAGACTGTGCTGAATATCTTCACATTACAGAGCTTTAAATACTCTCCGACAGAAATACCTTTAAATGTTTTAATTGGTTAGGCAGTATGTATAGGACTCGGTAGCTACAATAACAATTACAAGTCCACAACTCCAAAGTTATATCAATTAACACAATATTCCTAATTAAGTACAACGGTGGGGGAGGAGCACGATGAGGAAAGCTTGGAACAATTGCTAGAGAATATACTGTCGTTTCTCATTCAGTTTTCGGTTTTGTCTTTGGAAAATAATAGCAAGAAGAAGAAATAAAATGGAGACATGCAAATTGATCAATAAAGTCCAACAAGTAAACTTCGTCGTTGTATCCTTTAATGGCTTGGACATTAGTCTATGCTCGACTGTATGTGTGGTGGTATGTGTGCTCTTTTCAACAAAGTTTTTTTGTGGTTTACCAACTTGTGTTAATGTTCTAAAACCAACTTGTGTTAATGCTCTTGAAAACGGCTTGTATTGACTAGACTCTGCTAAATGGACGTTTTTACGAATAAGCATCTGTACTTCCCATATTTCATACCTTGTCCAATGGAAATTTATATGTGTACAATAAACATACATAAAATATACATAACCATATACATTAGGGTGGAGCAAAAAAACATTTTTTTTTGTCCAAAATTTTTTTTTTTTTATAATCTACAAATTTTACCCTCAGGCCAAGCAAAAAAAAATTTTTTTTCGCTCCATCCTGATGCACATATGTACGTACATTAATATGTTTGTAATCTCGTTATTACCAATAAGAAACTCAATTTTCTTTTATCAGCGCAAATGTCCACTATGCTAACAATGATATAACTGCAAAGTGTACACCTAAGTAAGTAATACGTACTCGCATATATGTATTTTGTGTTTTAGTGATGTTTACAAGCTTCTTCAACAATCATATGTGTGTCTACATTATACTATCTTGACTATTTACTTGCCATTGAGCAAAACAAACAATTACTTTTAATGAGAAATATGAATGGTCTTAATAGACAACCTAGAACCCACTTCGCAGCTCATCGAGAATTGTGCTTGGCTTGGTGGTGAGCTCTTTGCAATGGCACATAATAATATATAATGCGAACATATGTAGATACCGCACTATGTGTTGATTAAGGTGACCAAATCAGCGGTGGGGAAATATAATGAAGGCGAATATCATTCTCAAGTGAAACGAAAAACTGTCAGTATTTGAAATCCTTAACAAGACTCACTTGAGTGTAAACGAAATTATATCAAGCCAAGAAATGTTTCGCGGTCGCAAGTAATTTGTTCAAATCTTCATTTACCCATAATAGCCAATTTTCTGTGGAATAGTTAAAGTTTTGTGGTGAGTAGCGCAAGAACAAGAGCCGCTGCAAACCTTTGATTAACGTTATGAATTGGTTTTCCTTTATAAGCCTCGAGCAAGTTCGTGAAGCTAAATGCATTTGTTTATTGAAGGGGGAACGCCAGGGCTGAAAGTCCACAAGCCATGGCGATAGATACGCTCAAAGCTTGGATGGAACGGCTGGAAAACCTTTGCAAATCCACTGTTCATAATAAGAAGGATTTGTCTTATAAGAATTTTAGTTTGCATATTTGAGAGATAGTCGCAGAAGTTCAATCTTAGTCGCAGAAGTAAGAGTGAAAGAGAATCATATTGCTGGCACACATTTGAAGGTATATGCTTTTACATAAAAGTGTGTATACGAGTATATGTATGTGTGACATGCAGGTTAAAGGGTGACTAAGTCTTACCAAAATTGATAATACAAATATTACTCGGAAATAGGGGATGAGAGTCGATTATTTTCTTCCATTTGTTCCTTATTTCACATTTCCATGTAAAAATGTACCCACGACTTATTGGCCAAGTGTCTAAAAAGATTTTCTCATTTATCTTAAAGCAAAATTTAGTGCAGCAGAAACTGGAATATTACAAATAAACTATCTACACCAGGTAGCGTTATTGCTCGCACAACGTGTTCTTGTCAAAGCCGCCAACAATAGGAGTGTTTCGAAAGCGCTGTCAGCGACACCTTTACGCTGACAATGGGCTGCTGATGGCGCTTGACAAACTGGTGTGCTGAGCGGTGGTTGGTGCAAGAGCACCTTCGCAATTCGCCTTTTTGTGCTACGAAACATACAACTGGCACCCACTCGAATACTTCATTAATGGCGCGCACATGCTGGACCTTTAATGAAATAGAAACACTCCAACAAAGAATATGGCAGCTATGCAGCAGAGTCCATCCGTTGGCGTTTGACATCCAGACTTGGTAGTGTGCTGCCAAAACGAAAAAAAAATAACAGTCATTGTATGTGAAATTCTTTACATATCCCTCCAACATGTTTGAACACCGCGTTACTCGTTGTATATGCACATCCTATGCATACGATGACAATTTACTAGGAGACTCGGCCTCTAGTCTCATATGTCTCAAGTTTTATTTCATTATTATTAATTCCAGATGTACAGTTTTTGACTTGAAGTGACGAAGCTCACGTTTGACGTTACACGTTGTTCCTGCAGTTGACACACATGGAAAACGTACTCTGCCGCATCAGTAGCCAAATTTACTAGCATAAGGTGTGTAAAAATATAAAAGTGAATTTCTCTCCATTTTGATAGAATATTTTTTTGTCAAAAAACCCATTTCAATTTAAAGAAAAAACCAATTATTTCCTTTTTCTTAATGTGACAATACCAATTTATAAATAAGATAATATTCCATTTCTTAGGTCATTCTGCTTCTAATCGAACTGCTTTGCCAGATCCCACTGCAATAGAAGCAACACATTTTTCACGAATCCTCCGAAGACTAGGAAGGAAAGTCGCTTATTCACACCGATAACGCCAAACACACTAATACTTAGCTTGCACAAGCGCAAATGCTGGGAAAGCAAGTCACACTGCGAGAAATTTTGTTTAGTTTTCACAAATGTTCATTTATAAATTACATTTGTAGTCATACACACCGCATAGTCAACTGGATCGTCAACTCTAAGCAGCTCGTGAAATCGTTTTAATACCTCCGACGTTTCGCGGGCGGCAACAGCCACACGATCGCAGATTATGTCCAAGTAGAATGAGTCTGATAGAGTCATCATAATTGCCACAATGCTGAACGTGTGGTTAAATGCACCTAGGCTCCTTAAATAAGGGTTATTGCCATATTTCAAGCACAAATAACCGATCGAGATATTGTTGATGATTTTGCTTAATAGAACAGCGACTATCTGTAATCGGTAGCAGTCGGTCAGACGCTCAGCGAATCCTGTGAGCTGGCGGTGCACGCGCGCCACATCAATCAACTCTCTCGCCAAGCGACCCCTCAGGCGCCTGCGCAAAGAGCGGCTATAGCGCTCATGGGCCAAAAGTTGAAGAATATTGAAAATACGTCGCAGTTGGACATTCAGCCAGCAAAACCGCTGCCACACATACCACATCGCGAGGAAGTAATGTAGGATCATGTGTAAAATCACGCTGATTAAACAGAGCATGTGTGAGCTATAGAGGAGCGAGATGAGATTAATTTCGGGAATTAAAAGCGACAGGTTATATGCAGTGTAGATGCCTTGAGTGATGATGCTGAAGTATTTTATCCAAAGTAAACGATTGCTGTAGAATTGTTCGCAATTGCGCTTCACCACAGCAGGCACACACTTCTCAAAGTACTCGCGCTCTAAGTCCAGCATCCGCGTTAGAATTTCGATGATTGTATGCTCGCGTTTCCAGCGAAAAACGATGGCCAATGCGGTAATCGAAAATATCAGTATTGTATTGAATATGTTTACGATTCTCATCAAATGATTTTCGTTGAGGTTATTTAAGTAGGTCAAGGTGATGGGGTACGACAATGGCAAAGTGATGACGATCAGCGCATTTAAAGTGCAGGCGTAGATTTGCATGAACGGCCAACGATAGACGCGGCGCTGATCAAAATCGACACGAAACGCGATAAGTCCGATGGCGAGAGCAAAGTAGTAAGTATAAAGTTGCCAACGCCGCGGGGCGACCGTCGTCAGTGTTGCCGTCGCGGCTAATGACATTGGTCTGGTGCACCTAAAATCGACGTGTTGGCGGTCAGAGTAATATGAATCGACTGTTACGTGCCTTTGATGGAGTTTATGCATAACCTTTAATAAATTAACAACGTTTTACTTTGACTGGCTATCTATTGATTGATGAAGCAGATATTTTGATTAGTGCAATGATGAGGTTATGCATTTTAAATTGTTTATTAAACAGTGGGACTTTCAACTAAGCGAACACGAGCTGTCGGACGAGGAAAGCTCTGGTTCTTTGTCTACTGAATACCGATTGGCCAATATATTGGTCAAATGAACATGTCCACGCGTTTGAAAGGAGCTGGGTTCAATGGATGCATATATAAAACTGCATAGTTTGTAGAGACGAAACTTATGTGACTAAGTGTCTTATAAGCAGATGTGTAGCTTCAACAAGGCTGAAAGCTTCCTCGAAGAATCAGTGTACTGATTTTTAAATTTAATCGAATATCGGGAGGTTTTTTTTAGTCAAAAAACACTTAATTATCCCATTCACCGTTATGACCTTACTTTTGTTATACTAAAGCTTCTGTTCCGTAGATTTTTGGAGTATAAAATAATCATGCTACCTTCCCATTATACTCATATTAATCCTACAAAAGGAACCACAACGTAAGTATTTAGCCTTGTGCCTTTTGCAATTGTTACCGTTTTCTTGTCTTCACTCCGGTGCTACTGAGCTTTCAAACTTTTACATATAATTCAATTCGACCTGCGTAAGCATTAGAGACACCGCCCACGGCTTGATAAGCGCCAATCGAACTTTAAAGTGAATTACATAATTTGTCTGTGCCTTTGAACCAACAACATGCTGCTCTTTAAGAGAACGCTTTCGGGAGACAAGCAAAAATAGAACTGCCTAAAATATATTTAATCCTCTTTCGCCTGAAACATTTATGTTTTGCCGAAGACTTATAAAACTAAACTGACGCGGTCTTTAAATGAGCATTACGCTTCTATTTTGAGCGCCAAATTTATTTTTGAACCGAAAGGCTCTTATGATTTCCAACAATGGAGTCTAACAAAATGAATTTGCTTGATTTTTAGGCAATTCATTTGTCATTAAGCCGAAATGTCGTAGTTTTTAAATTGCTCAACTAGAAGTAAAAATAGATTTATATTTAAATGTTTCTTGTTATGAGTTTAAACGCATCGATTATGGTTTATATGAAAACAATGAAATTTATAAAATTCAATACCGGGCAGACGTGAGCTTATTTTATTATGAATTCAATTAAAATTTGCTTACAATCCTTACGTCAAATTCATATCGAATTGCACGAGCGTTATGAAATATGACAAAGCGGCGGCCGCCGTTAGATATGTCAAGCTCCTATCTAGCACAAAGAGGCCGCAGATGCGAACCTCAACTCGATTGTTCATTATGTAGAGCGCGAAACCTTCCACCTGCGTTAATGAAAACTGGATATAAGTATTTAATTTGATTTGTCTTACTCACCGTCTGCTGCAGGCGCACATCGAGGACGGCCAGTTGATTGAACTGCCGCAAGGTTTGATTAATGTTTCGCAATTCCAGACTGATGTTCTCACTCACCAGCGCCACAATGTAGGTGTCCACGTAGAAGATGATGGCATGCAGCGCGTTCAGTACAATGGCCGGTGAGGCGCCTGACTCTGAATGCTTCACAAACAGATTGAAGAGAATGAACGAGTTGGTGAGGTTGCTGATGAGCGTAATGAAGACAAGACCGAGTATCTGGAATTGATGCATTGTCAAGCTGTCTTGGTAGAGGCGATTTATCTGCTGGTAGCGCTGCGCTAGCGTATCCAGGCGGTCGCATAGTAAGCCGCACAAATGCGGGACCGTGCCGCGCCGCTGACCGCGCAGCCGAAAGTAATGCAACAGTTTGTTCTCGCGCAACACTTGTCGCAGCTGTTGGTTGAGTTGCTGGTAGAATTTCAAAGCGCTGCTGTTGATGAAGTAAAAGTAGTCTGCCATATTTTCTGTATAGTTCCACAGAACAAATGTGTACACAGCGATGTGTACGCGCACCGGATGTGCTCCGTTAAAATGCTGGTAGAGTATGTTCGCCACCTGTACGGCCATCATGGCGTTGATAAGGCCGAATTTAAAGAGTAGCATCGCTTCGAATTGTTTGCGTGGTCGCTCGTCGTATGCTGGCATCGCATGTAGGCTGCTGTTGAAGTCATCCTCCAGCTGCTGACGCACTCTAGTGACGGCACGTATGGCTGCGTAATGTGCAAAATTGGCAACGTACGTTACCACAACAGTTATATATTTAAGCAAAGTGTTGGCGAAATTCACCAGAAGCAACAGGTGGCCACGCTCGTCACGCGCTTCAGTAAGGACGGAGATGTTGCGAGCAAAATAAATGGGCAGCACAAGGATCAGGCAAACGCTGAGCGCGTGCCCATAAATAACGGCTAGTCGATGCGTGAATGTATTGGTTCGACGCTGAGGTATGTAATTGATTACCATGAGGCCGTAGAGTGTGGCGTAAATATGACCATACTTGTAGATGTTGTGTTTGTGACGCTCCCAGAAACTCATGCTGCTGAAGGCGCAGGGAGAAAGTTGTTTTGCCCAACGAAATGATGACAGCCAATCGTACAAATGGTTTAGCTGCCCACCAAAAACGGCGTATAAGGTTTAAGCCGAGATCCAAAGCACGCCATCCGCCATGCTGTCCACAGTGGATTTAACAACTAAAAACATTTTGCACAACAATTTGTACCTCTCTGTTGTCGAATTTGGGATTTCGTGCTTTAATCATTTTAATGTATTGCTTTTGCATTCGTTTCACAAAAAATATCAGAACTCCTTACTTATTTATAACCCAAACGGTGCGCTACCAGCTTTCAAGCACGCAGTTATGTCACGCGCGTCACATCTTTGTCAGCTTAGGCGCACGCATGCTCCAGCACACATACCTTCGTAAGCGCCAACTCGCTACGCGCTCGCTTAAGAGTAGTAACATGTAAAAGCGTTAGCAAAACGAAAAAAGAGTATACCAATGACGTGGCCCAAAGGATTTATTATAACTGCGAGCAACGCAGCGCAGAGGTGCCGCGAACGTGACAACGCCCCAGCTTTATTGGCATTGCTATGAGTAATATACGCTGATTTAATGTGTTGGCAAGTGATTTTATGTTGCCTTGATGAAGGCACATATAAATTTTTGCGACAAATTCATGTTATGCTCCTTGAAGTAGCTTTAATTTCTGCTACTTAAATGGCTATTATAATAAACACATTTACTCGGCCGAATAGCCTAAGCGTCTCGGTTAATTTATAATACAATGATATACCATAACACCTTTACTTATAATAACGTGGTGTTGAAAGCGCACGTATACAAGTACAGGTTGGCTCACGAATCGTGCTACAAAAATTATTATTATTTTTGGATTTGATATACGGCAATTTTGCTTGTTTACATTTCAGTTTAGATCAAAATGGGGCTCATCAACCGGCCATTTCAATAATTTTGTTTCAAAATTCCAGGCGAATCGGCAAATCTAGAGAGTTTAACCGACATGTTTACCAACCTGTGCCGCCAAAATCCCGTCTGAATTCCTTTTGCTCGGTAATGGCGGAATGCAAAGCATTGTACCGCTGCACTATCCAAACCCTTTTACCTTTTTGGTATCCCAAGCATTCATTTTTAAAATATTTAAATAAAAACCTGCCAAATAAAAGAGAAGTTAGTCGATCACAGACACAGAAAAAAATTACTATAACAGTTTGTTTTTGTAGCACGATTCGTCAGCCACCCTGTACAACAATGAAATGTGTGCAGTAGTGGTTTTCATTATAGTTGTGTTCATTTCACTTGACAATTGTTGCCCGTTATCACATTATCACGTTGTATTGACGCGATTCACAATGTGCCACTTGCTGACGGTTGCAAGATAAATAACCAGTCAATATTTGTATACAATTAGGACCGCAAATAAGATTGTTGAGTCAGCTGTTAAATTATCGAGAAAGGGGTATTGTAAGAAGAGACAATGGAGGCTTAATATTTCACGCTCCTAAAATTTTTTTTATAAAACGCTTCAATGGATTACTGTTAGGTGCTCATTACTAAAATTGATTTGTTTTATAAATTCAAGCCCCTTTTGAAGATCATAATCTCTTGTAATTTCTTGCTGCAAAAACGATGAAATAAAAATGAACTTAAGAAATGTAATAGCGAATATTTGTGCTCACTCTTATTTTCTGAATAATGGTTGTTGAATTTAAGCGGCTTATTACTTAATTACTTATTTCCACAATATTATCTTTGAGAAATTGAAATGTAGCCAGCAAAGTGAAAGCAAAAACTAAATTAATTTCCGGCATTCAATTAAGCTCAACAATTTCTCAAGCGTACGCTCAAATGCACGAGGAAGGCAAATTACTACTTCATAATTAAGGAAAATACCAAAATACCATGGGGACCAAATAAAAATAAGCCGATGCTGAGCATTTAATTATCTAGGCCAAAGCGAAAAGCTCAAAAAGATTAAATGCCAAAGGGTAAAGTTGCGCGAAAATGTTTTCTGCGCTGGATTTCTAATGATTAGCGTGAACCTAAATGTTTATCTAATTTCACACTTTCACGACCTCTAATATTGGGAGCTATGGCTTGGCATATCGCTCATTTTGATGGCAAAAATTACAAAAGATCAAAGTTGGCGGCAAACATAAATTATTTTCCTTTAATTTTTCGTATTCCTTTACAATTAGCCTGCTTAACTGTGGAAGCATACTGCCAACAACAGCAACAACAAAATATTTGTAATAAATACCGATTAATGAAACTCCATAGGCAATTCGTACCACAGAAAATGGCAGCCAAATCGGATGCGGATGATTAATACAGCTAAATAGCTCATAGAGGCGCAGACACCGCACGCCTCAAGTAAGTCATTTCTATTTTATTGTCTTTGACCCTTTTTCGTAGTTTTGCTTGGCATTTTGGTTGAAACTCGAGCATATCGCAAGTGAGTCGTAAATCTGAGATGGCAGGCAATTGACTAGCCACGCGTCTTTGTG